CAAATCAAAACTAGAAATAAACTTTACTCCGAAACAATGTTGAAAAATATCATCCATATGTAGTGGGGCTTCATAATCTTTAACTAATTTTTTATTTAATTTTCGAGCATCTAAACAAAATCGCACTGATCCGTCTTTTTTAATGCTTATAACAATTGGATTAATATAATTACTAATTGATCGACGAATAACGCCATCTCTTAGCATTTCTTTGATTGCAATTCGAACATTTTCTCGATAATTTAACGGTATAGGATACTGTTTTGAGAAATATGGCTCTTTATCTTTTAAAATCAATTTATGAGTATATACTTTCAATAAACCTAATTTTTTACGAAATACATCTTTAAACTCGTACACAAGCGCACACACAACATTATAATAAAATGATTTTATTAATGCATTACAAATGTTTATATTGTTAACATATTATTGAAATTCGATTGATTCATAACATCAATTAAGGAGAATGAAGTTAAAAAATATATTGTTGAGAACTCGAATCATACAATTTTTCAAGAACCAAAACTACAGTAATAATGTTTTTCCGAATGAGCGATCTAATAAACCAGGAGACTAAAGTTTTCTTTTACTTGGTCTAGGCAGTTCGTCCAACCAAGGTCGACCAGTTGATGGCAGTGTTGGACTAGGAGCTGTTAAGACGTCAATGAATTATTGTAGTAAGAAAAACACTTGATTTATAATGCGGAACCGCATATATCATTTACTTACTAAATCGGAAGCCGCACGAAAAATCTGCGACACAGTTTCGCTTCCTTTTACCCTCCACTATTCAACAAATGTATCTTTTTAATGTTAGTAAGCGAAAAAAGTGAGATTGAAAATTATTGCAATGTCACGATGTATGAACTTATATCAGTAGATTGATTTTTTTTGCTATTCTTTACTTACCGGTAAACACTGCCGACGCAAGGATAAAGAAAAACACCACGTAAAGTATGAATTTCATATCGATACTAATTATCAACAAAAATTCTTTAATCTTATTTACACTCAAGAATTTATATTTCCGCGTACTACGTTTCACTGTAATAAATGATCATGCTTTTATACTGCCTGACTCCGCCTCTTTCGTACAATATGTTTTAAGTTCGCATACATACATTATCATACAAATGAAGAAACAAAAAAATATGTCTCCGCAACTATTTCATTTAAAATTCTTTATACTTGATATATGAGGTAGATTTTAATTTGACGTTCACGTACACATGCTGTAACAAGTTACCGTCCACTTGAACCAACAGTCATACACTACTATTAGATATATGTGTAATAATAAACTATGATGCCAATAAATTTACATCTGCCATATCTTGCTACGTTCTTTAATAACTTTTTCCCAAGATTTGTATAACAAGAAAACAGCAACACCAGCTGTATTGACTTTAAGTATAAATAACAGCTTGAAACATACATACTCGATAACCAAGAAGAGTTTGTAACAATAATACGCGATTACCAAGTTTTTATTGAAGCACTTTAATTAACTGGAGTAATAAGTTTTTGGACGCTTGCTAGTAAAAAGGGTGAATCGAAACAAAATAGACAATTGAACCATAATTCTTTAAACTACCAGTGGATTGTATTCAGACCGAAAGCTTTCTATCAGAATGATATTCAATGCAAAATTTTGGTTCAAGTTGCGTTCTTTTAGCTAATCCGCCTGTTGAATTTTTATTTCTTAAGTTGAAAGAAATCATGTTCATTCTGATGCAAACGATATTTGACTGCTTCGCCGACACCGGCAACGATGTGCGCTGCATTTTCGAATTTACTTTTAAATGAATTCTGACATTGAAGATATAGAGCATTAGCGCTCGTTGTGTTTATCTATTCAGTCACTGCGTTCATAGGTACAGCGGCTAATTAAGATTTACTCGCAAGTTCGTTTAATGATATATATTTAAATTCTTTCAAAGTGTTTAATCCCTTTCAAGAGCACGATTTTATTCGTAGTATTTTATAACGTATTATTATAATTACAATACATTCATTGATTTTTAGGTAAGAACAACCTGGATGAAGCTCAATCGGCCTTATATTGGTTGCGAGACTGGAGTACTTCCGACAACGTAGCATTAGAATTTTATGGATGGAAAAAAAACTTGCGCGAAATTATTACACCATGTCAGTTTCCCAAGCATAGTGTATTTCTTAGAAAATAAAATCAGTACTTATACGTGCAAATCATTTTACGACGAACTGTTACTGATCAGTTCGCTATTTACTTTACATTATTTCACAATCATCAATGTCTTACTACGCCTATTGATATTCATGCGGCGGCATAAATTTTCGATACAATGCACATTCTAGTTTGCATTTTCTCCATAAATCACAATGGTAAAATTAAATCGGCGTATATTTCACTTATTAGTGCTTTTTCAGCTTTAGTTAGCTCATCCACGTACTTTTGCTGTTGAAGGGGTGCATTAGAATATTTATTCTACATAAGGCATGTCAGTGAATAACATCAATAGCTCCGATGTTGTCTTAGACTTTAACGTCTGCTGATATTGACAACATTGTTTATACATTGAATCCTAAACTATTTTCAAACAAGTATCGAAATTCCAACATGGGAATTGGTTTGTTCATCTTTTCTATCACTGGTACAATTATGAATAAAATGTTTCTCCTTGATGCAAGCGTTGACGTTAGCTGGTATTTTCATGTTTTTTTTGTTTGCTGAAACTAAAAGGAAAACATTAGCAAAAAATACAAGCACGTTATGATTGGGAACGCAATGAGAAACTTGATGAAATGCTACAGAAGCGAGATACTTGAGAATGTTTTAGATGTATAAACACTTTACATTCTCAATGAACCTAATCACTTTTTCGAATAAGGATGAAGATTATTTTTTATGTTGCTTAGACACTATTCATAAACATCAAAGCATTAATGATCTAAATATAATTTTAATGCCTGCTGAATAAGTTGACTAGATTCCACTGATATCAGTTACTTTTTTATTCATCAATAAATTTTTATTACAAGTACAGTAAATCTAGAAGTGGATCGATGTAACTGACAAGCCATCAATTTTGCACATAATTATTGTATACATATATATACTGTTGTGCACAGTAAATAGGCGTAAACCGGTATAAATCAACTCTTACACTATGTTACTGTACACAATAGCTTATTGGGTTTACTACCACATTTGGGTTATTAGTTAATTTTTCTTTAAATATGTAGAGTCGAAATCACTCTTATTATGTGTATAATAATTATGTGCATAACCAACAGTTAGCCTACAAAGAATGTTGACTGGTGTATAGCAATTATAATTTTTTCCACTAACGTAAAATAGTCTTAGCAGGAGTTCTTAAAAATTTTCTATGAAAAATATAACACGTACGCGCACGCGCGCGCGCACATACACACACACACACACATACAAAATTTGTTTTCTATTTTTTATGATTTTATTATTTATTTTTGGTTGACTCAACATTAAAGACTAGAACATATGGATATTATATTTCATTTGTACGTATCCTACCATAGTTTGGTAATGATATCTATTATATTACTTCCTCAACTTGTTGCCTGTAAACTATAATATCTTATAGTCGCTTGCATCTGGCAGCTTTTAAACTTCTTCACTAGTTTCGCAAATTTTATCAAGTTTTTGTATTTATTTAAATTTTTAATAACGTTCCAGCGTTTTCTCTCTCAATTTTGCATCTAATGTAGTAAAAGATTAACGACTTTCTGTTAAAAACAATCGACACGATTGTATCTGCACTTCCACCAGTTGAAATAAACATCAGTGATGAATACAAGTTAGAGTTAAAGACACAAAATTGAAATTTTTCAATATTATTTCATATTTTTTAAAATCCGTTGACACATTATCACGGTTTTTATAGAGACGTCACTTAGACATTGGTTAAAATTAAATTTCTCAACATCAGAAACCTTACTACTGCCGAGATTTTTGATACTGGAACATGCATTGACATTTTTTTAAATGTAAGAAATTCCATATTTGCTGCTTTGTTTTCTAGACACCGCACTTTTGTCATTCAGAAAAGAACATAACATTTCTTAAATAATCATGAATTTTTCGTACTTCTAATCCTGTCTTCGTAAATCAATAATTTTTATTTTCATTACTGTGTATGGATAAATAATTGCTTTTAATAGTCCGAAAGACCTAATTCAGCCTTTCCTATCAATCGAAATATTTAGATGTATAATTTATTAACAGAGTAACAAAGTAAAATAAAAGAGCTGCCCAGATTTAGAACTAAAATACATTGTACAGAATAGATTTACTATCAAACGAAACTTCAAATGAGCTAGAACAAAGAACTTGGAACAGACCTACACTCATTAATTGTCAATAAGCATTGACTTATACTTTTAATTGACGATCTATTAAACGATGATTTGATCAATTGAGAGATTGATATAATTTAAGAATTTTTCGAAACGTAGTGTTATACTTAATAACTTTATTTCGCTTTACCAAACTGCTCCAAAAGTAATAAATTATTAGGCTCCAAAAGAACAAAAAGAGTGTTACTCAATATGCACCTCGGATCAATCATACTCAGCTAAGAGTTCTATCACATTATCAATAAATTAAATTTATACTTTCTTAGTATTATTGATGATATAAATGTAATTATTTTTTATTATTATTTCTTATAGAAAATTTCCTAATTTTCTACAGGGCAACGTACTTGTTATACTTAATATAATGTTAGATTATGACAAGCAAGTACCCTTAAACAAACATTTTCACAGAGAATAAAAACATATTAGTTAATGAATTAATTTCTAATATCATTATCTTACAAATGAAGTCAAAAAATTAATGGAGATTATTTTTTTCTTTACCTTATAAAGCAAGTGGTTTGAATTATATTAGATTTTTTAATTATCTGTTTCACTTATCAACCTCAACAGAAAATAAAATCTTTAATTAAGTTATGCAATGAATAAAGAAATAGCGTGAATAAAAGAAAGTTAATACATCATTTATTTATTCAATCTAAAATCTTATAAAAAAGAAAAAAGTAAAGTAATTAATAAATAAAAGTTTATCAACAATCTATAAAATAAATAAGTCTTATAAATATAATTTACATAAAAGCAAACAGTTACAAACAATAGCATCAAGTGAGTGAACAGCGCTAAATATTGTAGTTAACAAAGCTGTAATCAGTCTTGTGAAATTATAAGCAAATGCTCAATTATGCTTTTCTTGGTGTTAAATTTAATGTATTGTTCAAGCTCTTACTTAATTCTTTAGTCAATTTTTTTTCAATTTTTTGACTTACATGAGACGATAGACCATCCAGAGCTGATTTCAATAACACCCCACCTAAACCACTACTCAAATGATTACCATTATCCCCTTGTGAATTTTGAGCTTGAGGATACCCATAATAAGTACTTGAAGGTGGATGGTGAGGTTGTTGATGACGACCACCACCTCCAAGGACCCCACTTAGAGCTTCACCAAGAAGATTAGTTTGAGATTGCGGTTTGTAATTAGATTGTAATCCCCCTGCTGCTCCACCTACAAAATTTAATCACATTTTCTCAGTTCTTTACTTTAGTATTATTTTTATAAACAATTTCTCAGTTAAAAAATGAGTTCATAGTAAAATTTTGAATTCCAACCTTTTTAACATAATGTAAGTCTTATACATTAAGATAAATATACTTTAAAAAAATTAATTCAAATTTCAAATACATTATTCTCATTGTATGTAATATTAAACTGATTATCAAAATTGATTACAAAATTAATTTAATTATCACATTCCTTTTGAACTGTAATTTTTATTAATGCTGTTCATCAATAAAACCTCAATGATGGACTTGTTAATTTTACTAAAATTCAGTTAAGTAAGAAAAATGGAAATCTAAAATTAAACTAAACATTTTACTAATACATCATCTCTCATCTCAAATTATTAATGTTTATATAAAATATACAGCTAACCTAAAGCTCCCAAAAAAGAACCAATAATATCACTTTTAGCATCTGATGAAGAATAGTCTTGTCCGTGTGCTTTTGTATCTCTCTGAAAGGCATTAGATGCTAAACTAGTAGCTAAAACTGCTCCTAAAGTTCCTAATCCACCTAAACCATTTGGACTTTTTGGAGGTTTAACTTTTTGGTAATCACCTTCAGACTCATTTTTCTTCTTATTTTTCTAAAATTATAAATTTTAATATTAATTAATTTCGATTCAAGATGTAAAAATTACTCTTATTAACCAACCTTATATGCATGCACTGCAGCTGCTACACTTCCTGCTACTACAAGTCCTCCAACTGCTAAGCTTACCTTATCCAAACCAGAAAATACTTTTTCATCCGATTTCGGAGATCTGGCTTGATAGATATGATCATACTGTTTATGTTTCGAATCATTTGTATTCATTGGTGACTTCTGTTTATCTGGTGTATTCAAGGTAGGATATAAACCACCAGGTGCTACAAAATTATTCCCATTAATTTTGTAATTTAAAGAAAATATTTTAGAAATAAGTATAAGTATTTAACTAACCTGGTGGACCAATATCAATGGGATCATCGGGTATAGGAGCTGAAGGTTTTGGAATGGAAACAGTTTCATAGAATATAGAGGTTATTTCTACTTGACCATCAATTACCAAATGAGTGACTTTATTATAAGGCAACCTATGAGTGAATTCAGCAAAATGTCTTCCATTAACTGCAATTTTATAGCATTGATATTCACAGAATATAACAATTTCAAAAGGTGTGCCACACTGCAGACACATTGATCCATCACTCTCTTCAGGACCCCAAGTCATGGATTGAATGTGATTTCTAATGATGATTCCTTCTTTAAATCTTGGAGAGATATGTAATGCAACATCATCTCTTGGATTCAAACTAGGGCCTAATTGGTAATTGATAGCAAAGAAAGTAGAATCAGCAGGCACTTGACCTTGAACTCTAACCATTTTTCCAGAAATTAAACCTCCTTCAACTTCGCCTACGTAAGGCACTGCCTATTAAATAATAAAAAATAGTCGATGAATATTATGAACAAAAATAAAAATTCAGTCGTAATTGTTGGAAAATATGAACGTTCATTGTATACTGTGCATAAAAGTGAATTAATACTTATGTAACACAAATCACTTTCCCGATTTCACGTAGACAATGAGCAATACAAACGAAAATTCGTAACGGTCAAAAGATTTGACAACGATTCCGAAACGAAATTTGAAAGTTTATTAAACTTCACGAATGAAACAGCATTATGTCAAAACCACACTCAACTTAAAAAATTAAACATTTTCATAAAATAACACGAATTTACGTAAATATAAGGACAATAATTTTTAAATATTTACAGGGTTGACGATCGGTTGGTAAGCCATCTTGGTATTGGTTGAATTTCAACGTAAAAACTTTCAATGTGGATTGCAAACTTTATATATTGCGAAAAACAGTTGCCAATTTAAAATTATATATTTTTAGAAGCCAACACCTTCAATTTTCAACTATTCTGTTAACAATCGCTATCGCAACCGATTAACTACACACAACGTATTTTAATTCTTTTGGCTTTTGACTTTGGCTCAGGTGCAAATTAGGAGATTGACTCACGCAAATGAAGGCAGATAAAGCATAGGTAAATCAATCGGGAGGAGATAAGATATATAATCAAATAATTGATAGAACTGATCATTACATCTACTGGCGCGCTCTGCAGGAGATTACATCGTCCATTATTCCTGTTAAGTATTTGTAGAATGTAACATATCCATTATCCAATTATATTTTAACCGATATGGCGATCGGTAAATTCAGATCTGTATATTATTTCTGGATATAATTATTTCTACTTAAAACACATTTTTTGGTATTCACACAAAGATAAAATTGATGTTAACAAATGTTTTATTAAAGTCGGAGGAAAATTTCATTAATGAAAGCTTAAATTTTACTATAATTATAAATTGTATTTATTGTAAATAATTACATGGGTGGATCAAACTATTTTATACATTTTATTTGGATATTCTTTTACCAAGAGAACTGAATTTAATAAATCCAGCAATGGCTAATGCATAAGCATAAAAAATTAGAATATGTTACATATTACCAGAAGACAAGAAACAAAATACTTATAAACTTTTCGACAGCAGTAATATCATTGATCAAATTTTTATTAAGAAACTTGATAAGACTTTTCATAAATCTTTTTTGAAATCTTCGCAACTATGAAACTGTTCGCTTCTATAGCTCGACCTTATGTTCAAGAAACACTTTTTCCTCTGCTTGATCGTGTAGTATTTGTCGGCACATTTCATTTATCTTAATAGTCAGATATCTCATTTCCATCATGATATGATTCGCATTTATTTTTACCAGCTAATTAAAAAGTAAAATACGATTCATATAATACGCAATCGCGAAATAATTTTAGCATTGCGTACGTGTTTTATTGACACTCCACCTAACTATATTCTCATTCGTTGTGACAATACCAGATTTCGAAGTACTAATACCGCATAATATAGTTTTGATTCTGGAAACTTCTTCAAATTTTTGAGTAAAGATGCATAAACAAAAATGTGATAGGTTTAAATGATTGCTCAAGTGTGTGTTTTACCTTTATGGATCTCCAGGTTTTATAATCAATCTCGTCCAGTTCGAAGAGATAATCTTCACATTTGTCGGTCAGCCAGTAGCAAACATATTAGGGTGCACATTACTAAATATACATAATAATTTTAATAAAATACAATAAAATAAAATAAATATATGATTAATAATTGATTAAGATGGTGTTTAATACAGCATGATGTAAGTGTTTAAGCGATTAATTTTTAATTATTTTCAATTACAAATGTCTACATGAAATAAAATAAATAAATAAATACAATAATATAATATTTTGGGCATAAATTTTTATTGTTTTTATTACTTTTTCGCAATTTCGAATAATTTCTGCACGAATATTCTTAGCGAGAGAGAGAGAGAGAGAGAGATATAACAATTCCCTAACGAAAATGACTCACTCGTGAAAACTGCTTTTCGTTCGGAAGACGATAGATTAATGCGAGTGTCGAATTAATTGCACCAGAGGCTATTTCATTTATAAAGAACTTATGGGTTGCGCAATTCGTTGTCGTTGCGTTTTTAGCTGCAGGGGAAAGAGATAGCGATGACGATTGATTAAGAAAAAAATCATGTTGTCGTACCCATGAAAGGACGAAAACTGCCGTTTGCCGATAGTGCCAATCAAAGCGGAGTGGAGATTGGAGAGGCAATTGGTAATCTGGCACGTGCTTCCACTGGTGATTCGTTCGCTTACTAGTCACCCACGCATAAAAGCAAGCATGTTACGTATCGTAATAGTATCGATTACATTTCTTTCTAGCTAATTACGTAAATATGAAAAACTATGTATTTTTATTGAATAATGGGACTCTTTCTGTCTGTGTTATCAAATTATCGTAAAAAAACTAGATCTAATAATATGTTTTCTATACTAACTTTTGTTCAAATAAAAATAAATAGCTAACGATATTAACTTTAACCAAACGACAAATTAAAGGCAAAAAACTAGAAAAATTACACTTAATTTCTAAACGGGATACGTTTCAGTGTATTGAACAAACCGCATTTCTATGCATTTCAAATTTTGAAGCTTCTCGCGCCACAAATGTCAGAGCCGCTAACGTCAATTTGCGATATCAACACTTTCAATGCTTGCCGCCGTCAGCTTTCATGATCTACATATGCTCGTCTATAATCGTGGCAAACTATGGCGTCTACGACCCAGATAGCCAAAATTTTCTGATGCAATACTGAAAATAACACGGCGATTATCAGCATTTTGTATATTTCCATACTTTATTGGTAACGAAATATCAGCAAAATGACAGAAGAGGATTCGGTAAGTGATAGTGATTTTTTAATTTTTTTTGAATGTCCGGGACTACGCCTATTTTGTAGCTTGTAAACATGGACACGATGAGCATGACACCATGTGTATACGCACACGTGTATCCTTATTCATCCTTGCAATAATTGTTTCGTAAAAAGTAATGAATTTTTTTGTTCTTTTCGACCTTTTCAAAATATTTTCTTATCTTGAACATCTATAACGATGGAAATTCAAACGTTTTGAATTTCCAACCTCTAAAAGTTGCAGACGGCGACCTTCCGCATGAGGGACGAGCAACCGGTTCATGTTGTTTTTCGTACATGTCTACATCACGCCAATGTTTGCAAATTATTTCTGTCTTTCCATTATACGTATACATTATGTTCTTGACAAATAGCTCGAATTTTTTTTATATTATATGCTTATTTTTTATTTATTTATTAGCTCTTAGATTTGTTTACGTGCGCGTTGCCACTGTAGTCTCCTACGTTTAGAACAATATTACATGATTTTTGAGTATAGTATTTTAGAATTAATCGTGTTATACAAATTCAGGTATTATAAATTGTTTGAAATTTTTATTCATGTATATATAGACAATTTCAAAATTATTCAAGTTATTGGTCATTTTCATTTCCAATCAATGATTATATTTATATTCTTAAACTGTAATGATTTCTCATTGCCAGCACTTCCCTCAGTATAAAGATTTAAGATTGATTTTATCAAATTTTCAGATGTTTGATCCTAAGTTGATGAAGAAAAAGAAAAAGAAGAAGACTGGATTTGATGTGGATGCAGCTATTGCAGAGGGAGGTAACATTGTTAATGAAACTATAGAAAACAATGACAAAGAAAACATGGATGTTGAAACGACTCCTGCCGATGATGATGAAGCTTTAGATTTAGAAAACTTTGGGAAAAAAAAAAAGAAAAAGAAAAAGTTTAATTTAGAAGAACTTGATGCAGCTCTTCCTGATAAAACTCCAGTATGTAACAATATTAATCATTTGTTAAATCACAGTATCTAGTAATGTAAAACAATTGCAAATAATTTTATTCTAATTCTTTAGGAAACGACGGAACCACAGGCAGAAGAACCTGAAATTGAAGACTTAAATTTGACTCTTGACTTCACAATGGGACTAAAAAAGAAAAAGAAGAAGAAGAAGGATCTTGATGAACTTATGGCAGAGGAAAGGAAAGAAAATGAAACAAATGAAAATGGTAATTATCTATGTCATTATTTATCATCTTTCAAGTATAAACGTGAGTCTGGATGTTGACTTTATGCGTTATCTGTTAACATGCTGCACTGAGTCCGAGCGAAGTGCAGATTATGGTAAGAATAATAAGAATAAAATGTCTCATTTTATATCTGCACATTGAAAAATTAGCTCATCAAAGTAGTTGTATATTTAAATACTTTATTAGTACTTTCAATTTATGAAGCTTCTTGACTTGCTAAATGCACATAGTATTTTTGCTTTAAAATTTAAAAGTAGATATTAAATAAAATATATAAAAATTTATTGTTGTATTATATCAACTTTTTGTGAGTTATTATTTTTCATGATGTCTAGAAGTGTTGACATCTGTCTTCTGTAGAATAGAAAAAATTAGCTTAGTACACATAAGTTATTGATATATGTTTAGATTATATCGCTATATGTGTTAGTTATGTTTGCTTTATTTTTCTTATTTCTTTAAATCAAACAAAAATTAATTTCTACTGTTCACAGAGGAGCCAAGTCAGTGGGTCGGCTCAGACAGAGATTACACATACGATGAGCTACTCGCCAGAGTGTTCAACATCATGAAGGAAAAGAATCCTGACATGGTTGCTGGCAAAAAACAAAAATTTGTCATGCGACCTCCTCAAGTCGTTCGTATTGGAACAAAAAAAACATCGTTCTCTAACTTCACCGAGGTAATCATTCATTTTTTGTCGCTTGCTAATGAATTATTTTCAAAATTTCTAAACTTCTATTTGTTTTTTTCTTGTAGATTTGCAAAACGCTTCACAGGCAACCAAAACATTTGCTCGACTTTTTACTGGCTGAACTGGGTACGAGTGGTTCCGTAGACGGTAATAGCCAACTTATTATCAAAGGGAGATTCCAGCAAAAACAAATTGAAAACGTCCTGAGGAGATATATCAAGGAGTACGTGACTTGTCATACGTGTCGCTCTCCCGATACTATTCTACAAAAGGATACGCGGTTGTTCTTCTTACAATGTGAAACATGTGGCTCGAGATGTTCTGTTGCCAGTATCAAATCTGGTTTCCAGGTTGGTATCATTTTATGCAGACTTATTACGATTGCTTCCGTAAAAATAGTTATATTTAAAATTAACTTTGCTGTTTCTCTTCTTTTTCAGGCTGTCACAAGCAAACGTGCTGCGATTCGGGCCAAAACTGCCTAAAATCTAATCTCGTGAAATAAAAAATCTACTTGTTAATTTAGTGACTAATTTTGTCAAGTTTTCATTGTTTTCTTCTTATGGCTTTTTACCTTGCTCCTTGCTCTATAAATATAAAACAGTTACACTGAAAAAATATAAAACAAATTTTTTATTAAAGCTTTCTAAATGTTGTACAACTAAAAACTCCTAGCCCATATTTCTTCTCGATTCTTTTAGATATCCTCGAAAATAAGTATACATATATTACAATAAGTTATTAACAAAAATATTAGAGTGAAAGTAACTCAAATATGTTTGGCAATTTTTTCTCGGCTCCACTTTTCCCGTCTTACTTAGTTTTTTTCTTTATTTGTGTCTTAAATAATTATGCTATAAAATTATCTTAGAACTTCTAATTAGATTTTATATTGAATTTTAATAAATATTACTATTGAACACTTATATTTTTAAACAATGTGTTTGAAATCTTAACAGTTTCATATATAACAATACAATGTTACAATAGTAGATAAAAAATAATTTAATAGCACTGTACAGTAGAATTTATTATTACAATTGTTTAAATTATAGTTCTTACTATAGTAAAAAATTTGTATATATTCTAATGGTTCTCGTGTCGTCGCTTAATGCATAACTAATAATGATAAGAATCGATACTGCGCTAATACCTATAAGTAAAAACAAAGTAATGCAATAATTTCAATATCGAAAGTTCAAATTTAACGCTATACGACTTGATCGAGCCAGAAACTTCAAGTAATTTCGTGTAGCAAACTTCATACTATTCTTACTAAAACGGGTACTCCCGCGTCCACGTTTTCATCGCGGAAGTGCGACAAAGATGGCACCTAAACACGAACACACATATATATATTTATATATATAGGCTCAACTCTCACGAACGGCGTAATGGTAATTCAGTTCATAATTCATATACGGAACTCGCTCTTCTCTCCGTTTGCTAATGGACACTCGAAATTCGTAGAATAAAAGAATGATTAGTGGTTTATTAACCACTTAAATAGTACATGGAGGACGTTGATATATTTAAAGAACAATGGTGAACGAGAATGTGGAACAAGACAAGGCAATTGCAGTGTACTCAAGGCGAAGGCCATTGAGACTTGACGAGTTACCCTGTGAGATCATTTTGTTGATATTCGACTACTGCCATGTCTTCGATTTGGTACGACTTAGGCGTGTCTGTTCACTTTTTAATAATCTTGCCAAAGATCACAGCTTGTGGTCCAAAAGAAGTCATCGCACCCTCGCCACTAATCAAGTCTCGTTGCGATTCCAGTCCAGGTACGTTGTACGTTGCATTTTACGTCATTGCGGCTTAATCAAGGTGACGATGACCTTGCCATCGTCAGATATTTTGATTCTTTCGTTTTTGTTTTGTTTGTATGTCAATGTTTACTTTATGTTCAACATGCTTTATCATACGTGTGAAAGAAAATCTTCTGCTACGGCTATATTTGAAAGAAGATTAGGTTAAGTTGCTTTGTTATTTATTGTAGCGAACAGCTGTTCGACTCCAAATTTAATTTTACAGCTTTTATGTATAGCTTATTAGTTAAAACACATTAATTATGTGACGTTTTAAGTTTCAGAAACGTAAATTTTACGTTAAACTTGTCAATTATTTAAAAAATACTTAAGTATTAATCATGCAACGGTTAAAGAATTGAACTAAAATTTTAAATGTTTTTTGATACAGACACAATAGCCAACGATTGCAAAATGCAGTCTGAATTAACATTTAGTTTAATTATGAGAAGGCATTATGACATAATGATATACGTGATTTAAAATAATCGGCTCGCACTAAAAAAAAGTTATATACTATTCTATTTAGGTCTGTTTTGATTTCTGTTGAATATATCGCTGATATCTCACTTATCTATTGAAGAATTCATATTGCATTGGTATGTAAATAAAGTGAAAATTTATGTGATAGTAAATACGCCGATGTATGAAATTTAAAGGATTTATTCTTTAATTTTTTACATTTGATTGACTAAGCCTCAAATTTACGATAGATACTGTAAATGCCTTGTATAGTTACTTTCATTTTTGATGACACATTAACATTTAATGTAAGTGAAAGTTTTTAGCTATTCATTTTGATAGTATTAAATTGTTTTGTCTATAAATGTAATTTTTCTATAAATCAATTATTACGATCGTGCTTATGCATTTAAGTATGAAATTTAAAATATATACAGTATTTTTATTACTGATTGAAAAGTATTTTATTGTAAAAAATTCAAACGTATCTTATGTAGTAACTTTAAAAAAGTCATTAATTGAAAATAAATTAAGATATTCTGTATTATCGCTTCTAATTCATTTTACTAATTCAACATAAAATTTTCCAGATGTAATCCAATTCTAACCGATATCGCAAAATGGGAAGTGACGCATAACTGGATGCACGGAAGATATCAAAAGAACGTTGTTTTCTCGCAAAAGACGAAATTGATGCCGTGGATGCAGTTGACTAGTGACGTGTTGTGGTGGAGCGGTGGAAATCAATTATGTGGATTCGAGAGAAACAATATCTGCAATTCTAAAAGTCGAGTTTATTATCAGATTACTACCAGTGATATTTGCAAGTTTACCGTGAGAGACGAGTACATTATCACTGGACATAGGTAGTGTTTACGTTTTTTAAAAACAAAAAATTTTAATAAAATAAATATTCTAATAAGAATACAAATAATTAATTTCTATTGTCTTCCAACAGAGACGGTAGCATCCAATTTTGGTCGAAAGACTCGTGGTATCAACGTATTCCCCACTACAATACCAGTATTGAAAATGCGCATTCCAGAGATGTAGAAGCGGTGGACGAAGCAGGTGACATTGTATTCTCCGGTTCTGCCGATGGCATGGTTAAAGCTTGGAAGTCACCTAGAAGTCGGGAGATCATTTCTCAAGATCCTCTAGCCTCGTTTCGGATTAACGATCGCATCTGGTCAATTGCAATCGATTCTTCCGGTGAAAAACTTGCTGTTGGCTCTGCCGGCAATGCTAGTGCTCCACTCACCATTTGTGATACTACAAAGTGAGTGCTTAGACTTCATGTGTATTTTTATTGTTTTTCAAGACATTTTAATAACGTTTCTATACATTTTTAAATAGAAAGTTTAACACTGATATTTGCACAGTTCTACATAATCATAAACAAAAAAAGATTTTGACTACTATCTTTCTTCTATTAAAGATTATGATTCAATAATTAGATATTACTGTTACGTTATTGATTTAATAATAATAAGCAATATGAAAATGTACATTTTGCAATTTAACAATGATATTTATATTTATTAACTTTAGAAAGATTGGAATTGATAATATGCATATAGAACATGAGGAATAAATATATTATCACTGTGATAATTCAATTTTAACAAAAGAAACTATTTTTCAGTTTTAGTCGAACTCACCAAATACTTCATACATGGAGACCTGGTGCTGGAATTTTGGACATGGTATGGGAAAATCCTCATACATTACTTACTTGTGGGTACGATACTTGTATAAGAAAGTGGGATATAAGGTGAGAATAAGTATTGTTAAAACGATATTTTTCGACACTCCGTGCGCAAAGTGCGCCTTTCCCGCACGCTCGGCAGAAAATGTGCGTTGAAAATCGCACTTTCCACACGTCGTATAAAAAAATACGGTACGGCACATATTTTGGGAAAGAGTTTCTCGTCTCGTGTACCTTTCCACCCTCGTTTCGCTCAGGCGTAAATGCCACACGAAACGAGAATCTACTTTCCCGCACTTGTACCGTAATGTACTATTCTAATCAAACAACGTGAATGTATAAAAATTAACGCTTTATGAAATGCATTATATTATAGATCTGGAAGATGTGTCAGTTATTGGACTGATCCTACCGACGCCACAATATACTCTATATCATCTGATTACAATAATACTATGGTAACTGGTACCCAGTTTAATTGTAAAGCTGTATTGTGGGATCAACGAAACCCACAATATGTACAGGTATTTAAGCAACTTTTACATTATTAGAATTCTTTAAAATTAGTTACATACTCATAAATTAATTTTTCTTAATTTCATAACATATTTCCTAAAATAAGAATTTTTTTCTTCAATTCTTTTATTCTTTTCTTATTTCTTTAAAGTTCTTGATCTACGATATTTTTATGATTGGATTATAATTTGCCATCGAATTACAAATATAAATTTGTATTTCAGCTTTACTTTATGCATCTTCAAAGGATGTCTAGCCCAATTTATAGTGTATCATTTGATAGTAGTCATCTTTATGGTGCCACAGATCAGAATGTGGTAGAGGTGAAATTCACCGGAGAACCGAGCATCAAGAAAAATTATCGCGAAATCATGAAATATGGAACCTTTTTACCACACGAAAGATAAATTTATTACTATTTAGATAAATGACTGTTGATATTGACTCCATTGAAAATGTAATGTTGCAGAAGTTATTTTTGATTATTGATTAACTATATATATTCATGATATCCTGAATATATTGAATTAGATAAACTTTTAACGTGTTACTGCGGTTACTTGAATAATGTAACAATAGAATTATTGATCTTAGAGTCAGTATGAATTTTGAAATGAATTTTTATTTGAATATTTTTGATATTTCTAATAAGCAATGATTATTCACAGTGTACTACAGATTCCAAGCTTTTTACATTTGCACGGATTAAGCCTTTTATATTATTTTTCCTTGATATCAAATGTAATGGACATTCTCAATTTTAGTTTGTATTCATTGTGAGTCATCAAATAAAGAATAAAAAATTTTATTTTTTTTTTTCTTTCTAAATGCTTATAAGAAATACTCAATGATGAAAGCGTATGTGATAGTATAATGTACAAAAGATGGAAGATGATTAAATGAAAATATGTATGTTTACATAATTTCTTTAACAATTTTATTGTGCAGGATATAAGTATAGTTACAAGTTGTCATGTACATTCATTTGTATAAAATATTTTCTCCGTAAAATATAAAAATATGAATTAATAACACATTGACAATCTTTAATGATGCCAATTTCTAAAAAGAAAATAATTAATTGGTGATAACAAAAATGACTTGCACTAATCTCATAATACATACTCATTTACACATTGAATTAAAAGAATCTAATTTTTTACGAATTTACCAAACCTGGAGCCAACCTTTAAGGAATCACTGAAATTCTAAATTCAACTCTTAAAATATTAAAAGAGGGAAGATTTGCTTCAATGTATAACAGAACTATACTGTTAAATGTATTTCAAATATCATCTTTTAAATTAGATATTATATCGAACATAAAATGCCAGGCTTAAATCTTATAAATTCGTATAGTTACAAAACGAAAATTTCATGTTCCTTAGCAGTAGATTACTTTACATAATATTTTAGTGTACAATAATTTTGACATTTTTATGTACGCTGTATTCTAAATATCTAATTTGGTGTTCATAACATTCCACATTCTGCTATAAAATCTACACATTCACTTAGTGTGTAGATTTTAGATTAGAATATGGAATGTTATATTAGACATACAGTTTTCAAAATAATCATTGTGCACTAAAATTAATCATTTCCCTCAAACGTAATTTAAAAAATCTTCATCTCTCTCTCAAATCATACTACGAATCATGTAATTCAGAATACCGCCGTGCTTGAAGTATGTGAGATCGACTTCCGTATCAAACCTGACGATCACCTCGAAGCTTTGACCATTATCAGTTTTAACTTGGATTTTCTGCCCAGGCTGCAAGTTTTTTGGAACGTCAATGTCTAAAGTTTCTTGACCAGTGAGTCCAAGACTTTCTGCTGTTTGACCTGGCAGATATTGCAATGGGATAATTCCCATTCCTACGAGATTGGAACGGTGGATACGCTCATACGATTCAGCAATTACTGCTCGAATACCGAGAAGGTAAGGACCTTTGGCCGCCCAATCGCGAGACGATCCTGAACCATACTCTTTGCCGACTAGGATAACCAAAGGAGTGTCATCAGCTTTGTATTTTTCAGCGGCATCAAAAACATCCATCTGAAAGTTAAAATTGTTTTCAACTTCAGTGTAAATAATATTTTATTAATACAATATCAAATGCGTATAAAAATTAAATAACTGGAAATATCAACTTCTGGATGATAAACAATTTTATATAATTTAACATATGCACAATATTTAGATTATACTTTAAACGTCTTGAATCATTGAAGTATTTTAAATACAATAGGGTAAAAAATATTATATTGACAAATAGGAATCTTTCTTCATTATTGTATAGTAGACATTTCTTTCAAACAAAATTAATATGTCACTTGACATAAGTTCGAAAAAGACATACCTCTTCGTTTGTAGGAATGTAGATAGTCCTTGGTCCAGCTTTACCAATGAACTTATTCAATAAACGAATGTTTGCGAAAGTTCCCCGAGCCATAACCGCATCGTTCCCTCGGCGAGACCCATAGGAATTGAAGTCTTTTGGATTTAATCTGAAAAATGCCAAACAAATGTTAATCTGAGAGAATCACACAATAACCGCATTCTTTGACAAAAAAATTAACTAAATATTGCTAGAATGATATAAAATTTTATTATCTTTTTTTTTAAATTAAAAAATTATTGTTAATTCACCCTTTCTTAGATAAATATCTGGCAGCAGGAGAGTTGCGAGCAATGCTTCCCGCCGGACTAATATGATCTGTGGTCACTGAGTCACCAAGATTGAGAAGAATTCGTGCATTTTTGATAGATTTAATCGGTGGCAGATCCTGTCATAAGAAGTAAAGTATTTGTAAATATTCACTTAAAATTCAAAATATTTCATTATAAACAAGACAATAAAAAACTAGTTCTAAATTTTTTGTGCCGCTGTCAGAAAATTATTTGCGAAATGATCTCTAATTACATATAAGCTTTTAATATATAACAATATAATTGTAAATATGAATTTTCTTTTGTCACATTAATCTTACTCTTGTAAGGCCTTCAAAGTAAGGAGGATCCTTGATGTATGTAGAGCTCTCATCCCATGGATAGAGTTTGCCACTTGGAGCAACTAAATTGGCCCAATTGTTACTGCCTCTCTCAATTTTTCCATACACTTCCTTGAACATCGCTGGTATAACGTATTGCTGTTCAACAGATTGAATTTCTAAGCGGGTAGGCCAGATATCGCGTAAGAAAATTTCTTTGCCGTCTGCTCGGTGTCCTATTGATTGAGAAATTCAGTTATAGATGGAAAACACCGCATTGATCTGTTTCTATTTTTTATAATCAAATTTAAAAAAAAACAGAAAGAATTTTCATTTTTAATAATATTATCATAATAATTAGAAAGACTCATAAATCACTTTAGTGTACGTTAGTTATTTGTCATGCTTAATACTTTATGAACTTATTCGGTATTTGAAAATTAATAATTGAGTTTTACCAAGCGGCTCCGTCTCGAAGTCAATGTCAACAGTTCCAGCAATAGCATAGGCAATCACTAAAAGAGGCGATGCCAAATAATTTGCTCGTGTGTTTGGATGAATTCTACCCTCGAAATTACGATTTCCAGAAAGGACACCGCAACAAATCAACTCGTTCTGCAAATTAGTTAAACTGTTATTAAGCAATTGAATTTTAACCGTATCTTAAAAATCTACATTATTTCAGACGATTACAACGTAAAATTGAATATTAGTTTATGAATCTATATTTTGCCTGAACAATGCGTTTATTTTATTTTGATTTCATCGCGGCAGGTGTACCTAATAAGAAAGATACTTATGAGCGATGAAAAGTAGTAGAAATTTATTTATTTATGTATTTAAGACGAAAAAGTTGTTTCTTTAATTTTTTGCTTGTATCTTTCTAATTGTCTTATCAAGATGAGCTTGTCGGCATTTATTCCTGAAATCATTTTGTAGAAAAATCAATACACATCAAAATTTATTTTACATTTTTTTTCAATAACAATACATTGCGCTATTTGCAAAAATGTTAAAAAATATAAATAATCATATAATTAACAATATTTTTTGAAATTTATAAATATCCCTAGAATCTGTATGTCATTTTATAAATTACTTGTTTACGAGCTAGGGCACAATAAAAATTCAATATTGGCAGAGTACCACTTCCATCCTGATTAAATTTCGGTAAAATAACTATTGCAGAATCTGTATTAGTTATTTATGTGTCTTGGATGAGCCAAGGGCTAGTACGATATGAAAAGGATGTTTGTAAGGCGGGATAGTAACCATTGTTTAAAAATCTTGCGATATATATTGTCTACGTATTTTTCACGTAAAATACGATTGGACTTATTATTTTTACAATAGTCAGCATTTAGATGTACCAGAAATTAAAAACCTCCCGTTCAGCTATGCGCAAATTTTTAAATTAATTATCTAAAAGCCTTATTTTCACAAGTTTGTCGCCACATATGTAAGACTAAAGTTCAATAAAGATCTTTAATTGAAGTCTGAAATAGATTCACATAATGTGAATTCCAACTAATTGAGCGCGAGATAGGAATTTGGAGAATTTAACAGAAATAGTGAAAATGTTAGTAATTAGTAATTAGTTGGTAACTTATTACCAAATAAGTTTTCACCGAAAAAAATATAGTTGCAGCGAAATTTTTTAATGACGAACAACCTCAAAAACAAAAAATTTGCCCGGAGCCATAGCATTGAAAAGAAAATTTCGCATACCTACGACCCCAAAAAGTACATTTTCGTTTTATGTGCTCGCAGTCATATAGTTAGTTCAGTCATTCTCGCATTAAATAGTTTATTATCAAATTAGTGTGGCAACAGTACATTAGGTAACTAGTGCGGGAAAGTAAATTCTTGTCTTGTGTGATCCGAGTGAAGAGAGGCTGGAAAGGCACACGAAATGAGAATCATACAAGTTAAGTATCTTTCAAAATAACGCGTGGAAAGCCCGAATTTGAGTCATGTTTTTCGCCGAGCTTTGCCTAGAAGTCCAGCACGGCTCGCTGGAAAAATAACTGAATCTCTGCATTTTCGTGGCAGCGGTCGAGAAGTGAAAGTTACCGCCCGCTGGCACGGGCAAAAGTTTTTACTTTTTGACCACTCGGGCACGAAAAATTCTGCACGCACCGCGGGAGAAAAATGGCAAGACCACACCTCGGGACAACCAAGGCTTAGCGCACGTGGACTTGTGAAAATGTTTCTTCTCTATATATCTAAAGTAATAATTCATCCGAACAACGTACTTTTGTTCTTTTGTCGTGGAAGTGTACACGATGGAAAAAATAGTTTAGGACGATGAGAAATATTGAAACATGTTTTATTCATAATTGTGAGATAAAAAAATTAGATTGTTTAGAAAGATTATCCGAAAGGATCAATATATTTAATTCTGAATATGTAACGTATTATTTCCTATTGTTATTTTACTTTTCGATTAAAAAAATACTTATTGCTTTATCATCAATGGTTCCCTAAAGGTTATCGAATTTTAATAACAATAACTGAGTGTAATTAAAATAATAGAGGATTTCTAATGCATTGTGAATTCAAACGAAAAATTAAATATATAGTGATTATGTGGCCGACAGTGTCATTCAAGCATCAAAGGCATTATTTATATAAATTCCGATAATGGCATGTAAGACTAGAGAGAAAACTTTATAAATAAAAAAAACAATTTTTTTTTCAACATTGCTCTAAGCACAGCGTTTGAAGCCGTGCAAATCAATTTTGCAAGCAAGACAACTCGATAATCACGAGTTGATCGGGAGGAACGCTTCTCCGACTCCTACCGGGACACGCGGACAATTTTATTGTGCACGGTTTTATTATACGCACAAATTATTGTGCACCGTATCATAGCGTAAGAATTGATACACGCTGATTCACGCCGTATTATTGTGCACAATAGTTTGTGCGTGTAACCAAACCGTGCATAGTTGTCCGCACACCCCCATCGCCGCCACGATCGGCGTGCGCATCAATAGTATCGCTGAGTTTTATAGCTGAAAAATAGCACATTACCTAACGAGTGCGAGGCACTGGAGAGGCACACGAGATGAGAATCTTTTTCCTGACTATGTTAGGTACAGGGTTATTAAAAAAAACGTGTGGAAAGCACGAATTGGAGTACATGTTTTTCGACGATCGTTCGTTCACTACGTTAATTTCAACTTAAAACGTTAGCGAGGAAATTTTCGTTTTTTTGTGTTTATTTTTTAATTCCATTGTTGGAATTTCTATAAATAGTGCCTTTGATGCTTGAATGACACTATCGACCACGCAAATCACTATATATTTAATTTTTCGTTTAAATGCACAATGCATTAGATATCTACTGTTATTTTAAATATACTCAGTCATTGTTATTCACATTTTCTTTTTAATACTATGGTTTCGGGCAAATTTTTTGTTGTTGAAGTCATCTACAATTACAGATACCTATGGATAATGAAAAATTTCATTGCAAATATGTTTCCGGTAAAAAATTACCTGGCAATAAGTTATCAATAAATTACAGACTACTGAAATTTTCACTGCTTCAGTGAAATTCTCCAAGTTCGTTATTTGCGTTCAGTTCGTTGAGATTCAGGCTGTGGGTATCTATTTTACACTTAAATCGAAACTCTTTATTGGACTTCAATCTTAAGGACGTAGCACAAACTTGTAGTAGGTAAGTAAGGACTTCAGATAATTAGCTTTAAAATCGGCACATAACTACATGGGTGATTTTCCGTTGTAAATCGTTTGGATTGACCTACCTAGAACATTTTTTGCAGTTTTTCACTTCCAGCATTGTCAAAGTTCCGAAAGCATTTTTTTGGTTTGTACTCATATGCATAAATTATTTATGTGAATTCGTAAACGTAAAATTTGTCGTTTGCAATCACTTGTAACGATTTTTCCCATATAACAATGTCGGAAGTTTTCTTTAAAACATACAAAAGCATTTATAACGTTGCTGATAGAGATTTCTGTACATAAGCCGAAAAGAGAAGAAAAGCTGACCTTCTCGATAGCCTCGACCATAGAGTCGGGAAGCGGTCCACTGTTGCCGATGCACGTCATGCATCCGTAGCCGACGATGTCGAAGCCAAGCTGCGTGAGATAGGGGGTGACGCCGCTTTCCTTTAGATAGTAAGTAACGACGCCCGAGCCTGGCGACAGCGACGTCTTCACGTAAGGGGCCACTGTCAAACCGGCTTGCACTGCCTTCTTCGCCAGCAGACCTGTAGCCGATGACAATGACGTTAGATGAAATTGCCCTCTATTGTTTAATGTCTACCGCTTGTGTCGACGCATCGTTCCCATGCAAACGTTACTTCGTTCGCCATTCGGGATGGGCATTACTGTAAAATGGACGCGAAGGGTTGTTTGTCGGGGCAACTAAGCGCTCGGATGTAGAACGATAATGCGTTCGTTATCGGAGAAACGGCCGACGAGCGACGAACACAACAAACAAGTATAGTGGCGCTCTGACTTAGTCACGAAGGAAGGAAGACGTGCAAAGGGAAAAACCGGAAAATCGGCAACAGCGCGAAAACGCTCTTCCATCCGAGGATGCGCTTCTACCTGCTCCCAGCATGACGCTGGGGTTGCTCGTGTTGGTGCAGCTGGTGATGGCGGCAATAACGACGGAGCCATGGCGCAGCTTGTAGTCCTTGCCCTCGAATTGGAATACTCCCTCGGCCTTCACCTTGTCCCCGCTCAGCCCGTAACCTTTAAACCCGACCTGAAAACATTCGGCAAACATCAGCTCATTTGGTCACAACAGGCAGGCGATTTTTGCCGTATGCTTGGAATTATGTTTCAGATGCGCCCATGACGACGCGCATTGTCATAGTTGCAGCGCCGTGAAATTTTACGTTTATCTTTCCTGCATTTGCGTTAATTGTTGTCGAGCTATTAAAGGGATGTCGTAGTAAATTTGTCAATGTCGTAGTAAAAATGTCAATAATTTGCAATTCACATAAAACGTCGGAGACATTCCTCATTCTTTAATCTTAAGCTACCTGCGATGTCCTTTAATTTGGTCGAAAATTAAATATTAAGTCACAATGTAATTTACGATACGCGTTTATTAAGGGATCTCTACACCCTGTAATTTTGTAATGATTAATGCTCGTTTAATATTCATTTTTATTAAATTATTAGTGTCATTCCCCAAGCACTATACAACTTATAATATTTCATAAAGGCTGGAATTACTTCAACATAATGAAATCTACAATATTTATCGGTTATGTTTACCGACGACATCAAGGGCGTTACTGTTTTTTAAAGCTATGCAGTAATTAGCTATATTATCGGCAAGAAAATCGAATTAAGTTAGTCGGAAAACATGATTAGAAAAAATAAACATGTTTATGAATAAATTCAAGCTCGCATATTCCACCAGTTTGAGAACGAACTAAATAATACGCGAAAGTGTGTTGTATAAAAAAAATTGACAGATCGTAGCATAACCCCAATGCCTCCACCCATTTTAAATTAATAAAATAATTTAATGAAAAGCATTATAACAGGTGCTTAAATTTTGCGGGATTCTTTACCAAACGTTTTTCTATTGATTCTCAAAAATTTGCTAGTATGTATAATATGCTATCAGTTTCCGTTGTCGATTTCGGGACGCTTCCATAAATGTCCATGTTAAACGTAGCATCTTCATCGTCTAATTTCTCGGTTCTCTTATAACATTTATCAAAAAAATCGTGCGAGTTCCAAATACTCAATTTTTATCAATTTCTGTTATTATTTGTTAAAACAGACTAACACCTTTGATGTAAGCTCAATCGCTAATTGTTGTTATTTACGGCGAACGATATATTACAATAATTTGTTTACCCAGAAATTGTGCTATTCGAACAAATTTTAAGGACAAATAGCAAGTGTCGTATCAATTATATTTTATAACTTTTCTTGTCATTCGGCCAGAAACGAACGACCTCTCACATCAAATCAAATAATGCATGCGAAAGGTAGGAAGAAAAAGTGCAGTGTGGGACGGCATATTCGGTCGTAGCGCAGGTGTGCATCCAAACTTGACTTCTTCGCTCGCCTCTAAAGACTTTTGTCTGTTGTATCTAAATGTCAGCGACCTTCTCGATATTATAGACACACGCGCGTGGGCATATAAATATAGAGTCTTGAGTTTCCGATTCTTGCTGACAACATGACTTCCCATAGGTTAAAGACCTCGTTATCGCGCGCGAATCAAGCTTTTACATGATTGATTCGATGAGGCGACGATGCGATTCCTTTTCTTTCTTTCAGTGGCAACTGTTTTTGTGCCCGTATCAGTGACAATTGCGATATTGGCATATGAAATTGTCAGTCGAAAGTAAAATCGCAACGAACGGCGAATTCGCTGAGCGATGTTATGTTAGCGAAGTATTTTGTTCGCGTGTTTTTCATTTCATTCGTAAACAAAATTTTTGTTTTCTTTCTGCAGTAGCGATCGAGTATCGAGTGATCGATTCGACACGTAAAATAGAGCGCAGCACCAAGAATAAGCGAAATTCATCGCAAAATGTGCTATTTTTCGCTGTCACTCGTGTAACACCAAAAACATAACGGCTCGCGCAATCCAGCGAGAAAGAAGCAAAGGAGAAGGATCCAACTCGAAGGAAAACTTGCAGTCGTACAATTTGACGTAGTTTAACGCGTGATAACTTCAAATCAAAATCGCAAGTATGCCACGAAGAGGAATTGCACAACGCAGCACCGAAAAGAAATGCGAGTGAATCGCTGTGTGTGTATATGTGTGTGCGCGCGCGCGTGCGCGCGTGTGTGTGTGTGTTTAGCGCAAAACGAAAAACGATACGTGCCATGCTAAACTCTCGGATCAGCGATTCTCTTGCACGTTGCACCGCGCCGCTTGACTCTTATACATTATATTCAAATTTCGCCGACTGATTTGTTTTTACGACGAGCCGCGTAATTCGAAAAACCATTTGCAGGGGAAAATTTCGGACTGATAGATCATCGAGCGGTGATTCGACGTGAAACAGGCACATGCCTCTTACGTCGCGCATTCCATTCTACTTAATTATCCGAAAGCTATTGCCGTATCTCGCTCGTTAGAGTCCACAAAGAGATAAAGAGAGAGCGAGAGAGAGACGCTTCATTTAATTTAATATCGGCAACTATGCCTAGAACAACTTTCAACCCTGAAAATTTGAAACTACTCCAAAAATTTTCGCTCTAATGACAATAGGAGGGGTCTCTCTCTCTCTCTCTCTCTCTCTCTCTGCTTCTCTCGTTTCAAAAGGCATGCGGTGGCCTTGCACAGCTAATGGCTTTTCCATCTTGATGGTGCAGGTATAGAAAAGAGAGAGAGAGAGAAACGACGCGGACGGCTTTGAAATTTTTTCGAGGTCTGCATAGCAGCTGAGCTTCCTGGAAACTAACATTTTCGTTTCCTTTTCTCCTTTTTATTTTTTTATTTATTTAATTTTCGTCGCTGCTTGACTGCTTTTCGAAATTCGCCTTCCGTTAATTTATTGGGAAATGCAGTTTTTTTTTGTCTCTAACAAATGCGTCACAGAAAATTATTGAACCATTTTTCAAAATTCACAAACGCTTTTAATTGAGATTCGCAGCACAATCTTCGAAAGAAGAAAGCGAACAGAAATACAAAGTTGCCAACCGATGGGATAGAGTCAGTGACCGGCAACGAATGAAATACTTGAACTGTAATAACAGCAACGTGGACGAAAAATCCGACCGCGTACGTACAGTCAAATTCCTGGTGTGTTTCGACGCGACGGACACAACAGTTTCGATATTCACGACGAAGTGATCATTTTTCGCCAACGCTCGGTCTCGTCGAGGCGACGCGACGAAAAATAAAAGGAAAGGAAAATCGATTGGTTTGGAGTCGCGAGCAAAACATCCTGCGAGAAGGAAGCGCGATAGCTCAACAACGAAAGCGGGGGAAACGCGAGAACAGCTTCGACTCCGTGCGTGTTTGGGAAAATCAATCGCGATCCTTGGTTGTACTATGATCTATTGTTCACGCGCACGCGCACTTATGTGTATAAACGCTGGCTTTCGAGTCTTTCGAGCTCACGGATGTTTATGCTTCCGATCGATATGGCATTTTCACGAATAGATAATTCGTCGCTGTACAGAAGCGTCGCCGATAATATTCCGGAGCTCGAAGACGGCACACAAAATTATCCGTAATCCAAATGTACAGCAAAATCGACAACAGCTTCGAGTTTTCGGAGTAACGTGCGGCGTGCAAAAATTTTCGAAAACGACCGTTACAAGCGTTGTAGCCTGTCGTCTCTCGCGATCTCTCTTTGTGAAATTTCCGCCTACGGGAAAATTTCAGCTTGCCGTTGCTCGCCTCTACCCTTGGCTCAAAAATTGCCATTCTGAAAATCTGTGGAGCCGCGCGTACGCTCTATCCCAAAAACATTTTCGCGCGGGCGTTCGTTCGACACTTTTCATTTTTACGTCCAACTGCGGAATTTCCACGCGACCGTTCGGCAGCGTCGTTAATCGTTGTGTCGGAATCACGATGTTCAACGTCGCCTATGGCCGTGCTACGTGAAACAGCGCAGTTCGTAGTTTCTGTGCGATTCAGGCGTATTTGAAGGTGTGTACACGTCGACGATTGACCGTGATCGTGTCGACAAATGGAAATGAGATGGTACACGCGCGAGTGAATGAATCCGACGATAGTTTAGGAAAAGGCACGTAAACGAGAGCGACGCCGTGGCGAGGCAAAAAGCGCGCGAAAATCAGCGGAAAATCCACGAAACCGTGAAAGACAGAGGGGGAGAAGAGAGAGAGTGAGACGGATAGAGAAGCCATCGCGTCCACCCCCTCGTGTGGTGTCGGTGCGACGCGGCCAATAAGATCGGCGGAAAGTGGGAAAAGCGCTGGCGACGAGCGGGGGTGCAGTAGTCCCAAAGCGAGTGGGGACTCGACTATAAAGCTGAGCGGCGCGCTACCGTCACGATCAGTGTACTCTTGGCGTCGAGCCTAAGGTGCGAGTGGTGCGTGACGTCCGGGGACGTGCCGAGGTAAGCGCATGACGGACCTAGTCGTCGGTGTTCGGTGTAGAGTAAAGTAGAAGTGGTAGAGCGTCGGATGTAATCTTGTCCCGGTTGGGCGGCGCTGATTTTCGAGCCTCACCGGGTAGGATTCATTCGGCGTTCTATCTCGCTTGTCATCTTTTCCTCTTGGACTTCTCATCGGTTACGGAGTCTCGGAGTTAGGGGCGCAGTATTGGTCTAGTGGCACGTCTTTAGTTTAATAATCGTGACTAGATCGAAATACTCGTCCCTGGCCGATGGCAATGCTGCAGCGGTTTTTCTGTTCTCTCTCTCTCTCTCTCTCTCTCTCTCTCTCTCTCTCTCTCTCTCTCTCTCTCTCTCTCTCTTCTACCTCCACCTTCCAGACTGGTTGGCAAGCTTAAACAATATATCCCTTATACGTATTCTTTGGTGATCTAGTTGTATGGTACATTTAGATCATAAAGCTAGTTTATCAAAGATTACGTATGTGGAACCTCATCGTGGAAGACATCGCTTCAACTTACTGCTCACAGTAGTGCTGGAGTCTGCAAAAACTACAGCTCTGATGTGTTGCATATTCATATCACAGCTGTAGTTATGCAGTTTACAGTGCGCAAAAATCATCGATGGATTAGACTCGACGCCGGAGATTATGGTTCGATTTTTCTGCTTATACGTAGTGCATGGTAAAAAAAGTAGCGCGTGGGATGAACGTCCTCCTGGATGACGCCTACATCTGCATTGACCGTCACTGGGTGATGTTTATCCCGTGCTTTGCTTTATTTGACAACATAGTTTGTGAAAAGTAGTTTGCCTTACGCTAGTGGATGTCTTCATTGTGGGTATGAACGTGAGATGAACTCCACCCTGTTGGCGACACTTATTCAAACGTCACTGGGTAGTGTTTGTCCCACTTTCGTTGCCTGTAATACGTCCACCATAGGCCATCTCTAATACCGATAGTCGCTATCCATCTTTTATTCTTTCATTTTTATTTTATTTTTATTTCGTTTTTGTGCAATGTAGTATTTTGCGTATTTTTTTAAAGCTGTTCGAAGACAAATTAAGACAAAGTAAAGTACTACATTGAATGCACAAAGCCCGTTTGGTGTGACTTTTAATAGCGTCATTGGGTGATGTATATTCGATTAAGTACTTTGTCCCAACGATCAACTGTTTAAATTTTTTCACCTAATACTTTATAACTATTGTTATATTATTTAGTAAGTGCGTATTTGTAGTATAGTGTACTTACTAGTACTTTCAAGCCATAATTATGATTTAAGGTTGATTGTTGTTTTTTATAGCCACGAATCCGCAAATAATTTCCGTACCTAGGTACTCAATTTTTGTAAATTTCATTTACCTTGTTGGTGAGGCAAGTATTGAAATCTTTCTTCATGTCTCTAACGGAAACTCGATCGTGTGGTCTTTTGGGTCCGCTGACACTCGAAACAACGGTGGCCAAGTCCAAGGTGACAACTTCCGAGAAAACAGGATCTTGCTTGGCATCATCATAGTTGCGGATCATTCGCACGGACTTCAGATATTGTTCTATTCTCTCGATGTGCTCCTCGGAACGGCCTTTAAATTTAATTGTGTCAAATGTTATTCGTCTTCCAAATATTGTTATAAAAATTATATTACAGCTTTGAATAAAGTTTTATAAAAAATGTCGTTTATATTTGGTTATCATTTATAGAGCATATCTTCAAACTATTATATTTGTTAAACATTGATATTTTCACAACCATTCCATTTCAACAAATAAATACGAAATATTCATTAGTACATATTAAAAAATGTTATCTAGAAAATCGCTTAATATAATAAATACGTGAACTTACTAGTTTGACGAAGATAAATTAAACTCTGATGGTCAACGGGAAAAAAACCAACTGTGGCTCCATATTCAGGACACATGTTAGAAATGGTTGCTCTGTCAGCAATGCTCAATTGCGACACTCCAGGGCCGAAAAATTCCACAAATTTACCAACAACACCAAGTTGTCTCAAATTCTATAATATATTTATAATCATTAATAACCTTTATTGTTTACAAATGCTTTTTTAATGTTTTGATTTTTAAATATTTATATGCTATTTTAATGATTATAAATTAGAATTAAATTTAAAATCAAAAAAGTGAAACTGATCATTTGCACTCAATTATACAATTTTTCAGACAGCGCTTAAGTTATTCAAATAAAAAAATATTAGAAAGTATAAGCATACGATTACCTTTGTAATTGTAAGAACTAAATCAGTAGATGTGACATATTGAGTTAATTCACCAACCAATTTATAACCTACAACTTTAGGTATCAGCATAGAAATAGCTTGTCCCAGCATAACAGCTTCAGCCTCAATTCCTCCAACACCCCAGCCAAGAACACCAAGACCATTAATCATAGTAGTGTGCGAATCGGTACCCACCACACTATCAGGAAACAGGTAGTCATTCATATCAAACACTACTCTGGCCAAATACTCTAAATTAACTTGATGAACAATACCACTGCCAGGTGGTACAATTAACATATTTTCAAATGCTTTAGCCCCCCACTTCAAAAACATGAATCTTTCCTTGTTTCTTTCGAATTCTAATTCTTCATTCTTTTTACTAGCATCTTCACTATTACCATAAAACAAAGAATAATACATTTTTAACTGATAAATTTTTTTCATTTGAAATACATTTGGAAATAATTTTTTATTACCTTCTACTAAAATCTACTTGAACAGAATGGTCTATCACTAGATCTGAGGGACAGACTGGATTGATTTTGTCAGGATCTCCATTTAGCTTTTTAACAGCATCTCTCATGGCTGCAAAATCAACAACTGCTGGTACTCCAGTGAAATCCTAAAAATGATTAGAATTAGTGTTGTGCCATCTATATAATTACAATGCAACATTAATATTAAAATTTATTATTTAAAAACATTAAACTATTACTATTTATAATTAACTTGAAGTTAAATGAATTGCAAAAATAAAATACTAAAAGGTAGCGACCTCAATTCCTATTTAGTATGAGTACATATAGTCAGTATTTGCATAATTAAGCAGTTGAATGCAATGACACTGATAACGATATTATCTAATATACTGAAGACAAACATTAGATAATTTGTATTGGTTGCATGAATATCATATCAAGTACACAATGAAAAGTCAAATTTATTGATTACAATTTATCAGAAATTAATCAATGTTATATCTGATGTCAATATTTATAAAAAAAATTGAAATTCTCAAACACAATAAAACGTTCTAAATAAAATACAAATTCATTCAAATATACTCCAAATACTATAAGATAGTTTTTTTTGTTAAATATAATTTAACTATCAAATGAAAAAATATTTACCTGAAGAATAACTCTGGCAGGTTTGAATGCAACTTCCACACCCTCTTCTATTGCTTGATTCTTTTCCCAGTCCATCAGCTTCTCAACATCTTCTTTTTTAACTTGGAACTCATCACAATTCCTAACAGCACTCTCAAGAAGAACCCTTATAGAAAAAGGCAGCCTATCTGTAATACCACAGAAATAATTCATACGTTATTATATACAATATGTCGACATTCTGTTAATAAACAAGTGCTACAACTCACCATATTTTTCGCCAAAAGCAGTAACATTGAAAAAGTGTTTCTGTTTTCCTCTGATTTCAATGGTCTGAAGTAAATTTTTGTATGGATTGCTCGCTGGAACCAAAAAATAATGTAATTTTTGGTAAATTGAACTTATCAGACTGTTTACAGCGCTTTCTTTGGATAATACAGCACACGAGAATGCTTTGTATAAATTAAACATGTTTTACGAATTTGCATCTCAAACTATAAAACACTAAAAAGCAAAAAGTGCAAGCTCATCATTCAACTAAAACATATTCTATTTACAGCGACAAAAATTTTAACAAAAAAAAACAAATTTTCACGTTACTTTCTTGTTTCATGTTGTTTGCACATTCGCTTTTATTTTTTCGTCAACTTTTGCGATAACAATTAAAAAGAACGAAACGTTCACACGGGTCGAGAACTTTCAAATGTCACTAAAATTCGCAAAATCACAGGATAGTCGATGAAAGTTTCGGAAAGTTATCTCAAAATAACTTGATAATGCGAAGGTGCCTGGAAAATTTGGGTATAATCGTGACACGAATAAAAATTTCAAATGAAAACTGAACGAGTAAAGAACGCAGTGTGCACTTACCAGCCATGATTGTCACTGCCGAAGTCACGTCGTCCACTTTCTTACAAACAACACGGCAGTACAGTCCCGTATATCTATACCATGTGTGCAAGAAAGAGAAAGAACGACAGAGATCGAAAGATATAGAATTGTAAGGTGAGCCGCGACTACTTATCTCTCTTGTTTGCAAGGTTTCTTTGAGGTTATACGCTACATACGTACATACATATATGAATGGTTTGTATACTAATGTAATGTCATGCAATCACATTTCACCTTGAAAGATTTGTAGAGATAAAAGAGAAAGTATGTAAAGAGACGATCAATCTGATTAGGACACTCACATTGACATATTTGTGAACAAAACTGTTTTTATATTTAACGTTATGTGTTTGTCAAATAGAAAAAAAAGGAAACTTTATCAGGTTTCTTTACTGCAATTAACCTATGGAAGATGAGAAATTTTTAGCGCGCATTTGAGATATTTTTGCGTCGAATGTAAGAACGATAATGTACCAATCAACACATAAATAACAACTCGTTGAAATTTGAAATTGGAACTGTCGCTGATGTACGAGAGATGTCGCTAGTTGTCTCACGGCCGCGAGACGTTTAAATGAAAAGTGAATATTGTCACATATTGTTGTCTAAATATATTAAATCAGCTGCGAGACATTTAAATCGAAGTAAATATTATGATATTGATATACTCTTATTTCTGTTCAATTAATTTGACGAGACAGAAACATAAACCTAGAATTTTGTCAATGGATCTTAAGGAAGAAAATAGTATCCAAATATTTGAATTTCATTATGATTTAAAAACTTACATATACTTAATTATAATGTGTTTAGCTGACTACGCTTTATAGTAACAATAATAATACACATAATAATGAAATGGTATATTCAGAAGCAATAAGCAATCAGCGCCAAAATTCAAATAAATTCCTCGAATATCATTATAAATAAATGTTACAGGCTGCGGCTCATTTATAGGAAATTTCACTATTTTCCTCCAAATTATATTACAATCAGTACTTTCACGTGCCAGATAGCGAATTTGTAAATGTCAGATTACGACAATCGTATGAATTAAGCAATAAGCAACACACTTTTGAAAACAAACGATGTGACAAGTCAAATTTGAGTAACTGTCAACAAACTCCAACCTACCGTTTTGGCCACCACCAACAAAATTTTCGTCAACTTTTCGACATTACAATTCACATATCAAAATTCACGTAAGTTTCTATCCTATCTATTCTCTTTTGCAGCGCAAACTACGACTACCCGCCATGTATTTTTTTCCCCTTAGCAATTGGAAAATGCAAGTTGCGATCGCTATATGCTCTATTACTTTTGACCAATCACTTTCGTTATTGAATTTTACCTGTCGTACACTCGCTCCATAATCGAATTCATTATCATGGCGAAAGAACAACTATCGCGAAAGAATAACCACGCTGATGAGCAATAATCTATGAAGCTGCGATGCTTATCATACGTCAAAAGCATCTTCCGCGCTTCAATAAAGATGCGACAATGTGTGTCAATTATTGCGCGGTTTGTTTTCTTTTCAATCAGTTCTGTACTTGCGTTTTGAACCATCGCACATGCGATTTCAATCCCCGTTGCATTGTCACGAGCATCGCGGTGATTTTGCCCCCCCAATGATGCTCTCGGAAAGAAAAACCCTAAGCGAGCGCCACGATTGAACAGCAGAGTTCCGGCGGACGACGAAATGGAAACGAAGCGGCGCGAGAGAGCCAGAATGACGTCGCGGTGAGGAGCCTTGGGAAGCGTCGCACGCGCCAAGTGAGCCGCGCGAGGAGACGATGAACCGGGCGAGTGGCGCGTGCGCGCGGCCGGCGTCGCGCGGGTGTGCAGCCGCGACGACCGAGACCGCGGGCGGCGCGGCCGCCATCGCCGCGGGACCATGCCGAGCGCGTACGTTGCGGTCCCGCGCCCATCCCCGGCGTCGCCCCGGCGACTCGGCTTGAACATGGCCCGTTCGCGCGCGCAGCTCGACCGAACGTGCGCAACGCGAAGTCGACGATCCCGAAGCGCGGCCCGCCGCCGGCCTGCCCCAAGAAGGTGGACTACAAGAAGCCGCAGATGACCAAGGCCATGATGCAGAGGCTCAAGCACTCGGAGAAGTTCCGCGAGGACATGGAGCGCAAGGAGCGCGAGCGCCAGGAGGCCCAGCAGATGCGCCGGCCGCGGCGAGCGGCCGCCCCGCCCGGCGGAGAGGCGCGCATGCGCAGGCCTGCCGACGTGAGAGCTCGTTGCGCGCCGTTCGCTCGGGGCAGGGCGGGCGCGCGCTCGGGGGGGCGTTCACTCGCGGCCACCTCGCCCCGGTTTCGCGGCGCCCTGCCTCCGCTCGGCTCGGCGCGCGCCGCGGAGCCGCGGCCGACCGACCCGACCGAACCGCCCGCAGGCGAGGTGCCCGCGGCCGAGGAGCAAGGAGCCGGCGGCCTGCGCAGCGCTCGAGAGGACGGCCTGCCCTGGCCTGCAGCAGGCGCCCTCGCGGCCGACGTCGCGGGCCGCCCTGCCGTGCCCGCGCGGCCCGCCGCGGAGCCCCGCGGCCGCGGCGGCCGTGCCGGCGCGCACGCGCGACCTCGCCGCGTCGATGAACGCCGACATCGTGCAGGCCGAGCCGCTGCAGGTCGGGCCCATCGACAACGTCATCATACCGCCCGGGACCATCAACTCGGAGAGGACCACGATCGTCAGCATACCGCAGCAGGCGCCCGCGAGCCCCTTGCCCTCGTCGACCATCGCGCCGGGAACGTGCTCGGCCGCCAACCGCAGCGTCCAGCTCATCAGCGAGACACTGGACGAGCAGGTGACCGCGACTCGAGCGTCGAATCCCCGAAGCTCGGCTCGGCGATCGAGAGCGGACTTCGACGAATGTCGGGGAGTCGCGAGGCTCCGCTCATGCGAATTCTCCGGATTAGGACGCAACGGAGGCGGCGGTCGTCAATTCGAAGCTCCAGGACTTGCAGCAAGCTCGACGTGACTTTGTTATGGCGGTGGCGAACGTGGGTGGAAATGCAATCAACTTACAGGTCCAAACTCAATATCAATATTTGGTAAAAAAAAGAGTGGTATCAGGTTTATTTATAATTGAGGCCGAAACGACGGAACAGAAAGCTAAAATATGGCGTACAACCGTAACGGTCTTGATAAAATTGAGGAACATTGGCAGGACGACGAGCTAGCAAATGTCACACCGATATCCGAGATAACGCCGCCGTATCTTGGATCGCCGGAGCCACCAAGCCCAGTCTTGCAGCGTTGCCCCTCGATCGACAATCAATACTTCGTACCCGAGTACGGGATCGACGACCCAGGCGCCGAGGAGAGACGGCGCTACTTGCGCGAGCGCGGAAAATACATCGACCCGTTCGCTCAATTGCACCGACCCCCCGTGGAGACCGAGGAATGCTTCGAGCCACCCGACACTTTGCCGGCTGGACTTTTCGACGATGGCAGTGCCTGCCCGCAGCAAGCTGCTTACTCGGTGCCGAGGTTGGCTCTCCTCGCGCCTTTTCCGCGCACTTCCATCGACGGGAGTTGATGCGATCGCGCGCGTTTGTCCGCAGACGACAACCTTACGAGTACCTGCCGTGCGACGCGGAGCGACTCCAGCGGTTCTTCGATTTGGAAAATTACCCGCCTCAGCCACCGCCGCAGAGGCCGTCACCGACACCCGGAGCGCCACCCGGCCGAGAGTGCCTACCGTCCGACCTTTGGGATTTAGATGATCCTTGGTACCTCGAAGCTGACGAACCCGATCTCATACAGTTCTGAACACGGTGCTCGCGCTGTAATGCACATTCAGATCATTCACGAGCATTTCGAAGCATTCAAAGGTGGCTTTTTACTCTTTCGTCGTTGATTGATTTCACTCTGACAAAATAGCTCTTAGAAAACGTTTGCGAGATACAAGTGCTTTTCTCGTTAACCGGTCAATTTTTTTTTGTAAACAAATCATCGAAGGAGAAAATTAAATTATTAATCTTTTCGTAGAGACAAATCGTAGTTGATTTCTTCTTCATACAAGGACTATTAGTTGATTTTTTTAACATAGTACCGTTTTTTAGTCGTGTAAGCTTGAATTTTAATTACAGATATTTAATATGAAAATATTTTCTCTTGCAGGCTGACGAAATGAAGAAATAAACCAACGTGCTACTGTCGCAATGTTTTCATGACTTCAAATTTTTCACTTTTTTGATGACTACTTTGAAAAATCCGTGATACTGTAAACAAACAAGTTGTTTTTTATTTTTGTGCGAAAAAAAAATTGTTAAAAACACAATTGAAAAAATTACGATGCATGCAGTGTAAGAAAAAAAAATTGCAAATGAATCGGACAACCAGTAAACATGTAAGTGAAATAATAAAGATTTGTTATTCACTTGAATGTCAACTCAATCTTTTTTAAACACGCGCAATAATATTCAATCATGAAAACAGGCGGTTATAATAAAAACATCATGTAATGGTATTTAAATAAATTAATCATTAAGAATCTTCCTGCTTTTTGGTGACTTTAAAAAAAGAGGAGATTCCGTATTAGGCTTGATTTTTTTTGGCGTATATTTTCGAAACGGTTGACCTAATTTCAGTAGGGGTGAGATCGTTGGAAGAGGTATGATAGCGAGATGATCCCGTTTCATTATTGACTTAATACGAGGCATTAACGTCAAATCATCTTCTTTTAGGAAAAAATGCACTCGTGTAGATTTTCTGATTCTTTTTCTCCTTGTATAAGGACAGACTTGACTTATTCGTATTCTTTTCTATTCCACGTATTTTACTACTACCTGCCTTAACATAATGAAACTCTTTCATCCTTTCGTCCAAAAAATCTGCATTCACGGAAGCACAGTACTTTGTGAACGAGCAAACAAAAGTCAGAGACTATAAGGAAAGCTAAGTCTTGAATGATTCCCTCGGCGAGCGACAGACTGCCGAACTTATAATATTCGGTCATTCGATTGCTGGCAAACGGAAGAAGGTGCGATCTTCTATTCCATTTGCTCTACATTACTAATTTCAATGTTTTCGCACACATCGCAATCTAAACCATCCCGGATATTAGGAATTCCCCGGGCTGCTTTCGTAACTTTAGCATATTTCCTTTGACAACTATTTCATTTTTATAAAAAATAAAAATATCCAAGGTTTTCAGCTTTTCTGCGGAGAAGTTTTTTGCCTTAACTTACTGGTTCTTAACTGTAGATAGAAATATTAAGAATCTACTAAAATTTAAATAGCATTAATAGAAAGCTATCATCGAATCTTCATGTTTATAAGCAAAATTATCAATAAATTTCCGTGTTATAAGTTACGCCGTTCTCACATTTTTTCCATGTCGGATTGTAAAACTCATACCACTCAAAATAAGTAATTTTTTAATGGAACGATTGTCGAGCTTCCGATCTGTGGCGAATTCATCGAGCTCTCCAATGAAAGTCATTGCAATTGAAACTTTGCAACGGTGATAAGTCAGGACGGAAATTGAAGTTCGTAAACCGGGGATAAGTCGTATCGCCGTGACACGTTACGGTACTTTGCAAAATATTGCTGGATTGCTTCCTTAAAGCATTCGTAGCATTTTCTACAACGGTATTCATATTTGCATTTACGATTCTTCCATTTACACCTAAAGTCTGTATATTGCATTTAAATCAAATCGAACGTCGAGCGAAATTCTTGCGCGCTCGAAAGTAAGAGAGTAGTGGGGATACTCGACAAGTGGACGAGCACACTCGCTTGGCGTCCTTATTTCTGGCATTTTCAATCTAATATATTAGGTTTATAACAATTCAATCCATCGAAAGCTCTGCTTAATTTCTACTATTTATTAGTTTAGTGTTCATGAATAAATAACAATAACAAATAAACTTTTATTTAATAAGCGTAACTTTCACTTAGATAACATGTTTCGTTGATAGTCTTGATTGAACTTGCCAAATCGGATAGCATCGCAGAACGCTGCTTTTTACGATTCTTAGAGAAAACAATCTTTTGTCAAAGATAGCTCTGTTGCTGGGCAGCACCTTGATGTATTGCAACAGGTGTCCCCTCGGTAGGAAACAACGCAATTGTCAAATTCAACTGTATTCCAAAACTTGAAACTCTCAATTTTCTACTAAAAACCTATTTTAATTGGATTTAACAATTGTATAATTAGCAACTTTTCGACATTTTTGTTTCATACGTAAGGTTTATTTAGCTTTCTATCGTTATTTTGCTGTCGATCTCTTTGTACAAGAATTATTCAAGATCATAGAGAAATAAAGGTAGTATACATGTTACAACGTAATGCTGCCACTTACATCTAGGAGTTTGAATTTATCTTATTAAAAAGTATTCGCAAAGTAACGAATAGATCTTTCGACTTAATGAAAATAAATAAAAAATAATACTTTTTACCGAGCAATTTATTTTAAGATTGCGACAACTTGAACGTAGACAGTCCATTGAAACAAGTGGCTGATCTTTTCGACATATCGGCCATCAAAATCATAGAATATTCGAAGTAAATAGCAGCGACAAGTTCTCGTACACGGAAATCAACAGGTCCCCTGGAATTTCCAGGTCGCGGTTTGAGCAGCGCCAAGTTTATAAATTGAATGAACTCGCGATTGTGATTATTCAGTACTGGCATTATCTGATCCATTAAACCATTGAGCTATGACGTTGAAAACACAGCAGTAGACAGCGGCGAAAATATATCGGTCTACAAAGCACGCGAATGCACGGAACGCAATTCGGCAAAGACAACGCCGAGAACAAGCGCGAACGACGAATCGCGCCCGGAGCAGCTCGAGCAGTCGGAGAGAGCCGAGAACGTATGGCCGCACAGCGAGGCGCCGAGTCACGACGGCGAGTCGCGAGCCAGTACGACTCGGGCCCGGGCCAGCGGTAGACGCGACTCGGCCGTAAGTAATTTGCAGAAGTTCCAGCGAAAGCAGCGTCCTCCACGCTGGCACTGCAGCAGCACGCACCAATGGCAGCGGCACTGTCGCTGGCCGTCATCTACAACCAAACCAACATCGTGGAGGCGCTCATCGACTACGTCCATCCGTCGGTGGGCCAGCCGTCGCTGCCGCTGTCGCGGACGCTGCTGCATCTGGCGGTGCGCAACGGCAACCTGACCGTCGCGCGAGCGCTGCTGAAGGCCGGCGCCGACCCGAACGCCACGACCGACGACGGGCTGTCGTGCCTGCACGTGGCCGTCGGCAGCCGGTCGAGCGCCATGGTCGAGCTGCTCCTGGAGTCCGGCGCCGACGTCAACCCGGCCCGCAAGTTCGACGGGCGCACGCCGCTTCGCATGGCCGTGGAACAGCAGTGCGAGGACATCGTGGAGGTGCTGCTGGACCGCGGAGCGAAGCTGGACGAGCAATCGGTGGAGGGCTACAGCGTGCTGCAGCTGGCCGTGTGCCACCGCAGCGAGAGGATCGCCGACGCCTTGGTGAGGCGGGCCGAGCCGAGCCAAGTGAACGCCAGGAGGCCGACCGACGGTGAGTGTCGTCGCCCCGCCGTCGCCCGGCGGCCGCCGCGTCGGCCGGCCCGCGACTGCGAGGACGCGCCTTGCAGGCAAGTCGGCGCTGCACCTGGCGATCGAGAGCGGCCACCCCGGCGTGGTGCGCCAGCTCGTCAGGAAGGGCGCCCACGCGGAGGACGAGGCCGGGGCGGACGGGTGCACGGCCACGCCGCTGACGTTGGCGGTGCTGTGCGGCGACGAGGCCACGGTGGCGCTGCTGCTGCGCCGCGGCGCCCGCGGCCTGGCGCGCGACTGCCTGCACCGGGCCGTGCGCCAGCGGAGCCGCGGTATCGCCGAGCTGCTGCTGGGCCAGCGGGTGCTGCCCGTGGACGGTCTGGTCGCCGGCGAGACGGCGCTGCAGCTGGCCGCCGACCTCGGCTACCGGGACATGATGCGGGTCTGCCTGGCGCACGGCGCCTCGCTCGATGGGCTGCGCGCGCGCAGCCTCGCGCTGCTGCGCGACGCCGTCAAGGCCAACGACGTGCGTCTGGTCGAGCTGCTGCTCGCGCGCGGCGCCCCGGTCAACGGGCTCCTGGGCAAGCGGAACCGGACGCGCGTGTTCGACCTGGCGGTCGGCGCCCGCCGCGTCGGCATGACCAGGCTGCTGCTCAAGCACGGCGCCTGGATCAACATGCGCGCCGCCGCCGAGGACGCGGCCTTCGCGCTCAAGTACGCGGTGCTCGGCCTGGCCGAGGGCTACAAGATCCAGCGCGAGAACCGGAAGCTGGTGCGCACCGATCAGCGCTGGGCCGACTTCTACGAGGCCTGCCGCCAGGAGCTGAAGCTCGCCAAGGGCGAGGAGATCGCCGCCGAGCAGCAGCTGACCATCTTCGACCTGCTCACGGGCGACGCGGACGTGCTGGTCGCCTGCGCGGCCGACCGCCGCTTCGTCGAGGCCTTCCCCGACTCCGGCTACCGGCAGCGCTACCCGATCTACGCCGACGCCATCGCCCTCAATTACGCCAGGGGAATCGCGAGGCGCACCTACCTACGGCAAGCCGCGATGATCCTCGAGAAGCGCATCGGCGTCTCGCCCGACAGCGCCGAGTACGTGGTCAAATTGATGAGCGAGGCCGAGCTGCGCGACTTCGTCAGGGCCTTCTGCGACTCCGAGCAGGACGAGCATCATTGTCTGCCCGAGACCATCGTGCGGTTTTGATCACCGCTCCATTTTTCGCTTCTTTTTTTCCTACGTCGATGACCGATCGACAAGAGTGTTACACCTACTTCTTAATTGTATATTTTTTCTTTGCAAGACTATTTGTAAATTTGATGTTCTGCAAATATCTAATCTATGCGCTGACTATTATTCCGTTTGGGAATATTGAATAATTGACGAAATTGTACATATCGAGTGTAAATATATGATCACGAAAAGTAGATTAGTAAGGATTTTAGATTTGTGACGATTGTACATACATATAGCGTTACAGTCTCAATGACCTTTCTTTGGCAACTCAAGTGCATTTTCAAAGGAAATCTGATGAAAATAATACATTGTCTGAGCTAATGGTAGAAATAAAATTTGACTGGAAATTGATAATTCTTTGATGAGCTTTTCTTACCAGGTTGGCATCCGTTCGACCAGCCGCCGGGAAAGCGTCGATTCCTGATCGATCCAAATCCCATGTCCAGAAGATAAGACGCAATCCGCGATAAGCAGGCACAGAATAGACCTCGTTTGCTCGGTCAAATCACTTTGAAAGCGCTATCGAGACAAATGAAACGAGCCACCGGCGGATAAGCGTGGATGACGAAGACGTTGCGCGCGAGTTCTCTGGATTTTGCGTCGGATTTTTTTCGAGTGCGCTAGAAATCTCCCGTAGGCTCGTCGCTCGCGAGAATCCGACGAGAACCGAAAAGTAGCCAATGGCAAGCTGAGCGCCACAGGAATAACAGCTCTTTATCGTATCAGTGGGCTTTTAACGACGCTCAATGCGCGTCCAACTCTGATTGCAATTCGAGAGGGCCCGGAATCGCAGTTGAGTACAGCCGACGAGCTATTCGCGCCTTTCGCGACAAAAGTCAACCGTGTGCTTGACGCTGTCGTTGGTCCGAGCCCTCCCGCGCCGTTTCTGCCGTACGACGTGTGTTCGCGCGATCAGCGCGATCCGTGTTGACTGCCGTAAAACAATCGATCGCTCGCGCAAAGCAAATGCCGACAATCGCAACGAGCTACTTGCCATGCTATATAGTCCACGATAAAATTGTATCGAAGCTCCCAGCGACATTGAAAAAAGTTGTAACGTTTTTCGTAAACGAACTGCAAACAAACTGAAAACAACGAGTAATGAATGATAGCCCTAACTCTTGCGTGTATCTATCGTACATTGAAAAGGTGAATATTGTCGAGCAAAGTTCGAGCAGAATCGATTGGTTCTGTATAAAACATAAAATTCAATTGGAACTACGTTGATTGAATTATAAACGTCTTTGAAATTATTATATCCAATCATGAATGTCGGGGGTTGGTTTCGTAGTTATAAGTCGTTAACCGGAGAAGCAAATTTTTTACCTAAAAACAGCATCCGTTTATAAATGAACGACCGAATCGACCGATATCGGTCAACTAAATTTATTGTTAAATAGAAGGTATGTTAAAAGAAATGCAATAATTTTTAATCGTTATTTTTCGGTGATAATATTCAACGAAAAGCATTGTGCATAAAATTGCAATCACATATATGCAAGTAAGTTTGACGTTATAACGTTCGGCTTGAAAATGAACATCGGCAACGAATTCGAAACGACGGTTATTGTTCGATCGGCATCGCTACGTTGTAAACGCGGTATTATTCCTCAATTTTCCTTGTTTCACTTGTGAGAGTCGCCAAGCCGGTGCCTGTCTCGAAATGCCCTCGCATAGTTTTGCGTCGTGCTCAACGCGTAGACGATGCGTTACAGCAGCCGCCGCGCACATCCGTTTGAAAAAGTTGGTCCGAGCCTTGCCGAGTGATCTCGCGGTCGAACATGAGCAGCAACGATCAGTCACCGTGGGGAAATCTCGCGTTCTCGGACGAGATTCGCTACAGAATCTTTGCACGATTGAGCGCCAAAGAACTGGCGCAGGTTGCGGGCGTTTGCCGGTGCGTACTTCGAGGCGACCAGCTTGATCGGTGCGTAATATCATGGCTGTCACTGCTTGTGCCCGTAGGTGCTGGCGCACGGAAGCCAGGAAGATGCTTTCGAAAAGAAATAAATTCGAGAGTTTGATCTTGCCACTGTGGATAACGCCTTACAATAACGGAGTCTCTCTCCTGGAGGGGGGCGAATTTTGGGACATTTACTTCCAACGGCTAGCCGGTGATCCAATCAGTCCAGTCAGTCCACTTGCGATAACTGGAAACTGGGAGGTTGGCCAAATACTCAGATGCGTACCAAAGGTGTTTTACGTGTTTTACGATGACACTGCCGACGTAACATATCCATGTACGTGCGACACGATCGCATTGACGAAATTGCAATTGTTTTTGTAAAACTCAACGACATGTGATTAATCGCTCTTCGCAGTTTGCACCGAATATGTCGAGTCTCTGCCTAGGTCTACTCTGTATACGGAAGCGGGATTTCTGCGTATGACTTTGGATGGAACGGAACTTTTCGGAGTTACGAATATAGGCGCCGGACTTGCGCTCCCGTCGACGCCCCTTTTGCAGTGTCACATGCTGGATATTAGTAGTTACTTCGAAGCCGAGTACATCGATCATTATGATATCAAACAGGAGACCTACTCGATCAACTTGGCGATGAGAGAATTATCGTCGCTCGCGTTGAGCCCCGATTCCAACTGCTTCATCGTGTTGTTGAATCGGTCGAAGATCGAAGAATGGCAAGAGGGTCCGGATTGGAAATTCGAAACCTACATAAATGCGTTCATAAGCCATTTAACGAAAAGGTATGGCACATTCATTGTTCCTCAGAAAGCGCGAGAAATCAGCGGTCGGTGATGTTTGACCCGCAGTTTGGATGCTGTATCGTACTCGCTGTTGGGCACTGGATGCTCATGGATCGCGAGTTCTTCGCGTTCTCAACCATGGAGCACCTCGGAATTCACTAATTTCACGCTAATCTACGGCTCGGCCTTCAAATCTTGGTCGATCGTCATAGCTCTGAATTTATCACCGGCGCAGATGATAGCCAAGCTGAAGGACTTGAAGAGGAATATCGATGTGAATTCGTCGGCTGTCGCATTATGCTCGTACCCTGTGGACAAGACTTGCTCTTGTTGGTCGAGCACCGACCAGGGCCTTTGTGGAGTTTCGCACTTGGATCCAACGGAAATATTCAAGCGAGTGTTCCCCAAGATCACTTTGACGTGCTTCTACGATGATCAGGATTACTCGCAATTTGGTTGCAACACCTTGGATCACGGTAAATTTTTCCCACCGAATAATAATATTCGACTATGCTTAAAATTTTCATTTGATTGTAGATGAGAATCCGGTATTCGTGCACAAGAAATCATTGATTTATTTGATATTAGCTATGGATTAATCGGATACGTCTCGACTAAAAGCAACACCAAACACGGTTTCTTCATACTCAAGATTTTCTAACGTGATTAACGTTCGTCAATGATCTTTCATGTTAATGGTTAGCCAATTTGTAAAGTATATTAAATCTATTATTTGAAATATTTTATTGGCGTGAAAACGCTTGTAATAGAAGTAATAAAATTACATCGGAAAAAAACAGCGAACAACGTATACAAGTAAACGTACAGAGGCAATGAAACAAACTTCAAATTTCTGCGCGTTTGCAAACCTTGGAGGCAGCAAAAATACGTATAGCAACGTACACTGGTACGACTGGTACTCGAGTACGATTGCTAAATAGTGCTAACTTTTACAGTAGCCCGTAAGAATGAACTGAAGCGGGGTTTCATTGTGGTCGTCCACAAAGGAAAGCTATTCGCTATTAAGGACTGCGATAAAGATATCACGGCTCGCAAAGATGAGTGGATGGTTACGAATGGATTACGAGTTGCATTTGGATAATAATCTCGAGGCAGAAAATTTCATCCAACCGCACTACTAATGTTGATTATCATTTAACTTATGCGATTTTTTGCATGGTCGTTTGACCATTTAGTAAGAAAAACTGATAATTATTTTATTCGATTGTTCAGCCGTGTGTAAACTCGTAAAAAGTGTCGAAGAGAATTATTAAAGCTAATCGATCGATCGCCATTTAACACAATTATAATTAGCCAGGCAACCGTGTAGATATTCATTATTCAGTCCATATGATAATGGAAACGTTTCATACAGAACCAACCAAATATTCTATCATTCCATTATAAATTTATAATATACAATACATTATAAAATTTATCGTAAAAAGCTTCATTCTTGAGCTATAAAATAAGATACAAAACGTTATCATATATAAATAATGTGCCCGTAGTTAAAAGTTATAATTATTTCGTTTGGAATTATAAAGTAAGGTGCGTCTACCTTTCTTCATCCGAAAAGGGTGGTGGAAAAAATCGATGCCCTGTAAAAGATTATAGCCATCAAAATCTAATTGCACAGTTTTTAGCACAAGAACGAGTTAGTTGGTGAAGTATCAATTTTGTCTAATAAAATCACTTTCAGCATAGAACAATTTTAAATTAATTTGTAATTACTTTTGGGACGAGCCGTTAACCGCACAGCGGAGCGTGAAAAAACTATACACACGTCGCATAGGCAACACGCTAATTCAAACGATGTTGCAATTATAATGCCCGGCAATGTTCCGTCTTCCCGTATATATACAACTCAACTATATTATTTCGGTAAAGAAAGTATGAAAGTGTTTAAGCGTAATTGAAACGCTCGACATTTAGTGCATCGTTTGCGAACATTTATTCGCCTCCTCGGATAAGCAGTGCTCGCTCTGCAACGCTGCATGCGCAGACGTTCTACGTACGATGCTGTAGCGTGGACGGTGTGTACAGGGTGAGCGAGAGGAAGGGATGGGAAAGTCGTGTCGTGGCTCGCGGAGCGGATTAGTCTTTGATCCGGCCAAGTCGATATCTGCACGGAAATCAATAAAATCTCGAGTGCATCTTCGTTTTGTATCCTTTGTTTGCTTTTTCTTTCGTCAGCAAATCGTGGATCCACCATCGATTCGACCATGCTGGTAAGCGCAATGCACCTCTGAACAATTTGCCCCATCAAGCGCGACCACACCCTCCGCGTCCATGGGTTTGAACTTGGTGAGTGACTTTCTTTTTGCACGACGATTGAAAACGCTTGAAACACCTTCATCTGCCAGCCTTTTTTTCTTATTTCTGCAGGGATATAGTACATTTATTGACGTGAGTGCGTATTTGTAAGGCCTATAACATCATTCGAATCGTATGCCAATAGCGAGTCGAAATAAAATTCTTTAGTTTGGAAAAAAATATTCTTGAAAAGGGTTATGTGAACCATTGAAAATCTGAAGCTATAATAAACTCATAAGCCAATTTTTCGATCAAAAATTTATGTAAGAACATTTATTTTTCGCATTTAAAAGTATCCTAACTTTCGATTTCGAACTAAAGAATTTAATACTACTCAAATTATGATCCACCTATTAGTTCGAGAGACGTTTTGGTGTAACAATGTACTCCATTTTCTACGGTGTGAAATAGTCAAGCCTATAAGTAGGTTCCTTCCAAGGATTTGTGTTTTAATACAACTTCAAAGAAAGTCATTTACAAAGTTGTCATCTCCCTATGTTACTTATTAAAAAACGTTGTGCGATCGCTATTATTGAAATACTTGAAAGAGATAAAACATTGTAAAGAGCTATAAGGTTTATAATACAGCGAATTATTTTTCAAGTTTCACCTGAAAATTGATGCATTTCAAGTGACTTTTTTTTCTCCAAACCATTAGACAACAGAAGTAAATTGTCGAAATTGCTGTGAACGTTTACAATCGAGCAGCTCATTCTCTATCCATTGTTAAATTTCATTTAATTTTACTCGGTCGCGATGTTATCACTCTAATCAGCTGAGTGTAGATTTTTAAAAATCTTTATCACTGTCACATGATTCTAATGTATATTACAAAGTGACGTTGTTATTTTATTTCACAAATTAATTAGTTGTTATATTCAGTGACATAAAAAATCGAGTTCACGTCGAGCAAGGTTTTGCAGCTGGTAAGAAAAATGTCCCGAAATCGTCAGTATGAAATTTCTGGTTAAAAATTGAATTTCGTTATGCCCTACGCTTTGGTCGAATTCAAACTGTACCTCCGAGTTAATTGTTCCATTTAACTTGTTGATATGAAATTCAATAGCGGACACCCACTAGAATTCGATATGAATCGAAGGGTCGGATACAATAAGGGGCTCAGCGCTCGGACCAAGCGAATGGCGCCAAAGCCGCCCCTTATTGCATTCGAGCCCTTCGAGCGCGCTCACTCGTGGCTCGCAGCCCCGCGACAGCCAGCCATAAAAATGCTTGCCGCTTGAAAGGAATCCCTGTAATTGCAGATGTGCCTTGGCAAAGACTGCACGTGCCCTCAGCACCGATTCTTGAGCTGCCTGAGAAAGGAGCAGAACGAAGAGGCCACGTCGCTGCTCCGGCAGCTGGAGAACCCCGGCGAGCTGAGCGACAATGCCGGCTCGACCCTGCTCCACTACTCGGTTCGCTGCGGCAACGCGGAGATGACGCAGCGCCTGATCGAGGCGGGATGCGACGCGAACGCCCGAGACCACCGTGGCATCCGGCCGCTGATGCTGGCGGTGAAGGCCGGCGACGCGAAGACCATCGAGGTCCTCGTGGGCAGCCACGCCGACATCTACGCCGCCGACTGCGACGGGGCGAGCAGCCTGCAGCTGGCCTTCCACCTGTGCCTGCCGGGGCCAGGCCGGGCGCCGCAGCAGGGCCGCAGCGCGCGCCTGGCCGCGAAGCTGCTGTTCGACCGGCTCGACGCCGACTTCGCGCGGGGCGCGCTCACGGCTCGCCGCGCGTTCGAGGCGAGCGACCTGCTCAAGTTCGCGATGGCGGCGGCCGGCGGCGCGCCGATCGCCCGCTTCCTGCTGGAGAACCGCTACCCCGTGGACCTGCGCGAGCCCGAGCGCGAGCGCACCGCCCTCCACTGCGCCGTCCTCCTGGCGCGCTTCGACAACGCCGACGCGCTGATGGACTACGGGGCCGACATCGACGCGCTGGACCGGGACGGCTGCTCGCCGCTGCGCGGCTACACCTACCGCGCCGGCGGCGCGCCCGCGTTCGAGGACGTCGACGAGGGCTCCCGCGTGCTCGGCTGCTTCCTCAAGTACTCGAGGCGGCTGGCCGCGCGACACGCCCGCGGCGGCTTCACCGAGCTCGAGCGGCTCCTGGTCTACGGCAAGCGCGCCACCGTGCGCGCCGTCTTCGAGAGCGGCGTCGACGTCGGCTCGTGCCTCCGCAGGGGCAAGTCGCTGCTCAGCATGCTCATCCACAACGGGGACGCGCGCGTGCTCGAGCTCCTCGACGAGCTCGCGCTGCCCTTCGACCCGAACGAGCGCATCGACGCGCTCACGCCTCTGATCGAGGCCGTGATCGCCAAGTGCCCCGAGAAGGTCGAGTTCTTCCTGCGACACGGCGCCGACGCGAACCTGCCCGATCGCACGGCTCTGCGGGCCGGGCCCCTGTCGCACGCGATGATCCTCTCCGCGGCGGACCGCAGCGAGGAGAGCCGCGTCGCGAGCATCGTCGAGCTGCTGCTGCGACACGGCGCCGCCGGCGTGCAGACCTTCTTCGGCGAGAGCCGCGGCGACGCCGAGCTTCGCGAGCCCGACAAGGTCGTGGTCGCCCACTTGGCGCTGCTCGGCGCCGTCGAGCCCGCGGCCCTGGCCGAGTCCACTCGCCGCCTCGTCGAGTCGAGGCCGCGGACCAGCGGCTACTTCGAGCTGTGCGCCGCGCAGCTGGACGCGATGAAGGGCCTCCGTGTCTGCGGCACGGTCACCTTGTTCCAGCTGCTGTGCGAGCCGGACGAGGCGGTCGTAGCGCGCGCCCGCGATCGCCAGTTCGTATCGGCTTGGAGCAGCGCGATGCGCGATCTTTCCCACTTCGAAACCTACTACTCGAATGCTCTGCGAAGAAAGCTTTCCGGAGTGTTGAACGAGGCAACGTTGCTGAGGAAAGCTGCGCTCGCAGTCACGGCTATGATGGGGCTGTGCATCGATCTGCATCGCGATATTGCCTATAAAGTTATTAGCTACTTGAACCGCAAAGACATACTTCATTTATGTGACGTGATCACATTCTCTAAATAGTACCGAAGCATATTTACTTCGGGATGAATTTATGTAGCATTTATTTAGTGTAATGGTGACATTTCATCTCGACCTTATAAAAATCTTTAGAGCTCAACATTTTTTTCAAGACGTGGTTGAAAACTTAAAGGATAAATCAAATTCTTCCGATGGAAAAGAAACACCTAGTAGATGATTACTTCTTCAAACGTCAAATATTTTTCTAAAAGTAAAGCAATATTTATTTGAGATTTTATTGGAATATTTTAAACGGTTTCTTTTTTTTTTATCGAAAGAATAAGTAATTTCAGTTTTTGTGTTTGTTTTGTAATATAATAAAAACTATGCAGTACTTGGCTTCCAAACTATTCTCTTTTAAAGTACATGAGCTGCAGTTCATTTTGTCTGATTTCGTGAAAATATACGAAAAAAAATGAGTATTACAATGAAAGAATGAATGCGAGAAAGACCCCTCAAAGATACAAATTAACCAAAGACCCACAGACATATGTGGCACTTTTCTGAAAAATATATTGAATCCATTAGTAAAATTCATCGTAGTTGGGAAAATTATTTTCTGCGCTTAACAATTTTGTTGGATATTTCTTACGGAATAACAAATATCTGCATGCATAGGTTAGAAAAATTATTGAAAAACTAGATTTTTTTAAATAAAGTTTAGAATTTCATCGGTGACCTTTCTCCTGTAATCTACAAAAAGATTTGACTATTCGAAGTACCGGATAATAAGACTTTATTACTAACATTTCATTGAGTGTTAAGAAAACTATCGACAGTCTCCGCGTGCATGATCATAAAAAACCGACAATAATTAATAATTTCCGTGGGAAATTGATTGCTCATTGATTGATACTATTTGCGAATAGATATATGTACATATGACATATGTACTACATGCCTTGATAGAAAAGCGAAATCCTCTCTTTCCCATGCACCGTCGTTGATCGATTTGTGATATTCCAAGAACAAGTATATATGTAGAATTTGCGAACTCTAAAAAACGACTTGAAACATTAACTTAAAATTTAGCTTGAGCCAACATTCAACACGTTAAAAGAATAATGGAACATTTTTTATCAAAATAACGGATTACGAAAGGAAATGAATTTGAACTCATGATGACTTTTAATATTCCGAGTTTATTCTAATGGTGCCAGGTTATAGTATATACATAATTTTGTTGAAATTATATAATTGTAAAATGCTACACATAAATATTAGATGTTACTGCTGTAAATATGGCTGTGTACGTCTGGAAATAATATCAAATCAAATATGTATTTGTTCATTTCAATCAGATACGCGTATTGGTATTTTATTTAAAATTACAACACTAAATTTATGTGTATGTCTCGTGAAATAAATAAAAAAAAAACAATTGAAAACTTTGTTTAAGTTTTTTTAGTATAAGTACATAGTTTATCAATTTTTTTATAAACAAATTTATTCTTTCATAATCATTATATTCGTAAAATTAATGTTATTACGATCATTTTGAAGAAAAGTTTGATGCGATAGCTATAGCCATTACCGTGTGGCATTTAAAAAAGCAGATGTTTTTAAGTGTTCACAATTTGAAAAAAAAAAGATTTACTTGTCGACTAAAAAGTTGCCACGGATGTTTTTTATCAACAAGAGATGTGCTAATTTTCAGCAAAATAATCGATCGTGTGAATATACATCACCGAATTGCATATATAGCTTGAAATGAATCCACTTAATGAAAATGTAAGTTTAATATAAAGTTACGTCTCGCTGCGCTATACAAATAGAACAATATGTAGCGTCATAATGTAAAATTCTTGTAAATAATTCAGATATATACTCAACTGTAGCCGTAATGAATCGATCGATTGAGACTGCTTAATATATACAAAAATATAAATTAGATTCAAAACATAATGGTAAACACCGTTGCTATTCGAAAGCGTTGTATATTGCGATGAACGCGAATATAGTTGTAATCACTCACGTGAGAAAGAAAGAACAGAATAGACAAATATATTAGTAGGTAGAGAGACAGAGAGACAATGAGAGAAAGCAGACAAAGATAGCAAAGATTGTAAGCGTTATTACGTTTGCATATATACAGTTCTATTAAATTCATAATATACATTTGACCAGTGATTTTCCATGTATAACAGACTTATAAGTGTTTATCAATATCCGGATTTACAAAATCTTCGAGAAACACACCTGCAAATCCCAATAACATAAGCGTTGTTTCGGCATCCTTCATTTTGTTTAATCCGAAAGTATAGAACGCCAACTCAGATATTTTTGCACGGTGATGGTTACATATTACTTGTAGTTATAGATATATTGTTAATTTTGAAGCGATGATAAGTTTTCTTTGTATTCAATTCAATGACAGACTTTTATATAATTACGTGCAGCGTTAGTATACGAAATAGCCATTATTGCATATGAGTTAATCGATTTCGAATTACAAGGTAGCGTTCTTTTCATAACCAACTTTCATTTGAATCGTTCTTCCGATGTTTTTGGTTGATTGGATGATTTTGTTAAAACTTTGTTGAAATGATCCATAAGAAAATATGTTGCCTTGTGACTTACGTTCAAACCAGCCGATCGAGAGATCAGAGTTTTGCAATAACACCAGCGAATAGCAGCGTGACATTAGTTTTCGATTTGTTTCATCACTTATCAAAAAATGATTTCTTATCTGAGGAGTCGCACCAAATACAGCTTTAAAGACAAAAGACTTTATTTCATGAGCATGTATTTCAATGTTGTACATTGTGCTATTAAATTATTTTCATGTAGCCATTGTTTCATTTATTCAACCATGCGTTCTTCCAAAAATCCACGAATACTCACTGCTCGCCAAACAGTTAAAAGCGAACTTGTGTAACAATTTTCTTTTATCAGTACACCCACGTTTCAGGATAATACTATAATTTGTGCAGTATTAAAAACGAACTTTATTACCTACTTAGTTACGAACGTTCTTATCTTACACGTTGTATAAATTTTAATACAAGATTAAAGTAATTACACCTGTTTAAGTCGTAAAATAAAATGTATGTTAGTACGCGGAAAGACTGGCCTCGCGTACCCAAAATAAATTAATTTTAAGTAAAAGCTTTTGATGCGAAATAATCTCTTCTGTAATAACACTTTCCTCTTAAGCCAAGAAGATCTCGTTACAAAAGAAAATCATTTTGTATCTAATTTAGTCAAGTCTTCTTATTAAGAAGCTTTCAGGGTATACTTTGTACATATATAAAAGTAAATTCAGTGTTCATAGATGCGTGATTAGTGGCCATATAAATTCAACTTCTACTAAAATGAATCATGCAAAATATCTTGTAAATGTTAATTTACTGCGTATTCACTTTGAATAATTTCATCGTACGTTGTAAGATGCTTGGTAAGCATAAGACACATATATATAAGAGACGTTGATTGATTGCGGATTTCTTAAACGCTTTTATTCGGTTTTGAGATTGCAATTACACAAATATCACAAATGCTCGCAGACATTTCTCTTCGCTGCCGGGTTCTTCCATTATTAACAAGCACAAACGTACACCCCCAGGGCAAGCCTTCTGCAAATGTTCGCTTTGTCGCCACAACTTCCAACGCATTTGTGATTCCCGTTGCACATAGCTGTCAACATAAATTAACAATCATTAACGTCTGATGTGCATCCGTACTCCGTCCTGAGTGACGATAACTAACAAGTCTCAAAAATATCGACAATTTTTACACAAGAAACTGTATAAGAAGTCAGTGCCATTAGGTCTAATACGCGGTTTTTAAGTATAGGTATATTACTATACGGAAATATGATATTATTATTAATCATATGGCTATTGCTGCGTTTATCAAAACCAGCATAATACACGGCCGTATATACCTCGTTAAACTAAATAATAAGTTTTTATAGCATTACCAAATAAAAGTTGAGATAAAATTTTCTCAAAATAGGAAAAGAATTGTTTAAAAATGTTGTACCATCTAAAAGTAAAGCTATTTTAAACTGCACTAAAGACAATATTAACAAAATATTACATATGGCACTGTGGTTCAAAACACTTGCACAACGCCTATATCCGTGTTGCTATGTGCACGTGCACTAAGTGATCGATAGATGAGCGATATGTGTGGATTTCAAGACAGTGTGCGTTCGTAGAAATAATTAACGATGCCTGTGCCAGGCGTAACGCTCAACGGTACGGTATTTGACATTATCTCTGGTGAAATCAAGTAAAAGAATCAGTGGCTGCGACTCTTTATAATCTGTATTTTATGTATTTAAAAAAGTTCCCTAAATTTATCGGAAAATTGGCGACCGACAAATGCGACACTTACTTGCAAATTTACGTGTGAAAATATCAAAAAAGGCTTTAAAGTGAATTTTTCATTTTCACGTCATTACCAATTCGTATCAAAAGTAGATCTAGTACGTAGATCTTGCGTACTTTTTCCACAATTCACGTTTTCTCCGAATGACAATTTTCAAAATTCGTTAAACTACTGAGCACCCTACATCAAACAATCTAATGATATAAGGTCTAATTTTTCGCACATACGATTTGAATTTTGATTAATTTTGGTTTAATCAATATAATGCTTTTCTATTGAATACGAAAACTGAAATGCTATTTTCTTAAAAAATTAAAAATTATCTAACATTACACCTTTATACAGAAATATTTACAAACGAATAATTATTAAAATACTCTATGCCTCATAATCGAACGTATGATAATTTTTTTAATAATTGACAGAATCTTGGACATAATTCTTTCGAATATTTATTTATTTCTTAGAAATATTTTACGCAGAATACCTTGGGTCAATTATTTTTCAATCAAGTTTTCTGTAGTAAGTTTACATGTTTAGTAGGCTCTTATCTTTCAATAAGTATTATTAAAAAAGCATTATGTTAAATAAACAAAACTTTAAAATTTGTATAGAAGTAAATCGCGCAGGTACGAAACGAACCCGGTCGCCTAGATAAATGAAAAATTCTGATATTTGATGGAGCAATAAATTATTATTTCCATTACTTATTGCCGTCGCTCTCAGAGTTATCAGTACGATCAAGAAGATGCAAGGCAGAAGGAGCTTCATTCTTGAAGATCACTGATAATTTGTTCCGAAAATAAGTAGGATAACCTAACTGACTTATTCCGAGTCGACGCATTTTCTTATTTATACCTTCATTAATAAATATGACGGAAGGCAATATTTAATGAGTTTGTTGTTGACAACTTTCTACGAGGCCGGTATTTTCCGATATCCATGAAAGTTATAGTCATTTTGAGAACTAATAGTTTCAGGAAAACTGTAACTTAAAAAAATGAAGCATAAAAATGATCGTTTTCGAAAATTATTGTTTTTCGATTTTAAAGGCCATCCCCCCGAGAAAATACATTCAACACGTACAGATTTCATTTCTTTGACGTTTTGCTAGTAAAATTTCTGGTCCCCTTGAGACTGTTTATTATAACACATGTATTTTACGACATGGAAAGAATTAATGTACATTTCGAGCAAAGATTCATCGTACAAAAATACTTGCAAACATTGACCAGTAATCAGACTCTAACATTTATCAGAATGTATGAACTTGTAGTAACAAGCTTGATGTCGTCAATCCAGCTGAGATAAATGTAATTTCATTATTTTTTGACAATTCTTGATAAGCTTCGTGAATAGAGCGCATTCAGAACAATTAAAACGAGTAAACGTCATAGACTAAAATAATATATGTACATTGTGTGCTTGCACAATACCGATTGATACAGATACAAGTGTAAAATTCAAGAACAACACAGAGGCATTGTATTTCGGGACTATAAACGTCTGTAAAATCACAACCTTTATTGATATAAGCATTATAATATAGGCTATTGCATACATTTTACAGATCGGAGACAGCGTTTTTTTACTGCAGTTGAGGATTGACTTTTGCCTTGCAAACTCTGTGCTTGCATTAATGAATATAATAAAGTCCAAAAAAGATTTTGACTATTTCGAAAAATCTCTCACTTGTCCTGAAATACCAAAGGAAGAAAAGAAGACCTGTGGAAATAATTTTCGTTCGCTCTAACGCCCAGAAAAGTGTGGTAAACATCCTTTTGTTTTAAAAATAAGCTAAGGGAACATTGAAAGGCACCTAAATGTGATTTTGAGACGTAAAAAGAAGAAAATGAAAGCGTTTACCAAGAGCTTCAAGATAAAAAACGTTCATGACGACTAGTACTTCATTAGAACGATTTTTGGCTACAGTGAAGAAAACTTATAATTTTCGCTGTTTAATAGCAGCTCGCCCCCTTAATGAAAGTTGACTCGAGACATCCTCGGTGTATATCCTGTTGACTGTTTACCGTGCGAGCAGCTGGTAAGCACGTTCGCGAGTGTTGTGAGTTTGAAACGCCCAGACTTCGAGCGTATTGCCAATAATATTCCGGGCCTGTGACGAGCGACGGGCCAGTGTTCGTAGTAAGGGTCAGTGATTCGATCGAGCGCAGATCTACCGAAAGTTCAGGACGATTGTCGGGTTCGGTCTGCCAAGTTCTCCCTGGAATATTAGGCGGCTTCAATAGCGATTAGGTCTGCTATGTCTTCCTCGACGGCAAATTTTATTTGATTATTCGTTGCACGCGCGTGGAGTGTAAATCATAAAAATCACGCTTTCGGATAATGCATCATGCTGGCAGTCAACAGAGCCGATGCAGACAGGCATCTGCCGCATCGATTCAACAAGTACCTGCTCGACTGCATCTCGTACGGTCAATATGACTTGGTGATAGGCGCAGTAAACGATCACTCCTGCAGAAAGTGCGACGACTGGGGCACGCTACTTCACTACGCTGTTCTGTTCGATCAACATCATATCGCTAGAGAGCTGATAAGGCGCGGAAGCGACATCGAATCCCAGACCGTGATCCTGCGACAAACCCCACTGATAATAGCGCTAGAGATGAAAAGCACCCAGTCGGCATTACTTCTGCTGAACAGCGGGGCAAATGTGTTTGTAAAAGACATAAACTCAGTCAGCGCGCTGCGGTTAGCCTTCGACCAGGCCTTGTACCACTACGACATTATCTCTACGATCCTTTATCGTCTGAAAGTCAAACAAGAGATTTTCGTGGAGATGAACATTAGACGCTTCAAGGAGGCCGAAGTGCCACTGTACTACCTCGCCTGCATGCGGGAAAACCGGCAACTCGTGTACAGAGTGCTGGAGGAAGGCGCGTCCGTCAATAACCGAACGGTCTGCAACAGAACCGCGCTGTTCGCGGCAGTCATGTGCGAGGACGCGCCGTTGGTCGAGCATCTGTTGAACAACGGCGCGAGCATCAACATAAGCGACTGCTACGGCAAGTGGCCGCTGACCATAGCTGCGTCAAACGGATACCCCGACGTAATGAAACTGCTGCTGGAGCGCGGCGCCAATCCGAACGTCTTAGACAGGGAACTCGGCCTCGCGGCTTTGGCCATCGTGCTGACGGATGAACGGAGGAGACGCGCATCCCATCAAGTCGAGTGCATCGAGATGCTGCTGTTCCACAAAGCTCAGCTTGAGGGCTCGAACACGGAGACGGTCATCGACATGGTCGTTCGCAACGGCGACAAAGAGAAGATGTATCTGGTGCTCAGCGAACTGGCCAAGATGAGCCTGAGCGGCCACGGACAAACCGCCGAGCGGCTGCTGAACTGCAACCTCCCGAACGAGATGCGTAGGCTGGAGGTGGATCATGACTATTACGAGAGTTGCAAGGTGATTCTCTCTCAACGTGTGCACTTGACAGATGAGTTGACGTTCGTACAACTGCTGAATTACAGTATGCACCAGATGAGAATCTACGCGCGCACATTGAATTTCCACACGAAGATGATTAACTTACAGGAGAGAATAAGCGAGACGAATTATCCCCTGTACGTCAACGATCTGACCATGAGCACCGGGCTTGCCCTCAAGTACGTGAGATATGAAAACGCGGCCTATCCTATGTTCAGGCTCATCGTCTCAACCAACTTCCGCGGAAATAACCAAGCAGTGGATTTCCTTACGATAACCATCATTCAGTTCTTGGACATTCCCGCCCTCCGGGTCTTGGCTGAAATGTTGGAGGTTCACCGCGAGATTCCAATTCCGATGAATCTCGAATGACGGACGTCGGCCACGCAGTATAGTGCGCGCGCAGAGCCAAACTATACCCTTACTTTCGTGCTTCTCGACCAGTTTTCCGCCATTTTATCCTCGTTTCAAACCGTCATCCACCCCGTTACTTTCAAAATCGTAGCTATACATCGCTTTCGATTGATCGTCTGGAAGGGACCTTGCCCTGCAAACGCAAGTCCAAAATCACTGCAGCTGCATCCGACCGCTTCAACCGCTTTTCACGGCAGCGACTCCATCATTCGCCAGCCGATGGAACGGAGGGTGCAGCTACCTTGACTCCTGCTGGTGGTTGCCTTGCAGGCGCCCAAACTGTGGTCGACGCCAAATCGGGGGATAGAGGCTCCGCGCAACCAGGCCTTCAAGATGATCCAAAGGTCGACGTTGAAGTGCTAAAACTGAAACTGCATACAAAATAAATCATAATCCAAACACAATTATATCTCATTTATTTCTGCGTGTGGAATTGTTATAAATATATGTTAATAATGATGTTTTTATTTATGAATAAAGAAATAATATAATTATTGTATTAAGCATTTTCGCGTTACCACAATTATAACGTTACACATATTTATTACTTTGAAAAATAATCGTAAGAACGATAATAATAGCGTTATCCATACAAAAGTTAAAATATTATGGTATTGATAAATGTCAAAGTAAAGGAATAATTCGCCAAACGTCTGTCAAAGCCAGTCATAGCTCCTTATCATATATATATATATATATATATATATATATATATATATATATATGTGTGTGTGTGTGTGTGTGTGTGTGTGTGTGTGTGTGTGTGTGTGTGTGTGTGCGCGCATGTGCATGTGTACGTATCCGTTAGTGGCGTAGTCTATAATTGGTATAACGATCGATGATACGAATATTATATATAGCTGTAATCGTTGAAGTCGGTATACTATAGTAACTTATAAGCATGGAGACTGTATATATATATATGTATATATATAATCTTTATGCTTGGAACTTGGAAGTAGTAGACCGATGCGAAAACAGCCCGACACAAATAACATTTTATAAAAAAAAAATGATCACATCTCACGTATGTCTAATTGTACTTCTCGAAAAAATAATTATTTGTTATTGTACCATTATATTTCTCATAAAAAATAAAAAATATCGTTATCGATAATTCAATTCCTATTTATTCACATAAAAGACATAATTAAGCAAAAATAAATTCACAGAAAAATTGTACCTTCTGTAGTCTAAATTGTACCATCAGTACAATTCTATAAATTTGTTTCTAAAAGAAATAATAGGACAATTACAAATTACCACAAATTGTTACAACTTACAAGGATGTCATCCGGAAATGCACTTTGCGCAGGCGTAGAGCTTTGTAATTGTCCTATTATTTCTTTTAGAAACAAATTTATAGAATTGTACTGATGGTACAATTTAGACTACAGAAGGTACAATTTTTCTGTGAATTTATTTTTGATTAATTATGTCTTTTATGCGAATAAATAGGAGGTGAATTATCGATAACGATATTTTTTATTTTTTATGAGAAATATAATGGTAGAATAACAAATAATTATTTTTTCGAGAAGTACAATTATACATACGTGAGATGTGATCATTTTTTTTTATAAAATGTTATTTGTGTCGGGCTGTTTTCGCATTGGTAGTAGCTAAGCATTGAGCGTATTGGTATAGTGTGTTGTATTGTAGTAGTAATAGTAATACTACAGTAATACACGTGCGTTGTAAATAAATAGTTGAGTAGATTAAAAAATATTAATTTTAAAATAATACATATGGACATATGACTCTTGTTATTCAAATTACGTTTTATTAATATTGTTGAAAATTTACTGGGGCTCAAGTGTAAGTGAAGGAAGTGAAATATCACTCAATAAACTACTTTTTAGGTTATATTTTCCTAGTGCTAACATTGTACAATAATCATTTTATATTGTTTATTATGTTGTTAAGATATAAAAATTTGACATTAAACTATGAATGTTATTTGAAAATATATATTTATGTTTAATATTATTAAGAAATAGTTTTTTTACTTTTTTAAAGCAGCAAGACTCAAGACAATGGCAAAAACAAAGAATAAGAAAGCAAATTTGGCTGACACTTATGCTAAGAAAAGAAAACTCCAAATGGTTAAAAAGACTTTCTCACCTTTTGAAGTGCATATAAATAGAGATAAACAGAAAGTACTTGGCAGAAAGAGTAAAGCTGACAGAGGATTACCTGGTGTCGCAAGGACAAAAGCAATTTCAAAACGTAAAAATACTTTACTTATGGAATACAAAGTTAGACACAAAGACAATATGTTATTGGACAAACGAATAGGAGAGAAAAATATACATATGTCGGAAGAAGATAAGGCTATAGCAAGATTTGCAGCAGAAAGAATCAAAGGACATAAGAAGAAAGATATTTTTAATCTCAATGATGATGAAGTATTGACACACAGAGGTCAATCTTTGATAGACATTGAAAAATATGACGATCCAAGGAGTGATGAAGAAGATTATGATGGTAATGATAATAAGTCAGGGAAATTAGACAAAAAATTTGTTGAAGATGCTCATTTTGGTGGTGGACTTCTATCTAAGCCTGATTCAGAAATGTCTAGAAAAGATCTAATACATGAGTTAATAGTTGAATCAAAGAAACGTAAAGCCGAGAGGCAAAAATTAAAAGAGCAGACAGAAGACTTGACAGAAAAGTTGGATACAGAATGGCGAGATTTATTGCCACTCATATCATCATCTAACAAAAAAAATGAGGAAGTAGATGTAAAAACAAAAGTTGATGACTACGATATTGCTATGAGACAACTCAAGTTTGAAGCTAGAGGCAATCCTACTGATAAGTTAAAATCAGAGGAAGTGATTGCCAAGGAAGAAAAAGAGAAGTTAGAGAAATTAGAACAAGCTCGTTTAACTAGAATGCAGGGATTCTCTGATGAAGCTGACAAAAGCAATCATAGATCAGCTGATGATTTAGATGACTTTCACATAGAAGAAATTAAAGAAGCGTCTGACAATGAGGAAGGATCTGAATCTAATGGATTAGATTTGAAAGATAATGAAGAAAATGAAGATGTTAAAAAAAGTGAGGATGAAAAAGATGAAGATGAAGAGAATGATGGTGAGGAAAGCAGTGCTGATGTAGAAAGTGATAATGAAGTAGAGAATGGAGAAAAACAAATAAATGGAAAGTTGGACGAAGAAAATGCAGACAGTGAATCAGAAGATGACTTATCTGATTTAAAAGTCTCTGAATCAGAAAGTGAGGAGGAAACATTACCAATAAAACAGAAGACAAAATCTATTAGTTCTAATAATGTAAAAGATCAAGAGTCAAAACAAACAATAGAACAACCAGAAGATACTGATAATAAGCTTAAAGAGTTTTGTGAACCAAATAAAATAAAAGATATAGAAATTAAAAGTATTACAAATGAAGCAGATGTTGTAAAAACCATTTTAAATAATGGTCACTATAGAATAGTTGATAAGAACAAAGAAAATGTACTAAATTTGTTTTCTTACATGTTACAATATATAGATAAACAAGCTTCTATTAATAGCTCAGAAGATGTAGTCAAGTATTTTGAAATTTTTGGTAGACTGTGCCCTCATTTTTATGATTTAGCTCATGTATATCCTGTAGAGACTAAAAAATGTATGCATGACACTTTAAATGAAAAGCACACTAAATTTGAAGAAAACCAAAAAATGTATCCTGATTTGAATACAGTAAGTATATATGAATTACTATTTGAGTATTTTATATATCTTACAAGCAACATATTAATAATTTTTTATTTTTGTTTCAGCTCAGTCTATTCAAGTTAGTATCAATTTTATATCCAACATCAGATTTTAGGCATCCAATTGTAACGCCATGTTTAGTTTTTATGTCTCAAATTTTATTGAGATGTAAAGTTAGAAAGAAAACTGACATTTCGAAGGGTCTTTTTGTTAGTTCACTTATTCTTGAGGTATAGTTTTTTGATTTATCATTATTTCAATTAATTCTAATTATTCAAAAATTATTAACTATTTATTAAATTTTTGTATAGTATAATGCATTAAGTAAAAGATGGTCTCCAGCCATAATTAATTTTCTGCGAGGTATCATTTATGTATCATTACCTAAGTCATTTTCTAAAGTTATCAAAGTCATTCCACCATTCAAATCAGTTGGTGGTATAAGTAATATTCTACTTCTTGAAGAAAACCATAAAAAATCAGATATTGATCTTGTAAACATTAAAATGCAAGCAAAAGATTTATTTGAAGAGGATATTGACGATGAATTTAGATTGAGGACCTTTGTTACAGCTATAAAGCTGTTGAGCGAATTTCAAAAAAATTGTAGTGAACTTGAGGCAGCATTTTCCATTTTCAAACCAATTTACAATTTACTTAAGCATGGTTCTATCAAACGGTTTCCAAAAAATATTCAAGACTTGGTAAATGTATTTATTAGTGATTTAGAACAACTAAAGGTAAAGAAACTTGAGCCTCTTGCAGCTGCTCAAAAGAAACCAAAAGCTTTGAAACTGTATGAGCCTCGAATAGAAGTTGTGTAAGTATTCAATGAAAAAATTAGTAATATTGAGACATTTCTTTATATTTTTGAAATTAATACTAAATATGATTTTCAGGTATGAAGGTAGAAAGCATCCACGAATGCCTAAGGAACAAGTTGAGATATCAAAGTTGTATAACAAAATAAAGAAAGAGAAAAAAAGTGCAATTCGTGAAATACGCAGGGATAATGCCTTTTTATCTAAAGTGAAAATCAAACAGCAGATTGCAAGTGATGCTGAACGTAAACGTAAAGTCAAGGAGATCTTTGGTGATGCTGCTATGCAGCAACATGAACTGAAGAAATTTAAGAAAAAATAAATCAATTGTTGATAATTGTTAAATATTCTATGTAAAACAGAATTCTGACAATCGGAATATTTTTACAAATGTTTTTCAATTAGTTATGTAAATAATAATAGAATGTTTTATAAGAAAGCATAGTATATACATTTAGAGTTTTCTTTCAATTCATTCTCTTGTAGATAACGCTCTAAACAAGATATCTTGTTTCAACTATATTTTTGACGTAATATTGCTTCCATAAATATTTTATTTTCATTGCATTTTATTCAAGTTTACTATGGAATACATAAAAAAATTGCTAATGAAGCGATCATTTAAAGCACGAACTATATGAAACCCAGCGACAGTCATTCCACAGATCTCTGATTTATAATACAGCAATCAAATTAATTGCACTCTGTTTATTTATTTCGACAGAAAAATCAAATAGAAAACTAATAATTTCAAACGTTTAAAATTATTACATCTGTTTAATTTCTTCATAAAATATTTAAAAAAGGATAAAGGAACTCAGCGGGAAATCGACGAAAATAGATAAAAGAAAATTACAGAAAAACTGCGCTTGATTAACAAAGATAGCAAAAAGGATCAATAACTCCGCGCAATTTCATTTTCATTGATAAAAAAATTATCAAAGTTGACCACTCACAGATCATCGATAATTGTATCTGCGTGACGTTATAATTCAGTTTATGCAAAAACAAACTTGACAAATCGTTAGCAAAAATCTCGCGCAGTTTTTCTACATAATTCTTTTTACAAATATCAATGCCGTTTGTTAAGAAATAATTAATTTTTGTTCAAGCGTTCTAATAATCTATAGGTTGTGTTATATGTACGGCTTGCCTAGTGACTTTTACTATTGGTACTTGTTAAATTACTATGAGTGAACACAATCTCATAAATACAGTACAGATACCGTCTGCTGATGAGTAGAGACCTGAGCTTAAAAAGTGCTGAGAAATGCTATTAGTTTTTCATTATTTTTTATCTTAAAAAGAACTAATGTTTATTTATAAAAGTACATATAATCGACCCAATGAATATTGAATAGGAATTGGTAATAATTCTTTTTAAGATAAAAAATAATGAAAAACTAATAGCATTTCTCAGCACTTTTTAAGCTCAGGTCTCTACTCATCTGCAGACGGTATCTGTACTGTGTTTATGAGATTGTGTTCACTCATAGTAATTTAACAAGTACCAATAGTAAAAGTCACTAGGCAAGCCGTACATATAACACAACCTATAGATTATTAGAACGCTTGAACAAAAATTAATTATTTCTTAACAAACGGCATTGATATTTGTAAAAAGAATTATGTAGAAAAACTGCGCGAGATTTTTGCTAACGATTTGTCAAGTTTGTTTTTGCATAAACTGAATTATAACGTCACGCAGATACAATTATCGATGATCTGTGAGTGGTCAACTTTGATAATTTTTTTATCAATGAAAATGAAATTGCGCGGAGTTATTGATCCTTTTTGCTATCTTTGTTAATCAAGCGCAGTTTTTCTGTAATTTTCTTTTATCTATTTTCGTCGATTTCCCGCTGAGTTCCTTTATCCTTTAAAAAACTATAATTTATAACAGAGTGTAATATACGTAACACCCTGTCTACTCGATATATATTACTCCATATACATATGCACCAAACAGATCAGATGGTAACATAGATCTGTACACTTTTATTATTGTAAGGCACACTCTTAAATTATATATATGTATATGACTGTAGTGAGAAATAATATTTATTCTTTAACGGATGGTTATAATAATATGTTGATTGGGTAGAAAAACTGCGCGAGATCTTTGCTAACGATTGAACGGGTTTATTTCTCTAAAAACTTTATTAAAACTTCACGCAGATACAGTTATCAATGATCTGTGAGTGATCAACTTTGATAATTTTTTTATCAATGAAAATGAAATTGCGCGGAGTTATAAATAACTTTTACTATCTTTGTTAAGCACGCGCAGTTTTTCTATAATTTTTTTCGGTCGATTTTCGTTAACTTCCTGTTGAGTTCCTTTAGTCGCACAATGCATGTATGTTTTTACACTCACCCGTATAATGCATTCTACACGAATGTTTTGAACTTGACTGCTGAAGACAAAGTAAATACAAATTTCGAAATTATCAACAGAGATTTCACTCTTGATTATTTGTATAACAAAAAAAGAGACATAGATAGATAATTGATAAATTTTGAATCTGCATTTACTTTGATTTCAGCAGTCAAATTTAAACCGTTCGTGCAGAATCAATGTATGTACATATTTCTATCTCGCCTTTTCTCTCTCTCTCCCTCTCTCTCTCCCTCTCCCTCTCCCTCTCCCTCGCCCTCTCCCTCTCCCTCTCCCTCTCCCAGGTACAGTTGTCTTTAAATTGCTATATCTGGAAAAAGTAAGCATTAGCATGAAATCAAATCGGTGCAGCTGTTATCTTTCTCTTTGCCACTGATTTTCGGGAGATATAATATGATAATGATCGATACAATTTGAATAAACTGTGCCCGCGAGTGGTTCTATCAACGTTATTTCCAAATATCTATACTTGAACGAAAATTCAACAGATTGAAAGTTCTCCACCTGCAATATTTTGAATTTCCCCGCTTCCGACGGCGTCGGCGCAACGTACCTAACCTCGAATCTGCATCGAAAATTCTTCATTAATAATTGATAAATAGTAAGCAAAAAATTAATTGTTTGAAAAACTAATTGCGGTACAATTAAGTTGGATGTTCGATGAATGAGGTACAGTTGTCCTTAAATTGCTATATCTGGATAAAGTAAGCATTAGCATGAAATCAAATCGGTGCAGCTGTTATCTTTCTCTTTGTCAATGATTTTCGAGGTTTATAATATAAAAATAATTAGTTAGATGAAAGAAAATTATTTTGTCTGACAAGTTAAATTATTTCTATACTAAATCATCAATTGAATTTATATAAATTTATGTATGTAATATTGTTGGTTTCAAAATTTTTCCGCTGTTTAAAGCTCTACGCCTGCGCAAAGTGCATTTCCGCATGACATCCTTGTAAGATGTAACAAATAGTGGTAATTTGTAATTGTCCTATTATTTCTTTTAGAAACAAATTTATGGAATTGTACTGATGGTACAATTTAGACTACAGAAGGTACAATTTTTCTGGGAATTTATTTTTGCTTAATTATGTCTTTTACATGAATAAATAGGAGGTGAAATATCGATAAGGATATTTCTTATTTTTTATGAGAAATATAATGGTACAATAACAAATAATTATTTTTTCGAGAAGTACAATTAGACATACGTGAGATGTGATCATTTTTTTTTCTAAAATGTTATTTGTGTCGGGCTGTCTTCGCATCGGTAGGAAAACCTTAGTGAATAGTGAATACAAGGCTGATACGCCGGTGAACTGCTATTTAATAGAACGAAAAAGAAAGCTGAAACGTGCACATACATACATTGATCATCATAATTCTAAATTGAAGCCTGACGATCGGACACATTTATTTTGATTTGTTTATTTTAACTAAAAGTTATACTTTATACGCATTATTCAAGATTTATCAAAATTTATTTATCAGATTTTATAATTAAAAAAATAGTAAACATGCAGGAACTGCAATTATCTAACCATTTTGATAATGAAATGGTGAGTTTACCATTTGTTTTGATTTGTTTATTCTAACTAAAAGTTATACTTTATTCTTATTACTTAAGATTTATTTATCACAATTTATAATTAACGAATATTAAATGTGCAGGGATTGGAATTATCTGATGGTTTTCATTGTAAAGTGCTGGATATATTCAGCACAGAGGTCAGTATTTACTTATATAGAAATGTTGATAATATGCCAGAAATACACAGAAAACTTGTAAGCAAAGAACTTTCATGCTGTATTGTGAAAGCTAACTTGGTGCTTGAACCTCTCCACGTCTCTACTGCTGTAGATAGAGCAGTATTAAATCAAATGAATGGACTAATGTTCACAAGAAATTTGAATACAGAAATCATTTATTATTTATCAGCCTCTAAAAATATTTTGGAAGGAATACAAAATTTTGGAGTTTCTGATGATACAAGGGATGTTTTAATTATTATAATATATACTTCAGAGGAGAAAGAGGCTGTAACCCGCTATATTTTAAGCAGTATAAAGGGAGAAAGGATACCAATAGATAGACTTTATGAATTTTCTGATATAGAATTAATGAAAGAGCTGTATAACATAGATACAGATGAATTGAGGGACGTTGAATTAGAAGACGCTATTATAAGTAGAATAGGTGGGTATAAGCCTAAAACTCGCCAATTCGTTTTGCCAATGATCCAGAATACAATGATATCCAATGACTTAGAAAGTTAAAATGTTTGAATGGTATATAAAATATGGTGATTTTGTACAAATAAAATTATTTTCAAATTGACCGTTTCTAATTCTTTTTCACTTTACCTATGAGAATAATTTTAATATAAGAATTTATCTTCCATCTGAATATTAATGAAAAAAATTTTGAAAATCACTAATTTTATAGTAAAAACGTTATAGCTCTGTAATAAATTATAATTCAAGGTTTTTATATCTTACGTACTTGAGTGAATATGATGCCTTTCTTTTCTTCTCATATTACAGTTTCATTTTAATATGTTTATCTTTATTATTAAAAATTTAAATAAGAATGCTCAATGGCTAATTGTAGTAGTCAATCATTGGGTGGTTATACATTTTCATACTGCTGTAAGTTTGTTTTCTTGATTCTATTTTATTGAAAATTCACATTGGCATTCTAAAAATTCTGCAGGTATTTTGGTGGTCTTTTGTGCTATTCAATACATAGGTTCATATCATTCTAAAAAATTATAGTATAGAATTAAATAGATCAATTCTTAAATTTACTCCATCTTCCAAAAATAAATATGTACCTTCAGAGACATTATATCCATGCAAGTAATAAATATAAGATAGAAATTTGACATCATCTCAAGAAACTAAATTCAACTGAATTGCTGCATAAAAATGCACAAGGAATTGAATTCTTGAATTTAGCTATTAATCAACCTGAAAATGTATAATAAATTGAGTTCAATAAATAGGATAAAATATCTGTTTTTGACAGGGAATGCAGTGTGACATTTATAATAAGAAGGTAATTTGAGAAGTGATCTGACCAATCTTGAAACTTGCCGATTCGTATTGTCGTACGAGTTTTTTTCCTATAAAAATTAAAAATAATCTATTCTATTATTAAATGTTTATTAGATCTTGATTTTTCTAACTACTTCAAAAAATATTCTTCTAACATCGGTAAAAGTCTTTCAATTACATCGGCGCTTCGTAAACCTATTTTTATTATTTCTCAGAATTATTTGTTAAAATATGACGTTACCATATATTAACAAACCTCCAAAAATCAAACTCGACTACTTTCCGTATATGTCGTCTGCTATATGGTATTTTTGAAAATTCGCGCACTGAGTGAAGTTAGCATTCCTGCATCCCCTCTCCGAGGAGAGGAGAATCCTCATTCCTCGCCCCCTGGGGTTAGTGTACATACCTATACAAACATACTCCGTATACGTATGTGTTAATGTAGGTGCGCCGTTGTAATCGTGAACGTTGATAGAGAATGTCGACAACGTTACTGTAAATATCAAAACACTGTCGTAAAAAGATCGACCCGCTGGCGCAAAAAGTCTTTTCTAACCTTCATCACTGGTTTAGCACGGATGCAAGACATTGGTCTTTCCATGAAAAAGAGGCAAGTATTTTAGTCTCGAGATTAATACTTGTCTACAGATGCTAAACGTATCATTACTTTATCCGTGTTTCAGTTCTTTTTTTTGTCGTACTAAAAATCCTTTGTTGACCTCAATTTTTCTGCCACTGTGCCTTTATTTTTCGTTAATCGCATGATCTATGTAGGCAGCGCTTGGCCGAGCTAAGGAAAAGTGGCCAGCGGTGCACTTCAGTCTATACATTTGTGGCTATCACGGAGATAGATACTGATTTGGCCACGAATGTATAGACTGAAGTACACCGTTGGTCACTTTTCTTTAGTTTGGTCAAGCGCTGTATGTAGTCTGATACACTTTAGAGATCAAATGTTGACCTTTTGTTAACGTCTGATGTATATATTTGCTTTTAATTCTACATGCAAATTTTGGGTCAAGTTGTATTGACTTTCTTTTCCAATTATCCATATAAGTTTTTGAAATCTTTGTCATGAATTCTCCTGAAGATGATTTTATATACTTTCAATATGTCGCGTAGTGTTTTTTATGAATAAAGTTACTTTAATATATTTCACATTATAAAGCGTTTTTTTCTATAGAGTTATTATATTACTTACGATCTATTTGAATAATAAGTACAAGTAATGTAAAGTCTTCAGAATAAATAGATCATCTCTAATTGTCCAACACTTATGCTTTTATTTCTTACATCAGTCTCATTGAAATTCAAATTTTTTTAAACCTACTTACACGTTTTTTAATATGCTTCTTTTTTATGAGAATGGTGTATATTTTTAATTTAATTGGTTTCTTTAGCAAATTAAATCATCATAGTTATACAAATGAAAAGCAATAACCTATCTTGATTCTACATGAACGTGTATTTTTAGATAAAATCTTTTAATCAATAATTATATTTGCTTATTTTTATTATTTCAGTGGATAATGATATAGTAGTGATATCAACAAAAGAATGTCTAACAACAGTGTGCCACATACTTCTTATGGTTTAGACCATCAAGGAAGACTTGTCCGAATAGAAGCTGGTACATCACATCCGAATGTTAGTCGACTATCAAGTTTAGAACAGACTTTTAGGAGACTGAGTTCAAACTTTAGACAAGATGATACTACAAATGACTCTACAATTGGTATAATAAATTTACTATCTCATTTTATTTTCAATTAAAGTAAAAAAATATATTATGTGAATGTACCATTCATTTCAGATGACCTTATAAGAAATTCAATATCTGATGTGACAGATCCAGAACTTTCGTCAGATGTGACAGATGGAGCTTCATCTCCCAATCAAACTACAGCAAGCATTCCCCAGTTAAGCTCCGATGAAGAGTATGTAATTATCAGTTTGTAAGTTATTAAATGAATGATCTTATCTCAACATATTTTATTGTATATCAGCAAAAGATATTGTTGGGTATGCTTTGCAACTGATGAGGATGATGCAACAGCTCCATGGGTCAAACCTTGTCATTGCCGTGGAACAGCCAAGTGGGTTCATCAACGTTGTATTCAACGTTGGGTGGATGAGAAACAGAAAGGCAGAGCAGGTGCTCATGTTGCATGCCCACAATGTAACACTGAATATATTATTGTATACCCAAATATGGGTGAGTAAAGTTTTCTGAATTCTCACAAGACGAAAATTGTGTATAATAATTATATTGTAATTAACAGGCCCCTTGGTAGTAATACTCGACACGATAGATGGTCTGATCTTCCGAGCTTGTCCACTGATAGCAGCAGGCATCGTGGTTGGCTGTGTATACTGGACAGCTGTTACCTACGGTGCGGTGACGGTGATGCAAGTAATTGGACACAAGGACGGTCTATCGATGATGGAACAAGCTGACCCGCTGGTACTACTCGTTGGATTGCCAACGATTCCGATCATTCTCGTACTTGGCAAAATGCTTGACTGGGAAGATCAAGCTCTCAACTTGTTCAGGAGGCATGCATGTAAAGTTCCAATTTTAAAGCGGTTCCTTAAGTGCCGGTGTGTATTATGATACTTTAAAAATGTTTGTTATGTTGATAAGTTTATGATAACTTTGTTCTTGATTATTTAGTTGTTCTGAAGATGAAGGGGCAAGGTCCCAAGACGTTCCCCCAATGAGTGACCCAGTATCAGCCACGCGAGTTTTATGTGGAGCTCTGTTACTACCTACGATTGCAACTATTTGCGGAAGAATATTTTTCTATAGCATAAACTCAAATTTCCAAAGAACTTTACTGGTAAATTGAGAACTTAATTCATCTAATACAAATATAAGATAATGTTTGATATTTTTAGTGGTAAATATTTTTTTTCTAGGGTGGAGTAGCATTCATAACAATTAAAGGAGCCTTCAAGATATATCACAAGCAGCAGCAATATATCAGACAACGTCAAAGGCGTATTATGGACTATACTGACACCAATATTGCGTTGTATAGAAGACAAAGAAGTTCGGATGATAACCAGGCAAACTGAATGTATTTAAACCCATTTTAAATAGTTTTTAAAAAGGACCTGTACAAATTAATTAGCATAGAAAATGACATATGTTAAACGTTTAATAGATCAGTTGTTCGAGAAAAAAAACACTTTTTTTAAACATTATGAATGCTTATACAAGACTTACTGCTTGAAAAGTACTGTTTTGATGAATTATACATGTTTTCCCAAAATACGTTTGAATTACAATGCTGTAAAGTGTTCTCTCAAATAATGCACATATTAAAAATTAACTTAAAAAAATATGAACTATTCAACGTTCAATGTCACGAAATATTTCAATTTAACTCTCTGCAATTCTATTATATTATCTTATTTTTCATGAGTGGAAAGATATGTTGACATTCTAGTTTTAATAATTTTCTTTTAATTTTCCTCCGAAGCTTTTTCCTTCTAATTTAAATGTTTTATAGAAATGAGATAGTAGCAACTGAATGATGTATGAATTAATAACTTGAATCCACGATGTTTATAATTTTTTATAAATAGAAGTATACAATTAGCGTGCGACTAAGTTGAATTTGTTGCAGAAAATATACAAATCGGTTATATATTTTTGAATTTGTAAAAAAAATTTCAAGAATGAGTACGATTTTAGATAGTGTAAATACTCGGAAAACGATTTACCTTAAAGAACATGTATACAATGTTTACATCATCCAGTAACGTAAGAAAATAAACACAAAATAACGTTTGTGATAGTTTTATGTATAATAATTAAAGTACTATTACAAGCTTCATTTGTCTTTTCATTGAAAATACTTTTCATGAAAAAAACTCTTTCAATTACTTAATTTTTTGTTAGTTAATATAGGAATTGATAAAAATAAAAATTGTACATGTATTTCATTGAGGATTAGTTGGAACGTTATGAAGAGTTTCTTTTTATATTTTATATTTTATATTTCTTTTTGTACGTTTATTTTTATAAAAAGTAATAATTGATTTTTCGATTAAATAACTTTATGGAACGAAATATGGGACTGCGATTTTGAATATTTCTAGCTGGGATTGGTTACACAATGACATTAAGAAATTCTTGTGAGTACCGCGCAATCGCTGAGAAAAGTTTTTGACCCGTTCTTCTGGATAATTGTTTAACTTAAATAAACGTCTAGCCAGGTGCGACAGTCCCGAGGAGATCGAAGAGTCCCGGGGAAAACAGCAAATTCCGATGAATATGATCGACTTTGTTGTTATCCTAAGCGCAATTAGCGAAGCTTGGTACAATATTGTGCAGACACACGCTGTCCGTTACGGTCGTTGAGACTCGTCCTTATATATAAGGGTCGTTCAATAAGTCTATAAAAAAAGGTAGAAACAAAAATTTTTTTTAGGTAGATATTTGTTAATTTTTAACATAATATCCTTCTATCTTTATATATTTTTCCAATCGCTTTGCCAATTTTTTTAAACCTTCTAAAACGTAAGATTTTGGAAGTTTATTAAAATAGACATGTTTATGCGTTGACCTTGTAGTTCAATGTAAAACGTCATCCGTTAAGCAATTTTTTCAAATTTGGAAATAAGAAAAAGCCTCTGGAGGCCAAATATGGTAATATGGTGGATGTAATACAATTCAAACTTGTCCTCTTTTTTAAATGAGGACATTTTTCCTTGATTTTTTAGCTCCGTTGATGAAACAGCGATGCATAATACTCTTCTGTTATCGTCTTCTCTTCTTCTAAGTAATCGATATGATAATGCCGCGTGCATCCTAAAATATCGTAACTATCATCTTACCGGCTGATTTCACTGTCCTTCAGAGCCCGTTCACTTTTAAATGTTCACTGTTTTGACTGTTTTGGAGTGTAGTAGTGTATCCATGTTTCATCGACATTGTGTATCGATGCAGAAGCTTATCAAGATTACGATGGAAAAGCGCTAAAACAGCCTCAGAGTGGACTATACGATTGCGTATATTCTCCACTGTGAGTAAACGCGGCATCCATTTTGCCGAAATTTTTTGCACACCCAATTTTTCACGTAAAATTGCCGCGACTGTACCTTGTTATATGTCTGTGACCTCAACTATTTTGCGCATTTTGATTCGTTGACTCGTCAATCACTTAAAATCTTATCATAGATTTTGTCAATCATTTTGGTAATAGTTACTTCCACGGGACGTTCCGAACGATATTCATCTTTTGTGGATGTACGGTCCTTTTAAACTCATTCACATAAGTGTAAACAGTTCCAAATACGGGACTAAATTTACCATGATAACTTCATCCAATTCAGCTTTGATTTCTTTCGGTGCTAAACTTTTTAACCAATCAATGTCCAAACGACACGAATTGTTAGTAAATTTTCATCAGGTCTATTTTGTATGTTATTATACTAAAAAAATTTGCAATAGCTCTATTCCGACGTCAAATTTAATGTTCTTTCAGAATCCAAGCTCGAAATTTTTATTAAACACCAAAGAACAAAGATATGGCCGATTCAATCATGAAAAAGATGAACATTTTTGAAAAAATTTACTTATAGCATTTTTTTTGTATGTTAACGGACGGAATTCATACTGCAATCATGATCAGGAGTGATCACAATACTTGACAATGAACAGTAAATTTGTATATAATTATTGAATCACTACTTTTTACTATATGGTGGCCAGACCCTGAAAATACTATGAAAACATTAGCTATTTCTTTTTCGGAATCTATTGAATTAAGAAAAAATTATTTAATAACAAACATGTCTTAAAATTGGTCAAAGAATACCCTGAAATTTCTTTAGAATTTTTAGAGATAAATTTTATTTTTCAAAAATGGCAAAAATTGAAATAATCGGAAAATTATTTTCATCTCTGAAAAATTTAAGAATATTTTTTGATCGATTCTAAGATATTTCGTTCTATATAAATTTTTACTAAACTCAATAGTTTTCCAAAAAAAATGATTAAAGTTCAAATTACTTATTTCGTTTATTTTTTTTTCCAATTTATGTTACTTTCACAGAAAATAGTTAAAACAGTTGTTTATTTGTAAATTGACTACGTAACCTTTTGAAACGCAGGTAGGAAAACTCGGAAAGTCAAATGCGTGCCGGTTTTCAGCATTGACTGGTTCGACTTGGAACGTCCCGAGAGTTCACCCCTCGATTTACCCTTTCTACCTACACTGCAAGAAGTCATTTACTCAACATGCAGATAAATAAATATTTTGACAAACAATTTTTCTTAAACGGAACATTGAGCAATCGTTTCTACATGAAAAAATAGTCACTTCTGACTTTTGAATAAAAAAAATTGAACTATTTTAACTTTATTATACTTTGCGCGTACATGGAAAAGCAAGCTTGTTTAAACTTTTCCATTGCATAATTTTAACTCCGTACTCAATATCTATTTCAAAACGATCAGGTAAAATATACTTGTCAGAAAAATGAATGTGATTCATTCAGACGGCGTGGCGCTGGGCCAAAGAAGTTCTATGTCCTTGTACTTGTACTTTTATGATTCAAAATGATTGTTTAAGTGAAGTTCTAATTCGCTATTTTGTTGAAAATAAGTTTTGTTAAACAACTATTTAACAAAAATTATTTATTAACATTCTAGTAGCCTGACCTTTTTGATGATAGGTAAGAAGATTTAAAGTGATAGCTGCCGCTCGAGCGCTGGGATCTCTGCTGTCGGCCTTCTTTTACATGTGTGTATTTCAAAAAGGTCAATTAATTAATCGTATATTAAAAAATAACTTTTGCAATTAAAAATGTTTCTGGATTTAATTAAAGCCAATCGCTTCGGTATGGCAAAAGAATCATTTTCGTTTTTGAATTGTAAATCGACCTACTTTAATCAAAGTTTATCAGAGTATGTCTATGAGCACGATAAGAATACTCAAAATTGAGCTGAGATGTCTTTTTCGCTGCAGCTAGGTGCTCCTTCCTCAACTTCGTTTCTTTTAGCTTTCGTCAAGTGCTTTCGTTTTTTGCTTCTATCGGTACAAAAACGTCTTTCTAGATCATACGCGTGCTATCCTACGGTGAACGAGGAACTACAAGCCCTTACACATTGACCCAACTAAGCTAAGCGTCTATCTCTGTTGCGGTAATACACTCGCGGTACTTTCCACTTTCAGTCGACTATATAGAAATCTGATATACCGTGCGAAAATTGCCGAGCTGCGTTCGATTCGCTGTCGTTTGAGGCATGTGCGAGAACATTTTATTCGCCGGCCAATAGCGAGCGAAAAATTTCGGCGTCAGTACATGAGTCACGGAATCTTCTCGAAGCGATTATCAATCACGAATGAGAAAATTACCCGACGCAGCGCAAATAATAGCGCGATGGGCGTGAAAGTGAAGTGAAGTGTGTGTACTTTGTGAAATAAGAAAACAGGCGAGTCTTTCTTTTGCGCGTAGCGCAGTACTGTGGACAATGAAGTATACCGTTATTAAGATAGGCAATCTAAGTGGATTGAGTTGTGTGCTCAGCGACGTTCTTAACAGTGCTGTATTTATCTTGTTCGGTGCATTGTTTAAGAAAATTACGTAATGCCCTCCAACTTGGACTATTTTTACGAAAAATATTGAGATAAAACTAACATACGAAATTTCTACAATTCGCTGCGTCATCTGAAGGCTCACTTTCTGCATCGTAATAGACTGGGAAAACGTGTTGCAAGGTTACAGAGGCCCATCCCGTATGTATAATAATGGTAGTGGCGATAGCGATTCGTTACCTGCATTTCACGAAAAACAAGAAATCAAGTTTCGGTGGGGAGCGAGAAAATACATTAATCTATAAATACGTGTTATTATATACACTTGCCTTTAGCATCACTGGAATCGTAGAATTTGTTTAAGGCGAGTTGGAGTGGAGTTCACTGTATTTCGATAGAAAAACAGATGAGTACTTGAGTTAAGGCCAATACTCCGAAGCTGCCGACTATCACAACAATGCCTATCGCGCGTACTCTGATGGATTCCGTTGAGTTATTATTCTAAGCAAATGCAAAAAAAAAGTAGAAGCCGTACCCAAGGTTAAAAGTTTGAATTCTGAAGGGGATCGCCTGTTTGAAGAGGGCAGATAAAACAAGGCCAGTGATAAATATAAAGAGACTTATGCGATATCCACAGTAAGCAAACAGCATCTATAGCACGTACAAAGCCAATCGGGAAAAAGCTCAAGCTGATATTGCATACAATTTGTGTTTGCAATCAGACCGCCTACTCCGGGAAGATAAATACGACGAGGCCAAAATTAAATACCAGGGGGCTCATGACAGACCTCGAATTAAAAAAGTGAAGAGTATATACAGTAGTAAAAAACTCCAAATTTTTCAATAAAAATTTGAAAAAGGAAGCAAAACAGACAAAAGATTTATATCTGGCATCAAGTTGTTCAGGAGTGCATAAACGAAGCGACAGATTCGATAGAATTAACCGAGTAATACATGATAGCTGCAGGATTGCAGAATTTGGATGTAAACAAAGTCGAAGGTAAATACTTTTTGGATGATACGTCTTGCGAAGCTAGTAGATCGAAGAGGCATAGCAACTACTATCTGTATTATAATTAGCAAAAATATTACGGCTAATAATAAAGAAGCTAGACTTTCGAACAAGCATTAATTATAATCAACGAAAATTTATGCCACTGTTAAAAGCATGAGATAATTCATGGTAGTGTGTAATTACAAGAAAGAAAAGGTGTTATCACAATTTTTAAAACCTATGCATTCTTTTGTATACCATATTTCAACATGATATAAGCGCGGTGAGCATATCTGCGAACACAGTACATGTGATTGTGTGAGTTGGGCGATACCAACGAAGGGGAATACATCATCGGATCTCGCCTGTGTTATGCGTTCTACGAAGATTTGTACGAACTTTTTACGAGTTAAGTGCTTGCTCTAATAATCAAAAGATTGAATAATATCATTTAAAATGAAGAGATTCAAAGCTGCCGATATCCAGAAACGTAACAAAGAAATTAATGAACAAGCTAATAAAACTCGTAAAGAGCTAATAAACGACGAAGTGGTAGGAGATATTGGTAACAAGCTTTTAACTCATCACGATTTATCTCTGCAAAATGTTGAAGAATTGGGACGGCTTATTGCTAAAAAACATAAATATGATAAGCAGCAACTAATTGTTTGTAGTTTGACTGAATTGAGTATTAAATTAGACTCTTATAATAATGATATTGACAAAAAGCCAATGTTCTTCATTTGTCATGATGATAACAGCACTAAAGTTACATTCTGCATCATAAAACAATGTAGCACCATTGTTTGTTTATTTAAAAATTTTTCAAGGAATGACAAAGTAGAAACAGTAGTGAAAAATATTTTAGAAAAACACTTTAATCAAATTACCCAATTCAAGATAAGTAATACTGAGAACAATATAAATCAGAAAGATCTTGATATTATATGTTTGAAAACTTTAGAAACTATGATGATATACTTTATGTCAGATGAAAAAGAAAATTTTATTAAAAGCTTTGCTAATTCTGAACAAACATTTTTTCAATGGTTAAAAGAAGGAACAAAATCTTTAAAAAATGAATTATTTACTTTAGTGAAGGATGGTTACTATGCAACTATTGCTTCTGATATTGATAAATTATCCAAAGATACAGAATTTAAAAAAGGAATTAAGGAATTTATTGATAGTATTCCGTTAATAGAAGAAGTAAATAATTTCAAAAACTATCAAAATCTATTAAAAGAGTTCACAGAATTAGACGAAAATAATCTTGATTTTGAATCTGATAAAATAAAACAGTTATACACCAGGCTCGAACATGCAAGAGCAAACGCTTTTAATAAATTGAAAAAAATAAGTTTTGATATAGCTGAGAATGAAAACGGTTCGTACCTGTTGAATATCGAAAAAAAATTTCCGAATCAAATGAAGAAATTCACGCAAATTTTTGAACCATTAGTAAGATGTGAAACAGATAAGGAGCTCGATGAAAGACTTAAAGATATTAGCTTAAAATTAGATCTTGATTATGAAAAGTTAAAAAGTTTCTTTGATATTGCAGATAAAATGAAACAAGAAATTAATGAACATGCTACTCCTGACATAAAAAATATAGAAGATGTTATTAATGCTTTACCAAAGTTAAAATCTGAAAGCAGTGATTTAGAGACATATAAGACATTTGAAACATTATTAGCACAAACAATAGTAGAAAAGTCAGAAAAACTGAGTGTTGAATCACTGAAAGAAGGCTACATTAAAATTAAAAATTTTTATAAACTATGGAGCAATAAAGATGCCTTGAAGATTAATCAATGGGCAAAGTCAAAGCAGGGAAAACTTGCCGATTCGGAAATTTTTGAAGCCGTAGCTGTATTGGACAGAGCTAATCAACTCATAACGGGAGGGCATAGACTTCGCGATACTCAAATTTTATCTGTACTCACGTTTTTACAACAGAAAGATAAAGGTCAGTTAACACAAATTCAAACAGGAGAAGGGAAAACTACTATCGTGTCAATACTTGCTGCCATTAAGGCTTTAAAAGGTGAGAAAGTAGATGTCATTACTAGTAATCCCGTTTTAGCAGTTGATGGCGTTAAAGATAAACAGCTATTTTATAATTTATTGAATTTGAGCGTTACAACAAATAATTTAGATGAAGATTACAAAAGTGGTCCAAGAAAATGTTATGTAGCTGACATTATATACGGAAGCATAAGTAATTTCCAATTTGATTATCTAAAAGATTCATTTTTTAATCTTAAGACACGTGCTGAAAGACCTTTTCAGAGTATTATTCTCGACGAAGTCGATAGCATGATTATTGATAATGCAAGTCATATAGCCAAATTATCAGAACCGTTCCCTGGCATGGAAAATTTGAAATACATCTATATAAAGATATGGCAAGAACTCCATAAAGCTGAAAAAAGAATTATACATGAACTGAAAGAGCAATTGAAAGTAAGAGCTGAGGAAATACAAAAGTTATCACTATCGGAAGATGAATCTCAGTCATTATACGAAGAATTCCTAGATGAATTAGAAGAGTCAATAATTCAAAAAATCAAAGATTCTATTAAACAAGCTAAACCAACAAAAAATGACATTATTCCTTCCCATATACAAGAATATGCGGACAATGCACTTGACAGATGGATTAGTAGTGCTCTTGATGCTAAATTCGTTTATCGAGAAGATGAACAATATGTTATTGGTATTAAAAATGAAGAAAAAATAATTCAGCCAGTGGATTATGCAAATACAGGAATGACTTTAAAAAACACCATATGGCAACATGGGCTCCATCAATTTCTTCAATTAAAACATAATTTACACTTGACTTCCGAAAATTTAACCAGTTCTTGTATATCTAATCTTAGTTATATAAATAAATATGGTAATCAAATATTCGGTCTTACAGGTACTCTGGGTTCTGAAGCAGAGCAGAGGTTATTATCTTCTATTTATAATGTAGGATATGCAAAAATTCCAACTTACAAAGAAAAGAAATTTGAAGAAATTCCCGGTGATATCGTAGACGATGAAATATTTATTGCCACAATAGCGAATGACGTTATATCTAAAATAAAAAGTGGCCGAGCAGTTTTAATTATATGTGAAACAATAAAAGACGCAAAGGCTATTCAAAAAGAACTAAGGAAATCAAATATTGCCATCAGAATGTTCCTTAGCGAAGAAAATGCTTACATTACTGAAAAGGAAGTTGATTCTGGTGATGTGGTTATAGCAACGAACATAGCTGGTAGAGGAACAGATTTTAAGACTTCTGAAAAACTCGAAAATAATAAGGGTCTACACGTATGTATTGCTTTTTTACCCTGTAACAAGCGAGTAGAAGATCAAGCTTTCGGTAGAACAGCTCGTCAAGGTAATCAAGGAAGTGCTCAATTAGTTATAAAAAGAAGCGAAGTCAATAAATTAAACATTATTTCAAACTGTTTCAAAGTTATAAAATACTGTCGAGATCAAAAAGAAAAGGATAGGATTCAGTTAATTAGAGAAATAAAAATACCAGAACTAAAGTTTCAAGATGAATTATTTGAACAATTTTCAATTTTATACAGAAAACTAGAAATAAATTTTGAATATAAAAGAGAATATAAATTTGTTTTAGATGATTTGAAAGAGTTTTGGGCTTTCTGGCTAAATAAGCAAAATTTTAAAGGACTTAAAATTGCTGACAAAATTGTTAAAGAGGAATTTAGAAAGTTTGAGTCAGAAGCCGTTGAGGTAATCAAGGGAAAAATTCAGTTTAATCCGTACTATAGTATACAGCAAGCCGAATATTTTATTTCGTCAAATGGTAAATTGAGTGAAGCAGAACAATCTTTGAATCATGCACTTCGCATAAGTAAAAATCCAGAAATATTGTATAGTGCTTATTTAAAATTATTTGAAATCGCTATCGAGAGAGGAAGAGTATTCACAGACAAATGTAGACAAGCTTTAAAAGATGTTTTTTATATTCCAATGGTTCAACCCGATCGAGAATACAAAAGAAAAGCTAAGGATTATCTAGAGCTAGCTAAAAAAGCATTTAAGAAAGAGTTCGACTATATTGAATATCTTTGTAATGATGAAGAATTTTTAAACATTTTGAGAAATGATGTTAACGATGAAGCTACTGAAACAGTGCCTAATGAAATACAACAAGAAAATTTATTCATAAAACATATAATCTCGAAGCAACAAGCTCTTAATCTTGAAATGAACCATGCGGATAAATTGATTCGTGAAATCGATACATCCACTGCTGGCTTTTCAATAGGTTGTCGGATTCCTGATTACCTTTGTAATTTAAAACCAAACAATGAAACTGAACAGACAATGAAAAAAATTATCACAAACTCTGAATTGGCGGAAATAGCAGCTAATGGCTCAAATATAACTTATGCTCTCCGAGCTGTGCACGACGTTTGTCCCCAGATTGCCAAAGCAGCAAAAATACAAATAGGCGGGGGAATCGCATTAATTGGTACTGGAATCTGTTTTCCACCAGCATGTCCTATAACGTCATCAATAGGTGGAACAATGATTACCGAAGGAATATGCGACATCGCTATCGATTTGCTCAATACCAATAGCGATGGCAAGTTTCATAAAGAGGCTTACATCAAGGGTAAAATTATTAGCTATGGCATATCACTCCTCACGATGGGTATTAAAGCCATACTGCAATGTCCAAAAATATTAGAGAAAGCGAAAAATGCTTGTCGGTGGATTTCCGACACTTTGCGTAAATGTCCAGTTTGGAAGTGCGCGTTCGAATCTGTAGCAAGATATTTTGATAAGCTTGCTGATTGGTTTGAAAAAATGGAGGCAATAGCTAAATTCAATAGTATGACTAAAATGGAACAGCTAAAGTTTATTGAAAACGCGAGAAAAAGTAACGATTTAAAACACTTAAAACTTTTGGGATCTAATATATCACAATATCAACATTTATTAAAAGAATTGCGAGAAACAGGCAGATTACAGGAATTGACACGTTTACACAAATTGGGTCAAGTGTCAATGAATATTTCTATTAATGTAGTCTTTAATATTGGAAAACATATACTTATCACTAAAATCGTTTTTCCAGTATTGGCATCAGTAATGTCAGATTTGCGACCTATAGTTAAACAACACGTTGAAAAAGCAGTTAAAGAGAACATTGATAGAGAGAAATTGAAGTATACAAGTTTTGAGGAAATCACAACTATAATTCAAAAGATAAAGAATTCTATTGATTACAAAACTATAATAGATATACTTAAAAATACAATCTTAGGAATTTGCAAGCATTGCAATAATTGGAAGGTTCAGATAGGAGCTCTAGCATTCGATCAGTTTTCATCGTGGTATGAAATTTATAATTGTGCTAAAAATATATGTAGGCAAATTGACCGCGAATTAAAATCCAGCGGTGAATCAGTGAACAAAAACGTCGATGAAATCATAGATAAGTTGATTAAACTGTTATCGGAGGAAATATTCAGCTACATTGTGAGTAATACAATAAAAACATGTGAAGATGTTTACGCGGTGGGGAAATCAGCACGAGCAAATTACAGACGTAAAGCTAAAATAAGAAAAAAATGTATTGAACTATGTGAGAATTTCAAGATGGACGGTCTATCAGGACAAGAACAAATTATAGCATTAAGCGATTGCATAAGAAGGCCCATTCGTATTCATGAAGAAAACGGCAACATAGTAGACATAGGAGAGCATTATCCAGGAGACCCAATAGATATTCATTATTTTCCTCCAGATAAAAATAATTCTACTGGCCATTACGTACCTTTTGGTAAAAATAAAAATTGGTCTTCTGGTGATAACAAAAATAATTGTCTTTTTGATGCCGTCGGATTCAAAATTGGAGCAGATGCAGATGAATTAAGACAGAAAACTCAGGAAAAAATAGAAGCCGATCCGACGCAATACATAGCACTTCATGTTCGTGACGTAATGGGAACTGACATACTATTAGAAGGAGGCAGAACTAATCAGCCTATTTTAGAAGATCATTACCCATCACACAAATGTAAAATAAAAGTAGCCTTTGGGCATAGTAAAGTGCTCGCTAACTTACGTAATAGCCTTAATAAGCATAAAAAAGAATGTGATGAGTTCAACAGTAAGACTGAGAGTCAGAAATTCCGTTATAGAAAACATAACAAATCAATTCCCCAGTTTGGTAATACTCCCGATAAAGATGAAATGATGATGGGATCAGTATATGTAAAATTTAGCGATGGCAGTAAATTAAAACTTGTCACCGTATCCGGAGATAAGCCATTTTCCGTCAGACAGTCTATATCTGAACATGAGAATCTAAATTGTACTACAGAGCCTATTGACTTTACATGGAGTAACGAGGATTTTGAATTTGTAGATCCTGGAAAACCTAGAGGCAAGGTATATGATGTTTACAACAAGCAGGAAACAAATTTTGAATATAGTAAAAGCTGTGCAGGACAAAAGCTGCTATACGCGATAAGTGAATATTTAAAAGCTAATCCACATTTAGAGATAGAGGGTGATATATACATGGCTGAATCGTGGTGTAAACCAGATACTGGCAAATTCTCATCTGATCAGGTTATTATTAATAAATCATGTTCTCATTGCGAGATAGTATTACCAATTGCGACTGGTAAGAATTACAAAGATTAATAGACATTACCAACGATTAAGTAAAAATGTAATTTTTAAAATTAAGTAACGTATATTGTTTTTATACCAAGACGATATGTTAAGCGTTAAATAAACATAATAATAAAAACATTAATTCTATTTCAAAAATATTATAGTCGAGCAAATTAATAAAATTTTAATTTAAATCGAATTCTGGCAATGAATAAACAATTATCAGATATACTTGATTTATCTTAGAATATTAGCATAATACAATAGTTATACTACTTTGAATTCAATTGTTGACATTAAATGCACACTAAATGAAGAAATTCCAATAATCTTCCAATAATCAATCACTGCAAATTTATTGAGCACAAATGAGAGTATTGATTGCTATGAACATTGAGCATAAAAAATCGTAGAGTAAAATAAGCGAAGTAATACAATCTTTTAAGATTAATTCAGTCGTTTCTTATGTCTCAAGTAAATGTGAACGCTATACGTTAATAATAACAAATTCAATGAATTGAATAAGGGAGTCTATTACATTTTTTAGCGTTAAGAAATCGTTAATATTAGAGCATTAAATTTTACATGGACATATGTAAAGTAAAATTTAAACACACAATTGGAGTATGCATATATATATATATATATATATATCAGACTGTCTCATCAGAACTGGATTTTTGATGTACTTACCTTATATCTGTTATGATTACATTTCCATGTACCGCTGAAAATTTTTCTGACATATTTTCGTGACAAAGTCAAACTTAACTCTGCTCTTATGGAAAATTGCGAATGTTACATTACTACTGAATAACAATTATTTTGCCAAGTACGTACACATCGTGCCAAGCACGTACAAGCTTAGTTCATGATCGAGGATTCCTCAAGTGCAATACGCAAACGTCAATGTATTACTTATCATGCCAAACTTATGTCGAGATAGTGATATTATTTTTTCTGTTTTTATTTTTTATTATTTTTCCGTGGCATTTATTATTTTACAGTACACATAATTCAATACCTGCATCGTACACTTTATTTCGAAAAAATTGAGAAAGACCTTATTCCAACATTATCAAGCGCCAATAGATGCCGATACTACCGAATAATTTATATTCGTAGTCAATTATTAGTTATGAACTGTTATATATACAGATATAGGTTCATACGGGATACGTTGATGGATTACCCTTGATGGCCAGTATGAAAAACAAATCTCGTAAGATTTCTGCATAAAGCTCACCATAGAATGCTTGGATCTTCATGCTGACAGCTTTCGTAAAGATTGATGATGAAAAAAGTGAGTGCGTTCTTTTGTCTCGCTCATTGTTGAACAATAATACGCTGCTAATGCTCATAAGTTTTACTTCACATTTACTTTACTTTTCAGCGCTGCGCAAGACTGATAAAAATGACTGAAGTATGGCCCACGTGCATAAACAAATAGTTCACGCAAAATATTTACAAAACACTGCAGTCTAAAGAGGATCTTATGTGAAAAGCAATAATTTAAAGTTGCTCTTTTGTGAAACTATATCTGTGACAGCATGTCTTTCATCGGTATTATATTGAATGCTATACTCCTTTTTTTTCTACAGTAGTAATAGTAATAATCAATTTTCAAATTTCGGTTAAGTAATTTTTTAAACGAAATTTAGTTGATTACGTGATTTTTTAATACTCTTTTTTTCGTTTATTATTGCGATGCAGGCCATATGTTATATTATATTAGATTTATGTCCAAATAGCTGATTCTTTGATGTAAAACTTTAAATAAAAAACGCTTTTTATATGATAATGATTATTCATGACGTATTAATCTTTTTAATCAAGAATTCTGTATATTGTAGTTCGTTCTAATAAAAGCATCCTAAAAATGTCAAATATAATTTTTTCAAATTCTGAAACCATATTTATCGAGTGGTTGCATCTTTCCTGTCGTTCCAGTTGGAATTTTTTTTATATTTACAATTTTATTTAGAGTCGTTCGTTCTTCTACTATTTTAGGACAATGACTATTCCAAGAATCAAGTAATAATATACTATTTGATCCTATAATATATTTGGGAAGAAAGTTTTATAAATTTTAGATCCAACCAAATTTCAAAGTGATCAAAAATTAATATAAAAAGTACTTTTACATATTTCATCTTTTTTGATTATTATAGTAAATGTATTATTAATTTATTGTAATTCTGTTATTACCTGAAGTAAGTTTTCGAGATTTTGTTGCTTCGGTATACATATTATCTGTTCTGAATAATTTAATACTCACTTGCGGTCCAAGTTTTCTAGTTTTTACTTTCGAAACTAAAAAAATAGGCGAAAGAAGTCTTCCATCACCCAATATTAATGGCTAAGTCGTGTAATTACGAGTTGTTGATGCAACTGACTGTAACCAACACACTACTTGTTTTTGACCTTCGACTGTTAGAGTTCTACTGGAATGTATTTTGAAATGAAACCTGCTTTGATCTGAATTATACAAGTTTTCCATTCCAATTTTAATATGAATAATATTATTTATTATTTATTTAGGCATTATTTGTAATATGAATTTTCCAGTTAGTTTAGTTGAAAAATATAAAGTTTTTCCATTTAAAATAACTATCCTTGACACCCGTAACTTTGAGGGGCGGTTTCATCCCCTAAAATCGTAAATCCACAGATAAAAAAACATGTGTGTATCATATTTGAAAAAAACATTAAAGTATGCTATTATTTCGGAAAAAGATCCCAATTTTGTAGTGATACGTGATAAAAGATACGAAGGGTGCTTACCCTCTTGAAAAATTATAGAAAAAATATAGAAATACGTCAACTGAGATATGTATTTGTGTGCAACATATATTTTTTCAGATTTTTTCGCTTAAAATTAATTTCTTAGTCATTCTTTATGAAATTTTTCATAAATAAACTGTTTATTTATACTTAATAATAGATCAAATCTTGTTAAAAAATCGATATTTTTCATTCCCTTTAAAAACAAATTTTCCACTGAGTTTGGTTAAAAAGTATTAAGATTCTATTAAAAATTCTTAAACCACCCCTCGGCGACTAAAATTTGAGGATCTATTTCACCCCCTAAAAAGCTTTTTCCGCAGATAAAAAAAATACGTGTGTCTTATTTTTCAATGTTCTACAACATATCAAAAGAAAACTAAAATGGGCGAGATACAACTCGGTCACTCCTTTCTTATTTTTCTTGTCACTTTCGTGACTTGATTGTCACAAAATGAATTTTTGTGGTAAAAAAATTAAAATTATTTTTAATTATTTATATATTCCTTGAATTTTACAATTTTATATAAATTAATTTTATAATTTTACACAAATTAAAATATCAAAAAATTACAACAGGATTTTTGAAATTTATGTTTTACGCAACAAATTGCTGACAACTTAATTTACAATGAAAGTAACGCGGAAGTTACTGTTCCGTAGATTCCACATATAAATGCACTACTCGCATTGGTTACTAAACTATCCCATGACAACAAAAATGCTAAGATGGCGTACACATAGAAAATTTGGACGGGGTAGACCTCGAGATAAATATGGACAGTCCCTTGACGCATCGACCGATGACTTATAGATCCGCGGGAAGCTTCCTCGTCTTCGGGACGATGTAGTCAAATAACGCAAATGTCCAAAGCCAGAAGAAATAGTATTTACTGAACGAAAACCCTGTAGAGTTTAACAATAACTGAGGTAATATACGAAAAATAACCATATTTCAAATACCAAAAATAAAATTTTTATTCAAGTCAAACTATATACAATGAAAAAGATACATCACAATGCGTGGTCAAATATGCTATAATTATAAATAAAAAAAGGGTCAATTAATAAGAAAAAAAGTTGTTGATCGCAAATAAAAGCAAATTTCCCAAAAGAGCTTGGCTTTACATTTCTTCACCCGCATCTATTTACATTCGCCATTCATCGACTTCATCTCTCCGTATACAAACACTCATTCACGACATCAGCAGCAGACGGCCTCTGGGATGGATCGACGCTCGCCATGGCTCTTATCAACTGGTTGAATTTATCGTTGTAACGCGACAATATGCTAAGGTCACCGTCACGTATCGCTTGCCATTTGGGTCCGTTCTTCGGGAGTGGGCCACCGCCAGCAACTTCGTAAATGGTTAATCCAAGAGCGAACATGTCCGCCTTCGCCAGATCGGTGTAATCCTCGCGCATCACTTCTCTGCACAAGTATCTGAAATTATATAAAACATCCATTACAGAATCTGTGGAATAGCTGGAAGCTTCATATATAACTGGTGAGTTACAACTACGCACCTGCAGTCACCTTCGTCGTCAATTTCCGTAGTGTCGATAATCGAGGCAACGTGGCTAAAGTCGCCGATCTTGTAGACGACTTGTTCCTCGAAAAAGTAGTCCCTGATGAACGCGCCACTCCGCTCGCAGGTCAGTTGTCGTCTTGGCGTCCAGACTCGTTCTCTCGAAATGAAGATGTTCTCGGGTTTGATATCCATATGAGCTAGTTTGTTGCCGTGAACGTACCTGAAAGTCAGACCGCACATTACATTTATTTGTTCGTACAAATATGCGCAACCTGTTATCAATAATCGTCGCATGAACTCACTGCAAGCCCTTGGCAATATCCAGCAAAATCCGATAGACCTCTTCCTCCGTGAACCATCTCTCGTCGTCGCTCACAGTCTTGATCAAAGCTGCCAGATCACCGCCGGTGCAGTACTCCTGCAGAATATTCATCCTGTTGTCCTCGATCCAGGCCGAATAATACCTCACGACATTCGGATGATTGTTGAGCACGGCATTGGCGTGGACCTCGTTCTTCGCTCGTCTCTGGGCGTACTTGCTTCCGGCCAAAAGTCGGCTGCGTTTCACTGCGTAGACGCGACCGTCGAGACGATTGATGCAACGATAGACGGAACCGAACGTGCCGCTGCCGATCAAGCTCAGCTCGTGGAATTCACGCTTGTAGCGAGTCGTGCAAGACGACAGGTCCAGCGTGGTTGATAGCGATGTGGATGCCAGTGTGACTGTCGAACCCTTGTCCGCTTTTTTACACAACGCTGAGCAGAGAATTTTGCGAGCCATCGCTCTGAAACAACAAAAATGCAATTATTTTTTAGTCGAACGCCTACGTGTGAAAAATCGGTGTTCATTAATTCGATCGAGCTACGTCTACTTAAATCCAATCTGAAATTTGATCTTCCGGTACTTTCTACTTCAAAGTAATTCAAGGGTCCTATCGATAAATCAAAAGAAATCAGTTTCTTGTGTTTAAAGCGTCATCTCATACGCGAACGATTACAACTTCAATTTAGGTCTTCACTGAAAATATGAAAACAGCGTCCGTGCCGATTTCAAAAGATAATTAACTTTCCTGATAGCGAAATGCATTATTCTTTATTTGTTCTTCGAAAAAATAGCAATAACACAACAACAGCCTTCCCTAAACAATATCAAATATGTCAAATAGCAACAGCATGACTCACCCCTTGCGTTGACTTTTGACTTGATCATGTATGGTTGTATCATCCACGATCTTGATGAAATCAACCTCTTCGATCGGCGCGAAAGGATTCGCAGTAACAGTCAACTGTGCTCTCTTCTCGCGACTTTTATCTTCCTGTGGATTGTTCTGCGGTGCCGACGGCAATGTAGAAAACATTGCCTTCATACTACTATACAGCGAGTTCATCCAGGCCATATTCTTTTCTTTCTTCAATCGTCGTGGAGCACAACATCTACGGGTGCACTTCTCGCGATGAGCAAAATGAAAAAATTTGGATTCACTCATATTGTTTTAGGTATATCGCACAACGTCAATTCGATTTTGGAGACTTTCACGCACAAACACTCTAAGAAACGGTGTCGAACTGATCAGTTCTTTGCACGCCTATGCCTGAAGGAATACTGAGTAGTTAGCTTCTTCAACCATGACTTTTACACCCTTAACCTGAACCTCAGGTAGAGACCGCCGCAATTGTCTGCTCCCATTTATTACAGTCTTAGTGCTCCTTGTGGCTGAGTGACCCCAAGACAGGGATGCGGTATAAATACTATTCAGCGTCAGTAGAGGAGCACAGGTAGAAAAAGATCAGACGGATAGAACACCATATTTCCCCCTGGAAGACAATGGAGAACGGTTGGAAAACCTCATCAACACTTTTATTACCACAAACGAAAATAAATACGTTTGGGAAGGACGACCATGACGACCACTTCTAGGAGATTTAACAAATAAAAAAACATTTATTTTCGTTGGTGGTAATAAAAGTGTTGATGAGGTTTTCCAACCGTTCTCCATTGTCTTCCAGGGGGAAATATGGTGTTCTATCCGTCTGATCTTTTTCTACCTGTGCTCCTCTACTGACGCTGAATAGTATTTATACCGCATCCCTGTCTTGGGGTCACTCAGCCACAAGGAGCACTAAGACTGTAATAAATGGGAGCAGACAATTGCGGCGGTCTCTACCTGAGGTTCAGGTTAAGGGTGTAAAAGTCATGGTTGAAGAAGCTAACTACTCAGTATTCCTTCAGGCATAGGCGTGCAAAGAACTGATCAGTTCGACACCGTTTCTTAGAGTGTTTGTGCGTGAAAGTCTCCAAAATCGAATTGACGTTGTGCGATATACCTAAAACAATATGAGTGAATCCAAATTTTTTCATTTTGCTCATCGCGAGAAGTGCACCCGTAGATGTTGTGCTCCACGACGATTGAAGAAAGAAAAGAATATGGCCTGGATGAACTCGCTGTATAGTAGTATGAAGGCAATGTTTTCTACATTGCCGTCGGCACCGCAGAACAATCCACAGGAAGATAAAAGTCGCGAGAAGAGAGCACAGTTGACTGTTACTGCGAATCCTTTCGCGCCGATCGAAGAGGTTGATTTCATCAAGATCGTGGATGATACAACCATACATGATCAAGTCAAAAGTCAACGCAAGGGGTGAGTCATGCTGTTGCTATTTGACATATTTGATATTGTTTAGGGAAGGCTGTTGTTGTGTTATTGCTATTTTTTCGAAGAACAAATAAAGAATAATGCATTTCGCTATCAGGAAAGTTAATTATCTTTTGAAATCGGCACGGACGCTGTTTTCATATTTTCAGTGAAGACCTAAATTGAAGTTGTAATCGTTCGCGTATGAGATGACGCTTTAAACACAAGAAACTGATTTCTTTTGATTTATCGATAGGACCCTTGAATTACTTTGAAGTAGAAAGTACCGGAAGATCAAATTTCAGATTGGATTTAAGTAGACGTAGCTCGATCGAATTAATGAACACCGATTTTTCACACGTAGGCGTTCGACTAAAAAATAATTGCATTTTTGTTGTTTCAGAGCGATGGCTCGCAAAATTCTCTGCTCAGCGTTGTGTAAAAAAGCGGACAAGGGTTCGACAGTCACACTGGCATCCACATCGCTATCAACCACGCTGGACCTGTCGTCTTGCACGACTCGCTACAAGCGTGAATTCCACGAGCTGAGCTTGATCGGCAGCGGCACGTTCGGTTCCGTCTATCGTTGCATCAATCGTCTCGACGGTCGCGTCTACGCAGTGAAACGCAGCCGACTTTTGGCCGGAAGCAAGTACGCCCAGAGACGAGCGAAGAACGAGGTCCACGCCAATGCCGTGCTCAACAATCATCCGAATGTCGTGAGGTATTATTCGGCCTGGATCGAGGACAACAGGATGAATATTCTGCAGGAGTACTGCACCGGCGGTGATCTGGCAGCTTTGATCAAGACTGTGAGCGACGACGAGAGATGGTTCACGGAGGAAGAGGTCTATCGGATTTTGCTGGATATTGCCAAGGGCTTGCAGTGAGTTCATGCGACGATTATTGATAACAGGTTGCGCATATTTGTACGAACAAATAAATGTAATGTGCGGTCTGACTTTCAGGTACGTTCACGGCAACAAACTAGCTCATATGGATATCAAACCCGAGAACATCTTCATTTCGAGAGAACGAGTCTGGACGCCAAGACGACAACTGACCTGCGAGCGGAGTGGCGCGTTCATCAGGGACTACTTTTTCGAGGAACAAGTCGTCTACAAGATCGGCGACTTTAGCCACGTTGCCTCGATTATCGACACTACGGAAATTGACGACGAAGGTGACTGCAGGTGCGTAGTTGTAACTCACCAGTTATATATGAAGCTTCCAGCTATTCCACAGATTCTGTAATGGATGTTTTATATAATTTCAGATACTTGTGCAGAGAAGTGATGCGCGAGGATTACACCGATCTGGCGAAGGCGGACATGTTCGCTCTTGGATTAACCATTTACGAAGTTGCTGGCGGTGGCCCACTCCCGAAGAACGGACCCAAATGGCAAGCGATACGTGACGGTGACCTTAGCATATTGTCGCGTTACAACGATAAATTCAACCAGTTGATAAGAGCCATGGCGAGCGTCGATCCATCCCAGAGGCCGTCTGCTGCTGATGTCGTGAATGAGTGTTTGTATACGGAGAGATGAAGTCGATGAATGGCGAATGTAAATAGATGCGGGTGAAGAAATGTAAAGCCAAGCTCTTTTGGGAAATTTGCTTTTATTTGCGATCAACAACTTTTTTTCTTATTAATTGACCCTTTTTTTATTTATAATTATAGCATATTTGACCACGCATTGTGATGTATCTTTTTCATTGTATATAGTTTGACTTGAATAAAAATTTTATTTTTGGTATTTGAAATATGGTTATTTTTCGTATATTACCTCAGTTATTGTTAAACTCTACAGGGTTTTCGTTCAGTAAATACTATTTCTTCTGGCTTTGGACATTTGCGTTATTTGACTACATCGTCCCGAAGACGAGGAAGCTTCCCGCGGATCTATAAGTCATCGGTCGATGCGTCAAGGGACTGTCCATATTTATCTCGAGGTCTACCCCGTCCAAATTTTCTATGTGTACGCCATCTTAGCATTTTTGTTGTCATGGGATAGTTTAGTAACCAATGCGAGTAGTGCATTTATATGTGGAATCTACGGAACAGTAACTTCCGCGTTACTTTTATTGTAAAAATTGCGAACCTACAGAAAATTTGCATGGGGTAGACCTCGTACAAGGTACGAAGTAGCATGTGGAGAGTCTCTAAGAGGAGCGGCCAGATCGTGCGTTCCTTCGCGACCTGGGGACGCATAACAAAAATCGTCATTAAGTTGCTCGGGCAACGTTTCGCCTTGCTCTCGGAATTACGGTACATGTCCCTGCGAGGGGTGAATTTTTGTCTATCCAGCAACCCGATACATTAGCTAACTCTCTCATTCAGCCGCGCTCTCGAAAAAAGTTTGCTCGCGCAAGTCATGTTTCCGCTGAAATCGCCCGGATGTATTATGTTTTACATGGGATATTTGTGCAACTAGGGAGACTTTCAGTGTCTAACGATCTAAACGGTTACCCGTTATAAATATCTTTCTTTTCGAATTTCATTAAATGTAGTCTTTTACAGTTTTTTCTTATCATTTTTAATTTACACACCTCTGCCTCAACTCAGTATATGTACCACTTTAATATAGCATTGACGGATATTCCAGTGATTCAAGATGAGACTTGTTTGCCATACTTGTCATCCTATATCTATTACCATTTTTAATTAAACAAAAATATATTCTTACTCTTAACCCAGTATCAAGTAGGTTATAGCTTTGCTCTATTTATTACTCTTATTTATATTGAATTTCCAAAAATGTCCTACCCCGTTATATAACATGTTAGAAAAAATATCTATTTCTTATTTATTTACCTTTGACTTTGATCGTTGACATGTGTATCAGTCTTGACTTTTCTTTGCGATGGTCATTTACACTTCTGTGATCCTTCTCGATCTCTGAATCGGTCAGTACGTGTTTCGCTATCGCTCATTTTGATACACTTCAATAATTTAAGGAACCACTTTGATCGCGCATACTAAATCAATCAGAAATGTATAACCCAAAAATGAATTCCTGAAATACAACATCATTGCAGATGCTGTAAATAGCGAAAGGGTCATGAATACAGAAGCGTAGTATTTTTCGTAATAAATGTTACTTTTCAATTTTAATATTAATTATTGCGAATAACGAGATTTTCCATGCTCTGTTAAATATGATCAGCTGTTGTTTGGTAAATAAATAACATTTGACAGCCTGTTTTCAAAATCCATTATCTTCAGATGTCTCTAAGGTTTCACGGAATTACTTTATTATTGAAATGCAAACTGAAAGGAAAAATGATCTCGTTTGCGAATGATGTGCGCCAACAGATACGCGCGAGGAAAAGTCCCCGGCAATGAGGAAAGGTTGAGCGTAAAGGCGAATTGCGCAAACAAGGAAAGAGAATCAGTCCATATAAGGCAGCGGCGAAACATCGAAAGAGCGCAGAGCCACGAAGTGTCACACTGGCCGGAAAATGAAGTTCGCGCTCGCTCTGGTGCTGGTATTCGCGGCGGCAGTCAGCGCCAACAGGCTGCCGCGCTGCGCGACGGTCAAGTGCGCGGAAGCGTGCCTCGACAATCCAACGCGCTGCACCACCAAGTGCAACGCCGCTAGACCCTGCCCCGGACGCCAGGCTTGCATCGACGGATTGTGCGTTTGCCCCCAAGACACGATTTATCAAATGGGGCGCTGCCGGCCGATCCTACATCCTATCGACTACAAGTGCATGACCGTCAAGTGCAGCGCGGGTCACGTTTGCCGCGATGGCATCTGCGTGCCGCTTATCGACGATACGATCGTTCTAACGCTGGACGGGTCCAACTGACACTGTTCCGAAGGCACGTGTACTGTGAAAATAAAGCACATCACTCAAAATATAATCCAGTGCTGCGTACCATTGATTTACTCGACTATTCGGAGCGCTTACAAGAGCTTTCACTTTGCTTCGCTTGCAACTATTTAAACGATATATTCCAAAAATTTTTATTATTGTTGGTATACCTTAGTATTCGTGTAATTTATAATTGCATTTCGCTTTTTATTGCACGCAAATGCAAATATATCTGCTTCTATTTTTATCCATAATGTATCATAAAATGCAACAAATGACGCGGCGTGCGAAACACACGGATATGTCAAATAATCGACCTCGTGTCAATCGTCGCGGGAAAAATTCGTGTGACGCATTTGTTTTTTGAAATAACAATAGGCAGAAGTTTCCCAAGCAGCTGAACGTACTTTTTCTTCGAGTATCCTGGCAATTGTAAGTCAGCAAGTATAACATTCATTCAATGTTATTGTGTCCGAACCTGTCGAGAGCGTGCACGTGTCTGCTTAGACTTGATGACGCTCCCGTCAGTTTTGGAATTCTTTCTGAAAAGTAGTCGATCAATCGGATAATATGAAATATGAAATATAAAAATAGTTATTCTTTTTAGTTATTATTTTTCATTTCAACCTTTGATACGCAGTGTTTACATTATTGTTTTCGAAGTAAGTAGTTGAAAGAATGACAGCTCGGTGTTTTCAACAAAGAACCAATTATCATGAATTCTTTTTGCAAAAATCATTTGATGGAATCATTCGAAATTGATTAAATCCAATTTTACGCAGTAAATTCATTGAACCATTTTCTGTTGCTTTCGAATCGCCATCTTCTCTCACTATGAAATCACGAGGAGTTCCCCCATGTATTATATATATATATAGGCAATCCACATTAAACTAAAATTGTAGATCACTAAAAAAATCGAGGATGGACACAAAATTCTCGTTTTACACTCTACTTTCTGTTGTGATGTGGCGATTTTGAAAAATCTAAAATGGTGGCTCCAATATGGCAGCTCAAACCTAGAGATTCGATAAAAAATTTTCAAAAATCGATTATAATTCATTCAATTGTGATTCTAAGTATTTTTTTTTATGCCAAAAATGAATTCAGCGTTCAATCTTACATAGGAATATAGTATTTTACTCGAGGTAAAAAAATTTTGCATTGTCATCTGAAGGTCAAATCGGGAAAAAATAGTTATTTCTTGATTTACTAATTGATCAATGTTGACTAGTGAGAAAATGAAGATACTCATAAGTATTTCGAGTGATTGAATCCCAATCTGATGTCCGCTTCGTTTTTCACAGTGACGATGGCCTGATATTTTTACTCGCAACGAACAAAATGGCGGGCGAGGTGGAAAATTATTTCTTAAATTTGACTAATTTTTTTGCTCGAATACTATTAACTTTTGTGAAAATTATGTAGGAACTAAAATGTCTCATAATTATTCACAGAATAGTCTACAATTTTCAATTGAAAATTCAATAATTGTACTGGAAAATTCTGAAAAAAATGTGAAAGTATTCTTTGACTATATTTAAAACATGTTCATATTTCAGACGTTTTTAAGAAAAAAAATTTTGAAGATTTGCTAAATACATTTTTTATTACTTATGAAGAAAGTATGCCTTCGGATAATTATATTATAAATATATATATTAGATATAAATGTTGCCAGATTTTCGTCATAGGAGGATAGAAGTTATTAAGAATATCTTTCTTTTTGTTTCCTCAATTTGTAATTAAAAATAAACAAGAAAATAATAAAAAATCATCGTCACGTTTATAACCATGTCTCTCCGCGGCAGTGCGGCGCGATGCGACGTCCAGTACGTCCTACTATGCGCCAATGCCGTTTTACCAATAGGTCGCACAGCGTGTTCCCACAGGAGGCGGGCACGTCAGGATATTCTCAGTGATGACATTTTCGCATTTTTAGTCATGATGCCACAGCGTCCTCACTGATTTCATGCCTCTCATATAACTGAATAGGGAACTTGTGTATCTCAGCAACGTTTAAAACGAACGTTTGAAGTAGTAGTAACAATTTATCGATATGCCCATTTACAATGACAAGAACTAGTTCGTCTCGGAAGCGGCGTTATCTTCTTCAGGCAATTTTTATTTTGCAATCGAATACAATCGATTAATACGAGTTCGATTTAGATCGAAGATTTAGCTTCTGCCTACGTGGGCGGTGCACAAATATTCGCTATTGTGTGTTATTATTGATCATCATTTATAGAAAGCACACTCTAATTGTACTTCGTGAACTCTTATGAATCGATTGTATTTTACATTGTCTTCAAAGTAAAGACAGGAAAGCCTGTCTTTATCGGAGCGTCGCAACGCGACCAACTAGTTATTTTCATTACGAACATCTCGTTGAGCGGCTTTCTCCCGCGATATGTTTATTTAAACGATTCGATTGGTTAACGACCGAAATTGAGTGAGATCCAATTGTAAAAAAGGGATATTTCACGTAAATTACATTCGTAATAGTTTTATCGATCTTGTACAAAGTAATGTCTGAGTAATCGTATTCCATGCGTTGCAGATATTTTTTCTTTTCATGGTGTAATCTGTAGGAGGTTGACAGAATCAGAAACATTTCTTTGTCATTACATAAGGGTTAATTAACAATTAAATATTCCTGCATATCTCTACAACAAACATTTTTAATGACACGTATACGAATTTCGTTCACTTATTTTTAATTATTTATTTATTTAACCAAGCAAATTTTGCTATCCGGCATATTTGCAAGAGTATACGTGTAGGTACATGTACGCAAGACGGCTTATGCATAACATAAAATAATATAAAAAATCAAATAATAGAGCAAAATACTTCTTTTATATTAACGGTTCATTATATTTTGTACTACATTTATCTCCAGCAGTATATTCTCGTTGTTCCGTATCCATTTCCATATTTATGGCATGATATATAATTTATTAGTTAGTCGTGGTCTATCTTGAGTCTATCTGCATTTGAAAAGTATATTATCGCGGTATGTACAATAAGAAAGTCACGTCGTAACGACCCAAAAGCGAGGTCTCACTGTGAACCATAGGTGGCTCGTCAAATAAGCCGTCCACCTGCCACCAAAATTGGTTACACTTTCTTTAGAGCCGCCTGCAGCATTACGTGCAAAGGGCCGAATTCAGGCTGGCTCAGTCCAGGCCAAATCTCTCTAGGCTGCGCACGCCGCCAAGGCGCTCGGCTTCAATATGATCCCGAAATCGTAAGTATTTGCTCGTGCAATTTTAGGCCCGCGTTTCTTTTATTTGCCGATGCGACGCGATTATCAAAGCGCATTCGTTAGCCTCGCGGTCGTCCGAGTGTTTTTCGGGTGATCGAGCGATCGTCAGACGAGAGCGGCCGGGAAAAAGTAAAAGAGAACGCGGCAGCCCGCAGACGTCGGGCTTCGACGGCTTAACCGCAGTCGCGCGGCCGGGTGCTCTCTCAAGGGATCTCCACGCATGTAGGTAAAATCTTTGTTGAGAAGGCGTACCGAAAGATTTTCTTTGCTCTCTGCCGACTTCGGAAAGGCTTCTGTGTTCGACCTGATTTCTTTTTTTTTTCCGTGGCGCGGATGAATAAATAAGACTCTTGGATATGAGTATAGGTTGACTTTATTAACTGAATAATGTTTAACGCAGATAACGCACAGAAACATACGTAACGTAACGTAGCGACTCGGTTTGACGGATCGTGAGGCTGGCGGAAGGCTCAGTTGTATACTTGTCGGTAGCTCGAGCGAGAGTTAGTTTTTCTTAGTTGGCCGAAAAACATCAAGACTCGTCTGTTGGAAAATTGCAAGGGAAAGGGAATAAAAACTCACCCGCGGAGTCCGATGGGTAGGGTAGCATGTGCTGGAATTATGTAGCGTGCATTTTGGAAGTGAGCGCGTGGTGGCATTGAAGTTTATTACGGTCGGCAGGTAAGAAAAGGCCGAACTCGTCGATAAGGTGCTGAACCCTTTCAAGGGACCTTTATGATTTAACGACTGCAACGTGCTCTACTCAAAATACAAAAACACATGTCGAGCAGACGCAGTAAATGTGAGACTTCGAGGATGCGCGCTACAACTACTACGTGCTCTATTCAAAATACGAAAACATGTATCGAGCAGACGTAGTGAATATGAAACTTCCGAGATACACGCCACACTTTTTTTTCCGTGTACGTCTTTGGAAAGCGCTCCGAGGTGATTTCAACGGGGGTGGATTCTTTCGAAAATGCATATGTTCCCGAAACAGTTCCATTGCATTGGCAACTTTGATCGAAACATAAATGGAGTCGGCTTTCATTTTCTGTCCTTTCAATCTTGTTCCGCGACGCGAACGTTTCTGAGCCAGCCTTACGTATTTCAGACCGATGCAACTGCGGACTTTGTACTTACATTACTTCTGCTTGCTCTAACCTACTGACATTGGCTTAAGTTTGGAACGGAAGCGTCGATTTTTTTCACATTTTAAATATCATCTCTGACTTTCATTGCTTTAAAAATTGCACTTAATGTGTTTTTCCGCGACGAAAAAAAAAGAAAAAAAGAATTATTATAGGTTCGTGCCTCTAATTTAAAAAACAACGCTCGCAAGACTCGAATGATTTTTGTGATTTGTAAAAAGCTAAATCGATTTGTTTGACCCTCGCGAAGAACATGAAAGTCGAGGCTGGCGTCCGAATTCACGCGAAAGTGCTTATTTCAGGAAGCAAGGAGACAAGCTGAGGAGTTTGGCAGCAGTGCAGCTGCTACTGTCGGCAGCAGCTCTTGCGCAGAGCAGCGGAGACATAGCCGACGCGAAGCCGTTCGCGGAATACGACCTGAGCCCGACGAACGATCGAGCCCAGTTCCACACGGACTTGACGTATGCCCACCAGAGTATTATAGCGACGAGAGAGGTGTCGACTGGTTTCTGGATCAAACTAGTCACTCCTGGGCCCAATAGCACGACGAGCGAGTGCTTCGAGCCGTTCAGCCCGGAAGTCATCCACGACACAAAGCGCCTGAGCTACAAAACTGTACTGCTCGAGACCCGGCCCATAGGCAAGCAGTTGGAAAGGAAGCTCGTTTTGCTGAACGTCAAGAACTGCAACTACGTGCCCGTCTACGACGGTCCCCTGCCGTTGGACTACAAGATTTTCCCGAGCAGCAATGCGTCCAACGAGAGCTTCGCCCTGCTCATGCACGGCAAGAAATACTGTCGCGGTCTTAACTGGTGTCGGCTGTTGTTCAACCCGTTTTACAGCGGCTTCGAGCCTCTCAACTTTGACTTTACCTCGAGCGGTTTCTACAACGTCGAGCCCGTGGCGTCCTTCGACGGGAATCTGTTCGTCGTCGACCTCCTCGACGACGCCACTCAGAACACCTATATCAAACGCCTGTACAACGTCAGTGACATCTCAACCTCGCGCAACTACAAAGAGCTGCTCCACTTGGCGAACTACGTGTCCTTCAGAGGCCGCTGGTCCCAGATGGAGCTGATATCGTCGTCTCTGTCGCACTGCTGGAGGACGAACAGGGACACGGACGAGGACAAGGTCGTCCACTGTGCGGCGTTTCGCGAGGACGGCACCGCGGTGATCAACCAAACGATCGTCTACGCGGACGTCGTCAAATTTTACAAGGTGCAGAGCATCCCGAACGGCTTGATTCTGATCGGCAAGCGCAACTGCGCCGACAGAGCGCAGTGCTCGGACGTGCAGTCGACCGTCATTACGAACGAGAGCTGCGCCGACTCGGGTCGCGCTTCGGCGCCGCGGCCAAGCGAATCCATCACGGTCGTCAGAAACGTTCATTACCATTTCCAGTGTCGACCGCTCTTCGTTTCCCGAATGTATTTCCGGGTGAAGGTCTCCGATGGCTCGGTCGACGTGGATCATATGTGCATCTACGAGAAACGCGCCGATTATCAAAATACGCATAGTTACATAAGTCGTGGGTGAAGAGATACAGGCGTTTAACGCACTTGATCCAATTGGAAAACCAAGTCAATGTATCACGGAAGAGTGTGGGGCAAAGCTGTTAGATTACCATTTTTTATCGATAATCAAGTTTTTTGTATGCTACATAAAAATAAAAAAATTAAATAAAATGTGTAATTAGCAAAGATGGACAAGGGTTTTTGTCAAAATAATCAGTTTTGTTCGTAAAATTAGATTAATTTAAGTTTTTTTTCGTTCACGAGATATGTACACGTATAATACATACTTGACAATCTTTCTAAAGTAATAGCTTCATGCTTCTATTATAAAATAGTTATAAATCTAAAATAATAATTACTTATTTCGAAGGTTATCTATGTAGAATTAAGAAATGTAACATTGACCATTTGCTTAAATTAAGAGTAATCAAGTTCAAATTTAACTTCGTTAAAAACTCGACTGTCTAGAAGCTCTGTGTATTTGTCGAATAAATTTGTATAAATTTTCACGACAAATCTTATGCAAAGCGAGCACGACTGGATACTTGGGCCATGTCGAGTTAAACTAACGATAATTTATTTAAAAGAATCCTTAGTATGTATTATTATTAACTCATGAATGATGTATATGCAAAGTCGACAATTAATCGAGATAAAAAGCAGGCGGAAACTTTCCTTCATTAATACTCAGTTAAAAAATCGTGCCACTGGAAAGTTCGACGTTAACCACGTATAAAAAAATTTCACACGATTATACACTTGAAACCCTTCACAATCGCAATGTCAACCAGAAACACTGACGCTTTCCGCTTTTTTTTAGTGCATTATGCAGGACTTTCCGTGGATGAATATACTTTAGCGATTCGCTTGAGACGAAAAACCACGACGAAAATACAGAGAGAACAGCGACGATTATTATGACTTTATATATCACCTTTGGTGCGGACTGCAGTGCCGATTACGCGCATAAAATTAAAAGTGGTTCCAGATGAATAAGGAGGCTTCGTGCGTTCATGCTCGTCATACAATCCCAAGCTTCGACCATATATTAACTTATTAGGGATAATAACTATAAGAGATTTATTATTTAGAGGTCGTTTATTATTTAACAATTAGTGCAAATTTGTTTCATAATAATTTAGCTTTTTCTTACGTTATAAAACCAAAAAGAGTTATTATAATTCAACAAGCAATGTTGTATTTGGATAAGTGTAAACGAAGAAATTCGGTGTGCTGAATTCGAATTTAAACTTAGAATTGATCGATCCACCTAGATTTTTCAACTATTCTAACCTAAAAGTACCAAAAACACTGTTTTTTGCAGTTTGTGGACTTTCCTCACATCGCGAGTTGTTATTCTATTGCAAATCTAAAAACAACATCGGAAACAGTAAATATTCTATTTCAAAAAGTAGTATTTAATCTTTTTAAACAAATTGTTATAATTAGAGATGTCGTTCATTGAAAAGTAGACAATTCAGGTTTAAGAAAATATATACACATAATATAACGTGGGTATTATACTTACCCACCATTAGATTCGGCCCACTCTTATCGTCGCGGCTCACGGCTTTATAAACCAGCTGTTAACAATCGGTACGTCTTGAAATTTATTATAACCCAAACAAACTTTACAATCGACGATTTTATATGATTTTTAATTTACAATAAAAAATAATTATAGTAATTATGAATAATGAAATCCTATTAATTAGAAAAAATTTTATTTATAATTGAATCTGAAACGTGCGTATGATGAATGCAATTTATACTGATTTATATTGTTATTTATTGCATTCTCACATGTACTGTGTTATTTCATCATGTACATAATGTTTATTCAGAATTTATTACGTATTTAGAGATGTGCATTTGATAATAAATTATATGTATTTTGTTACTATATATTTTTCTATTACAGTTATAGAAACAATAAGCAACCGAACATTGTGCAGCTGCATGACAATAACAGTGAGGCAATACTTAAACTAGCCCAAATCAGAACTATTATTAATAAACTTCGTACAGATGAGAGGGCCTTTGAAATAGCCATACAAATTTTTGATCTAAACTTGAAAATTCCAAGTACAAAGTTTTTGAAAGTATATCACAATCAACTTTTAATCAACATTTTAATCAACAATAGTGCAGACTTCAACATAAAAGATAACAATGGTTATACAGTTATTCATAAATCTTTTCTGAATGCTTCTATACATTATATTAATCATAAACATTCAATACATGCAATTAACTTAGCAAACTTATTTATTAATTCAGTATTGTCAGCACGTGTTAAACACAGAAATTATTTAAATCCTTCAGATCCTAATGGATTAACACATTTTCATATTGCTTGTGCATTGAATCATGTTGAGGCTGTTGAATTATTTTTGAGTAGGGGGTGCCAGTCAATCAAGTAGTTAAATCAAAATATTTTGCTGGTAACTGTAGAATGGCGACACTTCATCGCTTGCGGGTGTATCTTCAATACGTTTAATCTGATAACGAAAAAAGGCTGTATTGCGGCGGCATGCAACCTAATCTTGCTTCAAAATATACGAAGCTTGTTATTCGGCACGTGTATAAATTTTCCGAAATCTGTGAATAAAGATGATTTAAGTCGCACTGTGATTCATAAGATTGTCTCATTACCATCAGGAATGTTAAATGATGAAGACACATATGAATTGGGACGTCTTCTTAATGATATGAAGATATTTGGATGTGACGTGGACGACCAAGATGCTTCGGGTACTATTATCATTAAAAAATATGTTCACTAATCTACATTTTCACGCATATATTATAATTTTCTTTATATCTTATAGGTAAAACACCTCTGCATTTTGCAACTTTCTTCAGATATCATACCGCCGTTAAGAAATTGTTCTCAGCAGGTGCAGACATCAATATAATTGATAAAAGTGGTAGAACAGCATTTTCGTATCTCTTTGAAATGTGTTCTTGGCATCAAGAGTGCCCCTCTGCTATAAATTACGAAGTTCGTAGCCGATTCACCCACAACGACATATTTAAACTTTTTGTTAATCATATTAAAAAACTAAAACTTTTAAATATCGAAGTCAATGAGTCGAATGAAGACCTATTTAGTGAAGCTCTTGAAATATTCGATAATGTTACAGACAATCAAGAAACATTTCTGTCGACTACAAAAGAGTTATGGAATTTAAAAATAAAGTTTCTTTCTCTGACTATTGGAAGTTTTTTATCAGATACTGGAGCTATTGTTGATTATCCGACAATGCCACACTTTAAACAAAAAGATGTAGATGAATTTTTCCATAAAATTGAGGAACATTCTCTTACAATAAACACAGAACTTTATGGTATCTTACAACTACAGTATAGAAAAGCATTGAAGAGAAAGCAAATATTTGACTTGTCTCTAAAATCCTTGCCAGTTTTGTTGAAATTTCAAATTTCTTATGACTGCTGGTGTATTATCTTACAATTTTTATCAAATTCTGATTTGGAAAACTTGATTGCAGCTGTGTTTGACGACAGTGACACGACAATTTTAGTAGGTTAAGTGTAATCTGAAAAAATTGGATAAAATACGTTATCTTACTAAAATATACAAGTTTCTGTAAATAGATATCTCGTGTGTGTATATAGCTTCATATAAATTGTAATACTCTCAACATTACTTGTAATGAATATTAATTTTGACTCCTTTATTTCTTTAATAAAAACGTTTAAGAATATTTACAATCAAAAGATTAACTTATTATGAAACTGTATATATATTCAAAAACAAAAAGTTATCGTATGGTGCAACAAATCGTTGTTATACAGTAGTACAATGACTTTTAATTAATTTAATTTTAAGATCAACATAATTTCTATTTAATTTTCTGTCTTGTTTGTCATTGCCATAAAAACAAAGCTTTTAAAGCTCATATTGGAATATTTGATCGAAATTATTGAAGGTTTGAATAGTTGTTTTTCTTTTGTTTTTAATTAATAATTTTGTTGAAAAATTTAAAGAAAAGAATATTTTCTCTGATTATAATGTGTAATTTATAATATACAATTTTTATAAATTATACAACTTCAACTAATTTGTTTTTCAAGTTAAATATCTTGAAGTCTATAATTTAATTTGCTATTGTTGAGGAAAAAATAATTTTTTAAACTATAATCTTGTACACTATAGCTCATATAAAAATAATTTTGGACAGTTATTTTCAAATAGCAATATGTAGTTGTCGGTAGAGAAATATATTCTATATGACGTCTGTAAAGAATAATTTCAATTAAGCTTACGTAAGTTTATATTATAGTAAAGTTTTTTTGGAAATGTATTTTCAACGACGATATGATGACTAAATCAAAGATATAATATTAGTATCTATCTAAAACATCTTTACATTAAATAACGCAATAAGATAAAAATAACGCATAAATCTTTGGTTGAATAATGATAAATAATTGATTTGTTTTTTACCTCAGTAATCGTCCAACATCCGATGTCTGAGGGTTCTTGTGTACAAAATCCCTAAGATTTCTTGCTACAATAGATTAATATAATAATAGTTTTCACTTATCATTTATTCAATGTCTTCATGTGGGATCGCATTATGATGATATAATTACTGAATACATAATAAGCTTATGTTCAGCTAATAGCTATATTCAGCTAATATATTTATATAAATATTTTTACATTCTGCATAGTGAAAACAATTTTAAAAACAACATTAAAAATAATAACAATCAATAAATTTCATTCATACTCAAAATTCATAATGAATTTTTATTTCTTTCGAATGATTTGTTTTAATCAATTATAGTTGATTGAGAGTTTTCAAATCAAGGCACAAATTAAAAAGTAAATTAAATTACTTTTATTTTATTCTTCTTAAAAAATAAAGCTATAAATTTTTTTAATTGAAACTATAATTACAAAATGATTCCCATACTATTCTCTGTATTATATTTTTATTTTCTAATCATTAAAAAATTTTCTTTTTATTTTCCAAATTAAAATATAGCTGCTTACCTTTTTTCAGCTTCGTAGAAAATCATAATAAGCACGAGCTTGTTACTATGAAAATTTATTAAAAGTGATATTCAGTATAGCATATATTGTCTAGAACGTTCTATTACGTCAAATATAGCTATAAAAAAATTATCATCTGTAATTTGATATTTTTTATCATACATATAATTGTTGTAAAAAATAGGATGCGGAATATTATTGAAATATTCAAATCACAGCGCGCACGAATTCAACCATATCGACCTTGCCATCTCTGAAGCGCCATTGGATATAAATTACGGATTACGGATACCAGATCCCTGAATATATCCGTAATATTTATAAATATGAACGAGACGTTTTTATTTTGAATATCACTTATTCACTCAACATGTCGCGCCCACACTAATTAATAGCAAAATAAGGTGACATTATTCAAATAGTGAGTGAAAAATAACTGGATTCCATGTTCGTTATACAATTTTCAAATTAAAGTAAAACGTTTATGAAGGTTAGGTTCATTGTTTACAATTTTGTATTCTATTTCGATTGTCTTTTTAGTTATCGAAAATTGACATTTTATATTACAAGTCAGTTTTTTATTTTAATACTAATTTACTCATCGAAAGCCTAAATTAAAATGTTAGTATCGTACAATTATGAAAATCTATTTTTGTCTCGTTATTTTCAGAAATCATTAATTTGAATTAATCATTACAGATGTGGACATTTGATAAGAATACGTAAAATAATGTCGGCCATAACAAGTGAAGAAAAATTCCGATCTATCTTAGCTGATCTAGGAAAAGCTACTTTGAGAGGTGTAAGAAAATGTCCAAAGTGCGGCACATACAATGGTTCAAGAGGTACCTGTTGTAAAAATAAATTCTGTGATGCGGTATTCAAAGAACCTGGAGAAAAACGTAAATTATCAACAGAAGCTTGCAGGCTCATTACTGGGTCAACAGCACAAGTGTTTTCTGTTAGAGTGAGGGATAAAGGACCAGATCATAGAGGATTTGTTCAGTTATCTTTAGTCAATATAAGTGCTAATAATGATTCAAATATTTCAGTCCCCCAAAGTACAGCTCTTTGTTTTGTTGATAACTGTGAGAAAAGCTTTAATAATAGAGTTCTACAGTGTCATGTGAGTTTATAAAAATATATATTACTTAAGTGTAAATTAAAGAATTTTATTTTTAGCAACAATTTTTTTAGGAAAAAGATATATCAGAGTCTTCAATGTCAGCTTGTCAACATATTCAAGCAGCTCTACGTTGTTATGCAGAAGCTCAGCCACTGACTCTACGAAATTCAGTACTATCTTCACTGATTGTAAATAATGAAACCAAGCAAGAGATTTGGCTACTCGCTACAGAAACTCCAGGACCACTAGTCCAAAGAGTATCAAAGAATATAATGGCTGTGAAATGTAAAGCTTCTCCAAAGCATCCTGTTGGTTACTTGCATTTTTCTTTTTTTACAACCAAATTCAAAGAGAAACTTGAGCACAAATTTTTCTGCAGTAATTCATTATTCAAGGTAAATTATTCAAATATAACGTTCACTTTTATCAATAATTATCTCACAAAATAATTTAATCATCATTTCAGTTTTCCACAAAATTAGATGATAAGACTAATGCCTGTACTGTCAATCGCTGTATACATTTTTATGCTTGTATATGTGCTTTTGCAAGTGATCCAAAGTTAGCAGTGGAATTCCAATATTATATGAATTTAGCTCAAACAAACAACTTTCATCGCGAGTCTCTTGATTTTGAACTTAATTCAAATGAAACTGATAAATTTATAGAAATGGGTAGGTTTGTTAAGAAATGATTGTTAATAATTCTGATTATCTATTGACAATATTAATGTTAAAATTGAAAAAGATGTTTCAGATTTGGATAATTTGTCTGACGATGCACATTTATTAATTTTTCGAGACGATTCTTTAACAATTCAAAATTTACAAAGTAATAGAATAGATATTGATAGTATAAATATAGATCCACTATTATTAGCAGGGAACATAGATATAATCAAAGACCAAGAACAAAACTTGTCAGATGATATAAATATAATTTCAGAGGTGAGAGCGTTATAGGAAAATTTGAAATTAAATATGAAATTTCATGAAAATATTTTTTAGGTGCATAATTTAGAAGTAAAAGACCAGAACGCAGTTTTTGATGGTAGTACCATTAAGATAATTCCAGATCCCTTGTTGATTAATTCCAGTTTTGGAAATAACCTTCATTGTCCACAATTCATTCAAGACACTATTAAGCCACTCAATGGCACTGTGAAAATCTTAGATCATAACATAGTATTAGATACAAATAGTATTAAGTTTCTAGAATCTAATTCGGTACCTGTGATAAATAACAAGAGTGATACGTCATGTCATACAGCGTCAACGATAAGAAAATCTATGAAACGAAAACGCGAAGGCAATAAGAATCCATCAGTTGTACTAAATCCAAATGCATTTGAAATAAGAAAAGTAAAGACGAAATCATTGCAATCTACGAAAACTAAGTATCCCACAGCATGTGAAAATATTGATGAATCTAACACAAACTTGTCATTCATTAGATGGTAAGTTTTTGTATTGTTTTTTTTTAGTTTGCTCAGTTAGTATCTATAATTTTTAAATATTGCAATAATTTTTTTCAGGCTTTCATCGATAACGGAGCGTATAAATCAAACGATGCATTTTCAGTTTGACGGCAAACCCGAACCTCTAGTCTTTCACGTTCCCCATACATTCTTTGAATGTCTACGTGAACGAATATCCTGTGGTGGTAAAAAAAAACGACTACCTAACTCCACTACCGCTTTTGTTAGAAAAGACTGTGTACCGCTAGGTACATTTACGAAGTATACTTGGCACATCACTAATATTTTACACGTGAAAACTATCTTTGAGACGCCACTTATTCCGTTGGAAATTACAAGGAGCTTTTTACAGAATGCTGATGGTACTTACGAAGTTTACAAAAGAGAAGAGACGGATATTGATAAATTTAAGAAAACGAGTAACAATCCACTTATCAAACCAATGGAGCTGAAGACTTATTTAAAAGTTGGTAAGTTCAATTGAATTCGTAATAAATAAAGTACATTTTTTAAATTATAAATTTCAAAATTACAACAGTACTAAATTTAATGTTGCAGGAAACATGTCACCTAATCAAATACACCCGACGCCGTTTTTGATAGAATGGATACCAGATATTTTACCGATTTCTAAAATCGGCGAGTTAAGAATAAGATTCGAATTTGGACATACAAAAAATGAACCATTGCAAAAGTATCAGAAAACACCTACGATAAAGAATTAGTTGTTTGTAGTTTCAAACTATCAGTTGTCTTTGATAAATATTTGTTATTTTTTAAAGTACTAAAAGTACTATTTAATTCTCAGAATTATGTATATTTATTACGAAAATTTTTGAAATGCAAGTTATTAAGTTTTAACATAATTTCCTCCAATGTTTACCAATGGAAATGAAATATTAGTTTTCTAAAACTAATCATAAGTTCTTGATGAAAAGAAATGTTTACTTATCTTGAAAAGATTTTTTTTTCTATTGATTACGACTAATACCCCCGTTCTTAGTCAAAGTAACGATCTGATTTATGTTAAAAACTGTCCGCTATGTGTATAAAACATGTAAAATAAATTGTGTCTAGTAGAAGAGAATTGTTAAATATTTTCATATGATGAAGCCAAGAGTGGGAATAAAGCATGCAAAAATGGAATCTATATGAGAAAAAATTCAGTAATAAAAATACTATAACATATGTAATAGTACTTTTACTCAATTTTTTTCTTTTTATTAGATAATATTTGAAACCATTTGGATAATGTAAATTACAACTATTCAAGTATATTTTCAACTGTTAATAGCATATATATTTATTCAATCACACATAAATGTACAAAACATGTCAATTTACGTCGCTTTTCAATTAAAAATATTACACAATTTGATATTGAAACAAAATTTACCAAGACATTAAAATACGATCAATTTTATAAGATGATTAAACTTAAAATGTTTGTGTTCTTATCAATCTAGATTTCTTAAGGTATCATATTTTCCCATTATCCTTTCAAAAAATACATTTAATTTTCAAAATAGTATAATAGATTATTTTATTGTTTTGATACATGATAGCTGAACAAAAAAATATAGCATTATTATTAAATAAAACAACTTTCAGAATAACTATGATTTTCTATTTTAAGTACATGAAATGCATTAGCAAATAGTAATTTATACTGAATATGATTGTAAGTACTTATGTTTTCTTTATTGAAATCAAAAGTCTGAAAAGGAAATAACGAGAACAATATAATTTATCTGTAGTACACGCGTTATTTTCAATTTTTTCGGTATTGAAACAATGTTATTCTGATCCTTTCTTGAAAAACTAATCTCTACAGTTAAATATTTGATTTCCTTCAATTTTATGAAAGTATTCGCAACATTAAAAGTTTTTACTGTAAATTGTTACAAAACAAAATAATTTATTTTTTAATCACATTATTTCTCATAATTTTTAACATATAAAGGAAATTAGTTTATTATAGAGAAATGGTTTAGTATATGTAATGTTTATTCATTGTCATTAATTGAAAATAAAGTTAACAATAACTTTTGTTAGACTTTTATCTAAATTTTTACCAATTTTATACTTTCTTGTACTCTCTGTATAATACAACATCTCAACAAACTATCAATAGAATGGCACTACTTCAAATATTTTCTATTCAAAATAAAACTCAATAAGATTAGTCAAATTATAAATTACTTGTTTAATTAAAAATAAAATATAAATTATATATAGGTATATACCAAAGGATTATATTTAAAAACACTTTCAAACTAACAATAATTTATAATTTTGAATGGTTGACACTTAAACTATTAAACACTGCAGAGTATCATTATAAATCATTATAGATCATCTCAAAGGCTTACCCAAGTACTTTATAGTTCTTGAATAAAAACTAGATGGAACATCAGCAATCATTAGTTGAACCTGTTCTGTCATTTCATTGCTTATACATTTAAAGTATCTGCATGGCCTCTTACCATCTCCATATTCATCAGTATCGTACGGAGGACTTAAAATATCTAAAAATGCTGCTGGCCCTTCTATACATGTGATTTCATGTAGATTTCTTTTATCTGGAGTCAGCACACAAGCTGGATCGGTTGTTCCTATGATCATTGATGGATGTCTGGTAGCTGGTATTCTTTGATTTATTTCTATTGTACTGTTTGGTGACTCTATTGTATAACTGTCAATTTTAACAACTCCATTTATAACCTGAATAATATATGTGTTTTTATAACATGAAAAAATAATTTGATAATTAGTCTAATTATTTTGCTTCGTAAAGAAACATTTACCTTTAACAGCCCATGCATTTCAGGATGGTCATGCATCGGTAATGTTACTCCAGTTTTTAAAATAAATATGGCAATAGTTATATCTTCATTTTCAAATACATCTATAACACACATTGGTGCTGATTGAATACGGATATATTCAAACACATTCTTATCAACATGAACATCTTCAGCTGTAATATCATTAATGAGACTCTTGAGTTTCTCCAAATTCTTCAAACATAGATTATAATTAGGATTGTTGCGTCCAGAAAACATTTTCAATGCTTGTTTCCATAATACTTCTATTTTAGTAGCCATCGGGTATTGAAATAGAGGAAGTTCCTCAATTCTAACTGTATAGCAATGATTTTCAATTGAAAAATGGTGGTAGAGTGTATATAAAATATACCTGGATGTTGATAGATAAATCAATGTTATGCAGGCTGAAGGATAGATATAGGATTTTATTTAATTACGTAAATAAGAATCACAGCATACTTCTGGTGTACAAAAACAATTGATATCACTTCAAAAATTTACCATTGGAGATTTATGAAAATGTTTCTCGTTTTTCTTTAACTTTAAAAAAACTACCTGTAGTCATTTTATCTTATCAGGTGGTAATGTTTGCGGTCAAAATTAATGTAATCTTCCGCAACGATTTTATCAATAAAAAAACGTCAACATACGTCAGACCGGTCCGACGCCATGCTACAGATCAGGAGACTGATTGTGAGGGGTCCAGGAACGGCACTAATAACTTATTCCTCTACTAACTTCATACGATTACATTTTGTAAGAATAGGTCAGTTTGTTGGGCCAGTTATCCGCAGTAAATAATTAAAATGTTTCTTATTTTTGCTCGCTAAATACGACTATAATTGTATAGCATTTTTGCATATTAAGTTATTATATGAGAATAATGAATAAAAATTATTTTTTAATTGTCATATTTAACTGTCTGAACGAACAGACTTAATCTCACAAAATGTAACCGTATGAAGTTAGCCAACAAGTAACCAATACCAGCCCACCAGTGACTGAAAAGTGATTATTTATGCACAAACGCGCATATTCCACGGAATTCACGGGATACCTATATAAAGTCTGAATCTGAACTATCTGAACTGAAATATCTCAATGAAAGAGAAGGAAAAATCAAATGGAATTGTTTCAAACAGCAGTACCTATACGAAGGTAGCCCTATACATAAATACATATGCTTGTGTTGCGTTTGAACGCGTACGATTCGTAGAAATTGACAGGTATGACGGATATGCTTGATTATTTTTACTATAGTGTCAATGTTTATTGCAAAAGCACTAAAACTTCACTAAAGCATTTGAAACTACAACAAAATAATGCAAAACAAAACTTACAGTAATCGTCAAATAGTTGTCAGTCTCAAAATTGATTCTGTAAAAATTGTTTGCTAAAGATTTCCATCTTTACTTATAATTTTAAATTGTGCTGCTGACAAAAAGTTCAATAAAAAGTTTTTATTGAACATTAATAATGATTAATTTTTCTTATAAAATAAAATGTTTGTTATAAAATCTATTGTGTGTCATTAAATATTACTTAATTCGATAGCATAGCATCGGCAATAATATTTCACACGCGGATGTGATAAAATTTACAAAAAATTTATAAATGCTTATGGACAACTTTTTGTTGATAGTAAGCATCTCTTAAATAGAAAATTTCATCAATTAGAATGGGGTTTACGACGATCAAGATGTGTTTTGCATTATTTTGCTGCAGTTTCAAAATATAAGATTTTTGTGATGTGTTCATTGGCACTATTAAAAATAATCAAGCATTTCTATTCATGCTTGTGCAACCGTACGAGGTGTGCGCTTAAATATGTATAGCGCTTATAACTGCCTTGACAGACAAAATATGGAACATTTTCAGAAACTTAAAAACACTGTTATAACAACACTGCCATTATTAAATCTTAAAAAATACAATTTACGTAAACTATTATTATTATCTATCCTTCAGCCATAAAAGCTGACCAGACAACGATTAATATTTAATTATCGAAAGAGGTCAGCCGATTCAAACTTTCGCGCCACTGGCGATTTTCCTGAATGAAAAGTCCATACGAGCCTTTATGGCTCTAAAAATATACACAAGAAAGAAAAATACGCGGCTGTTTGGTTGCCTCCACACGTTACTGAAAAGTGACGTGTTTTTCCGGGATGGCACATATGTGTGTGTAGTGCAGCAGGGAGGCAGGATGTAAGTGTAACGACTATATTGAGTTTTGTTGTTTTTTCCTTCGCTCGTTCATTCAGTCAAAAGCTGATGGAGAATGCAAAAGGACAACCTTTTTTTCGCTGCTACGTCGGCAATACTCGGCATAAGAGGAAGATATTATCTGGTACGAGAGTAGGTTAGAGAGACGGAGAGAGAGAGAGAGAGAGAGCCAGATGAACGGAAGCAGCTCATGAATAATGGTAGGATATATATATATATATATATATATATATAGATGTGTTCCATCTGTTTTCGAGAGAGACTCGGTTCATTCATTTTTACTTGTTGCCGGTCACCGTTAGATTTTCACTTAAAAAAGTACAGAAATCATATATCGAAGGTTATACGTGTTTACCATAATTGATACTCGTTGATATTTGTATAATTAATTTTTAATTGACTGTACACATTTTTGTTTGAAGAGTTTTCTTTGTAATTAGTGCACTCTGATTTGCTTAAACAGACAGTTTTACAGACCTGATTATTCTTTATTGTTATTATTTGGTTCATAAAATTAATCAGTAATTAGTCCTTAGTATTATTTTAATCAATCATAATTCTATATATTTCTATTGTCTCTTAATTATGTTTTTTTAGAATACTTTTAATGTTTTGGTATAAAATCATTACCTATTATTTATTTCAGCTTTAAATTGAAAATTCCGTAAATCTATCAAAATGAATGGAATCATACCTGAAATGGAGCAGATCATCAGTCAGCTTGAAAGGGGAACTTTGGTTACAAGATTTTTTTTAAGAAAAAGACCAGAGAAAAAAACATTGATGATACGTAGAGAAACGAGACAGATTGTTTGGGCACGTACTCCGACATCAAGACCATTTGATGGCTCAGGTATTCACATTATTGATTTGAATTAATATCGTTTAAAAATCTATTTGATTTTCATTTTCATAAACATTAATTACATTGTAGTTGACATCCGAGAAATTAAAGAAGTTAGAATAGGTAAAAATTCTAAAGACTTTGAAAAGTGGCCTGAAGATGCTAAGAAAACAGACCATTTGAGGGGTTTTGTTGTATATTATGGACAGGAGTTCAGATTAAAAACTCTTTCAATATCAGGTTGGAAAATACCAATATATTTACTGAATAACTGGAATGATTAAACTTTTAATACAATGCATTTTTTAGCCTTGAGTGAAAAAGAATGTGAACTGTGGGTAAAGGGATTAAGGCATTTCATACATGATGCATTAACTTCTCCGTATCCTTTACAAGTAGAACAATGGCTCAGAAAAGAATTTTATGCAATGGAAAACTCCAGAGAAATGTAAGTATTGTGTCACAATTATTATTGATAAAAATTAAAAATTTTGAATTTACACAATATATTAACTCTCTGAGTGTTACTTATTTTGAATTTAGAGCATTAGTAAAAATTTTTTATATTATTTAAATTTCAGGGTAACATTAAAAGATATCAAAGCATTTCTCCCAAGAGTAAATTTTAAAATATCAACCAATAAACTTAGAGAAATCTTCCAAGAAGTGGATACTCGTAACAGAGCAGAAATTGGTTTTGATGATTTTATAAAACTGTATCAAAAACTTATGTTCGACAATAATGTAAGTACAAGAATTAAATATGTATCCTTTAAATTGTTCAAAAATATTTAACATTTTATTCATTTTTCAGAATTTGACTGACTGGACTAAATTAATAAGCTACTCAAATTCCTCGATGATCGTAACTCTACAAGAATTTCAAAACTTTCTCTTAGCTGAACAACAAGATTCTCTCGGAAACAGCGAATCGGACGTATCTACGTTCATTCGCGATTATCTACAAGATCCTCAACGAGACATTCAAGAACCATACTTTCATTTTGCAGAGTTTATTGAGTATCTTTTCTCAAAATCAAACGAAATTTGGGACAGTAAATACGATCAAGTATCTCACGACATGACTAGGCCAATATCTCACTACTGGGTTTCTTCATCTCACAATACGTAATAATATATCTTTTTAGATAAATTCCTTTAGCAAATGCTTTAATCAACATTTATTCAATTACAGATATTTAATGGGTGATCAAATAAGCAGTGAAAGCAGTTGTCAAGCGTATGTGCGAGCTTTGCGTGCTGGATGTAGATGCATCGAGTTGGACTGTTGGGATGGACCCGATGGCATGCCTTTCATATTTCACGGTCACACGTTAACGACGAAAATTAAGTTTCTTGACGTTATCAAGACGATTAAGGAACATGCATTCGTCACCTCAGAGTGAGTTCCTGCGCATTTTTTACTATTTAACGATCGACGGCATTCCTCATTTATGATTCATCGTTACAGGTATCCAGTGATTCTGTCGATAGAAGATAATTGTACTTTGCCACAACAACGAAAAATGGCAATGGCTATGCAAGACGTTTTTGGGGATATGCTGTTAGTACAGCCGATTGATAAGAACGAGTCATGTCTTCCATCACCGTACTCTCTTCGTAGAAAAATTTTACTAAAACATAAAAAGTTACCAGACGGAGTTGACGAAAGTGCTTTTATTATTCGTAACGACGATTGTAGACAGGAGATGGATTTAAGGAATACAATCAAGAATGGAATTTTGTATTTGGAGGATCCGGTTGATAGGGAGTGGAATCAACATTTTTTTGTTTTAACGCAGCAGAAATTGTATTATACGGATACATTTTCGCGAACTCAAGAAACGGAACCTGATGAAGACGAAGAGACTACAATGCTTAGTCCTCAGGATGTGAGTTTTACTTAAGATTTTTAATTGAAAACTTTACTTCAATTTAACCACGATATATTTTATTTTCAGGGAGTTCCAAACGATGAGCTACATTTTGGAGAAATGTGGTTTCACGGTAAATTGGCAAGAGGTCGAGAAGAAGCTGAAGAACTGCTGCGGAGATATTCACACCTAGGTGACGGGACGTTTTTAGTGAGACAATGCGTGACATTTGTCGGTGATTACTGTTTATCATTTTGGAGAAAAGGAAAAGTCAATCACTGTCGAATTAAGCTAAAACAAGAAATGGGACAAACGCAGTTTTATCTAATTGAAACTCACTGCTTTGATAGCCTATACAGTTTGATTACGTACTATCGCAATCACCCTTTGAGAAGTCAGGTGAGAATCTATGTAGTTTTCATGACGTGTTTGGTTTAATATTTTAATAAACTCAAAATTGGCTTAATATTGGCTCTTTATCGACATATCACGAGAGCAAATGTTTAAACACAGGCTTTTAATGTACACATATAAAATGTACGTGCACGTTCCGTTTTATACAATAACACTCAAAATAACAACATAAATTTTTTTTCAAATAACATTCAGACGAATTGCGACACTCGACAGGTATAAGGTAAATACAATTCCGCTCTCGTAGTGTACTTTCAAGTTTATAATTTAGTTGCATTTTGCAATCCAAATTTTTCCTTTTGGATTGACCGTTCACAGTTCCGTCCACATACACATATACTTTAATTGTTTATTTAAGTTTGCTTATCTCTGTATGAATATTAACTTATTTATATATTAAAATCTATGTATTTTCATGTATTATTGATAATTAGTGCATCTGAAATTATTTCGAACTATTTTTATTATAAAATTAAATGGGAAAAATGGTATAGGAATGTAATTTATCACTCTTTTTATAACTCATATTCATTGTTGTTCATTAAAAAAAAATATTAATTTTTTTAAAATGGATAAGGAATTTTTGATAACACTACAAGAGCCGGTACCACAGCCAAATAAGCACGAAGAAAAAGAATGGTGGCATGCCGACTGCTCGAGAACTCTCGCTGAGGAAATGCTAAAACGCGTCCCCACCGATGGAGCATTTTTAGTAAGATCGAGCGATAAGGAAAGCAGTACTTATGCAATTTCATTCAGGTACGGTAGAAAATAGTCTGATCAATAATGGTTGTTCATCTCTTTTACAAGATTAATATTTTCAATTTTCAGAGCAGAGAACAAAATTAAGCACTGTCGGATAAAACTCGAAGGACGCCTGTATACAATTGGCACTGTTCAATTCGAAAGCTTAGTGGAGTTAGTTAATTATTATGAACGACATCCTCTGTATAAAAAGATTAAATTGAGCGTTCCCGTTAATCAAGAAATATTGAGGCAACGAGGATTGGTAAAAACATAACTTATCTTTCGAAAAAAACATTTATAAAAGTTTTATAATAAATTAAAATAATTGTAGGACGTTGATGATGGATCAGTCTATGGAATTCCCGGCTACATGGATCCAACAACGTTTGTCTCGAAGCTTACAGTCAAGGCGCTATACGATTACAAAGCCAGAAGGGATGATGAATTGACGTTAGTCAAACATGCCATCATTGCTAATGTAAATAAACAAACTGGCGGGTGGTGGCGTGGCGACTACGGCGGTAAAAAGCAACATTGGTTCCCGGCAAATTACGTTGAAGAAATCGAGCAAGATAGTCAGGCTGATGTATGTTTTATAAAAATGTGTCGAGCGAAAGATATCTGCATTGATTGAAAAGTTCGAGAGAATTTAACTATTTACGTTATTTTTAGGCATCGGATTCAATGCTTTTGGGAAATCTACAGAAAGGATCTTTGGATATAGTAGGTGCCGTTGTTGAGTTGACAATGTCAGATAGACCGGGACCTGAATGGATTTTGCGAATACAAAATCCAAGTATGTGCTCGGTGTTCGAGGTAGCATCTTTATCTCAAGAAACTGCTATGGAATGGGTTCAGATGATTCAAGAAACTGGCCAAAATGCTAGTGTCAGAGTGAGTAAATTCTAATTTTTAATTGCTCGTTATTCTAGAAGAGTATAATAAACATGGTTTTTTTTAACAGGAAAGTCAACATAAAGAAATGGAACGAGCATGGAGAATAGCAAAAGAAATGTCCAACTTGATAGTCTATTTTAGATCAGTAACCTTCAATATAGAGCGACTAAAAGTAAAAGGTTTCATTCACAACGAGATGAGCAGCTTTCCAGAAACGAAAGCTGAGAAACTCATGTGCCAACAGGAAAATAGATTTTTCCTAAGCTATCATCAAGTTCAGTTTAGCAGAGTGTACCCTAAAGGTCAAAGAATCGATTCGTCCAATTATAATCCCGTACCAATGTGGAATTCTGGTTGTCAGATGGTAGCACTAAACTACCAAACTGGCGATAAACCAATGCAATTAAATTATGCCAAATTCAGAGAAAATGGAAATTGCGGGTACTTACTGAAACCAGATTTTATGTTTCATGAAGATTACAGTCCATATGATAAGAACTCGTTAGTTGGAGTTGATACTCTAAAAATAACTTTGCATATAATAGGGGCTAGACATCTGAATAAACAAGGCAGAGGTACAGTTAGTCCTTTTGTGCAAATCGAAGTGGTTGGTGCTGATTATGATAGCGGCATTAAACTCACTACAAAAACAATAAGTAAGTAATAAATAGAAATAGGTTTATTGTGCGTGCGATGCGTGGTGATTATCAAAGTTCATTCTCTAGCTGATAATGGTTTCAATCCAATGTGGAATGAATCCTGCGAGTTCCTAGTTGCAAATTCACATCTAGCCTTGCTTCGATTTATCGTTCAAGACGAAGATATGTTTGGTGATAGCAACTTTATAGGTCAAGCAACTTATCCTGTAAGCTGAAAACTTGTTAAAGCATTATAAATCTTTGAATAAACTCAGCTGTGTATAACTAATTAAGTTTACTTTCAGATACGGTGTTTGAGAACTGGTTATAGAAGTGTTCCGTTAAAAAACGGGTTTAGTGAAGATCTTGAATTAGCATCACTGTTAGTCCATGTTAAAATAATTAACACTAGCGTGAGTTTTTCAATCAAGATGTTATTCATGATACCAGTGATAGTTATGGTTAATGTTATATTTTGGAATTTCAGGAACAACTTCGAAATAATACTCTGAAAAGCGAAAACCGTGCTGGTATCCTACAAGACTTTAAAAATGTACGAGTGACGGAAAGGCACGCCTAGAACATTTTAGCATAATTCATCTCATAAGTATACTTGAAGATATACTCGCGTGCATTTGGAGATCAGTATGTATTAATTGCGTACGTTTAAGTTGTAATTATTCTTTCTAGAAAACTATTTACTTTGAGTAGTTCTCTTTTTGAGAAATCAACGAGCAAACAATGAAAAAATTTCATTAAAACTTTGTATTTATTCATAGTGATTGAAAATTAACGTCAATTTACAATTGATAGCCAAATTTTAATGTCTTGTTTTTAAATGTAAGAATAATTAATACACAAAAAAACATTGGAAAAGCAAAGTAAGATAACGAATTAAAAAGTTTGTTTTATGTAGAAATTAATAAATGTTTAGGAATATAATTATTCCTGTTCAAGCTATAATATATTTTAATGCAGGAAAGTTGTTGATGGATACTCATATATTTTCAAATGAGTTTTGTGAACGAAATTATTGTTATTTATTATTACAAACAAAAAGTTATTAAATTAAACCTATATTACATTTTCACTAAATTTAAAATTTTGCAACCGAATTCTTCCAATGAGCTGTTTAAATAATTTCTATTAAAATACAATGATTCAATTACACCAGTTATCATTGTAAGTCGCTTGTACAATTCTAGTTTGTAATACGCAAAATGAGATTATAAGTCCAAAATCAGTGCTTCCACGATGTACTAGGTTTATACAAGTTTTATTTCTGAGACAAAGAAGTTATACATTTTAAATTTTTACAATTTATATTTATTACACCATTCTGTAACTCTAAATTAAATTTTAACAAGGTAGTGCGTCAGCAATTGTGCGATATAATTTTTAATCAATATGTAGACGATTTTATACTGTTACTTTTAGCACTTCGAAAACAAGTTGTTAATAAATATTTTCTGCAGGGTAATAAATTTTTTTTTAAACACTGCAAAATGTCTTTATTTGTTATTAAACTGTAAACTTAAACATCCAAATGACTATAAATACGGTGGTCGCGCATTTTGTTACGCACAGAATAATCGAATGTCCCTCATTAACCTCATCAATTTAACGCAAGCAGAAGTAAATTGTGGTTTAATGACAGTCATTTTGAAAATACGCACGAACCTTAGGTAAGAGAGTCGCGGTCGCGAAGTATGAGAGAGAGAGAGAACCAGTCGATCGGCGACAGGGGGAAGCATTCGTTGCGTTTGCGTGTCTGCGATGCCGAGTATCAGCTCGTCCTGACGCGCGTGTGCATCGTATAAGCCTACGTTTTTTTCGGGAGTGGCGAAATATAAGTACAACGCTGTTGTCTACGTCGTCGTCATCATCGACGCTGAGACAAGCGAGAGGTGAGTGACCTTTATTGCTGCTGCTGCTGCTGCTGCTGTTGCTGTTGGGCGTCTGCTCAGGCAAGTTTGTGTGCCACATGTGTACAATCCTTTGACGTTAGAAAGTACGTTGCACTTCGACAGTGTGGATGTGTAACATTATCTACTACTGTGTGTCTCGGTGTGCGTGTGCATACGTCGTGGGTTTTCGCCTAATTATTGCGAGTTTCTCATTTTTTTTTGTGTCAATGTACGAGGTAAGCTCAATCCGGAATTCCAGTTCTGGAGTTGAGATGTATACAATATGGAATCGTGAGTGTAGGCGTATTTATAGTTTACAGTGCGTGGGACGATTCATTTTTTCTGTCTTCTCCAAATCAATAAAACTCTACATTAGCAGGTTTAATTGAAGTTTGATTGTTAAGTGCAGTAAATTAAGATATGTAGCTACCTTTAGTATACACTGGATCCCCTTAATCTACTGAATTGAATCTGCTGTTTACCTGGACTGTGTTGATTCACTAGCAGTGGAAATTAATTATGATAAAATGTGGAGAAAGAGGGATAGATATAAGTAAAAAATTAATATTCAGCTACCGTATATTTTTCATATCCTGGGTACCCTGTGATAAATTCACATACGTCTGAAACATTATCAAAATTCATGAAGTATAGTGTAGATGTGTACTGGAATGATTTAATAGAATTACTTTGTGAGTAATTAAATTATACGTCGTAAAGGATAAGATACTTAGTGCGTGTGCTAACTGTACAAACTACTTTCGACTTGGTGGTTTTTAGTGTGAGAATCTAGAATGAAAGTATGCCTTGACAAGTACAAAAACAAGTTGTAATGATAGATCTGGAGAGAGTACCTTTTCTCTATCTATTGTTGTTGAGAGTATACTTGAAAAGTGTATATAATCTTGAGAATTTTATTGACAGCCAAGAACAAAAAAGTGGCCACAGTCACATAAAGTAGTTTCTAATCTGTGGAAATGTTAGGATTTGCATACATACTCTGATCTACTTTCCTACTTTGCGATATTGAACTCGCAGCATAAAGTTTCTCTGCTTCTTTGTCATTGTCAATTGTGCAACAACAAAAAAATTCTCAGTTTTATAGCGACACAACTGCTTCGCGCGACTCTCATTTCTTATTTTTTCGCGAGCAATTTTCCAGTCGTCAGAATAGAAAATTCATACACAACTCGAGCGAGCTCAGACTTTTCTTATCTGACTTCCGGGCGATGGGGGGATAATCGGCGTTATATTGTTACGCCGCGGCAAGGAAGGGAGAAAAATCGCGTGGGAAATCGTAGCTTTACATAATAATAGCAGGCTCAAAGAAAAATCTCGCGCTGGCGGACAGAGCGAGGAGCGAACTGTATGTGTACGCACAAGACCGGGATTTGATGTGATTTGTATACGCTCGAAAACGCTCGGATAAAGGGAGCGAAACGCGTGGCTGGATCCTCATTGTCGGCGTTCACCGGACACCTGTATATATATATATATATATATATATATGCGTATGTCAGGCAACAGTCGCGTACGACGCGCACAGCCTCGACTTTTTCGCGAGGACGAGCGTTTTTGGTATCGTTGCTCGAGCGTCGATATCGCCATCGAAGCGAGCAGCATTTCCCGAGCTTCGCCACGGCTTATGCGTCTAAAGTTTGGGGCGGTCGCCATGGGAATTGGGTCACGCAGTCGGAAAAATGTATCGGATTCGCTCGCACTGACGGCTCGGCCGATCATAGAGCCAGCGAGAACGCCACGTATACGCGCGCGTTTCGTCTATATATCCGACAGGTCGCGTCGGAGAACGCGAGCGGCCCAGTTATCGACTCGGCATTTTCTTGGCGTTTCAACGCGCTTTTACCGGGAGCTATAGCGTAGGCGACGCGGTGATGCTCGCCCGTCGAAGAAAAAAAAACAAAAAAAAAAAAAAAACAAGCAAAAACAACATCGGCTTCCATTCAGCGTTATCTCCTATCGAATTTTCGCGAGCGATGCCATTTGATTGCCGCACCGATCGATCGACGCCTGGCGCTGCAATATTTCATTCGATCGATGCCAAACGCAGCAACGTTCCGCGATACTCTGCGTTCCGAGCTGAGAACGCAGCTGACAAGCGCGACTCGTTATCACCGACCCGCTAACGCAATCGTCACTTCGCGGCAGCGGACCGGCAGTCGGCAAACATCAGCCAGCGAGGAGGAGAGGAAAGAAAAAATAAGAATCGTTTCGCGAATCGCGCCCACGAAAGTAAGCTCCGATACGGCGATTAAATGGTCGCACGCGCCTGCTCCAAGAGAGGAACAGAGAAAAACAGGTTTTGCGGCGAGGCGGGTGGTATGAGTCATCGTCGGGAGGAGTGACGACCGACGCATAAGCGCGCTGCGCGTCCGCGTGTGTACGGCGATACGACGCATCGTCGCAGGTGATACTCGCGGCGCGCAAGGTAACAGCCGCCTGCTACTCGTCGGGAAAATCGCGTCGCTTGCCGCGGAACGGAAAGCGCGGGCTTCGAGTGCCGGCGACTCGGGCAACGGGCGCACCTACAGTGAGACACTCTTACCCTTCGATGTCGAACATTTGCAATATCTAATTTATACAGCGATACTCTCGAGTGTGCGATTTTATCGGCTTCTTTGGGATTACGCGCAGTGCGAAGGATCGTATTTGACGTTTTGATTTAACACATTTTACAAATGAGTTTCTCAAATGAAGTTTCTCGCGAAAAAGAAGCAATGGATTCGCGCACGTGTAAATTAATGTATAATTGGACAATATTTGACCTCCACCATCGGGAAAATAAGAAACTGGCAAATATTCATCAAAATAGCGTTCCGACGTTCCGACGTTCCGACGTTTTGACGTTCCGATCTCATCTCAAACGAATCTCGTTGGTTGTCTGCGCTGCATCTCTTATTTTAAGAAAATTTCTCATTTCGAGTGAAAATACTCCTTAAGGATCGTGAAACCTGATAAATTTCGTAAGTCTTTGAGAAAATTGACCGAACGTAAGAAAATACACGAGGCAGTACACGTTATCTCTTATTGAAAACAGGCTTTTATATAGGCCTTCCAATGTCAGTGACGCAGCTGTCACACTCTGTTGCATTCGAATTGAGCCTATTTCAATTATCGCGTCGACGGTGCGGACGGCCATTAAAAATTTGCGATACTCTTGTCCGCAGGTGTGCGGCGTGTGCCCGAACGCTTGGAGCAACAGGAGGGACAGGCACATCGAGCCAAAGTAGAGAGTCGAGTGGAGCCCGCGAGTCGGGTCATGGCAGATAGGTGATGAGCGTGGTGTGTTTGAGCAGCAGCAGCAGCAGCAGCAACAACAACAACAACAACAACAACAACAACAACAACAACAACAACAACAACAACCACCACCACAACAACAACAACAACATCAACGACGAGGACGATCGGAGGCTGGGCGGCGAGGACCTAGCCAAGCGCACGGCGGCGACGGCGCCAGCAACGACGACAGACCAAGAGATCGCGGCAGCGGGCAAACCGGCGGCCGACGAGCTGGCGCTCCTCGCCAAACTGGAGGAGGCCAATAGGTGCGCTCGCGCTCTTCCCATTAACGCTCTCCCGATTAAGCCCCGCACGCCCGCCTTGGTTTCCCCGCGCCTTAACCCCGTAACGCCCGAGTCCACGTGCGCTCGCGCGATATGTCGCTGTTCAGCGCCGGCGGCGTGGATTTCTGTAGCTCGTGGCGCAGAGACATTGCCACGCACATGCTCAAGTACGCAACTGGTATTCTCTCTTGCTTCTTCTATTTTGCCGTCGCTTCATCGCTCTCTCCATCGGCCGCGCGTCATTTAGGTTAGCCGTCGAGCGTCCGCAGCGTCGGTTCCTAACATCGCGCTACGCCGCAGCGTACGGTGAGCGGTGCAACGTCCAAATCCCCAAGCGCGCCACCTCGGATTTAGGCGAAATCTATGCGGCAGCACGACCGAGTGTGTTTTTCTTACCGCGCGCCGCTGCTCGGTCGTTGTCGTCGTCGTCGCGTCACGCTTTATTTTGCGTTCGTCGAGCAAAGCAAGTCCGTCGGCTTTAATAAGGGAGTCTCTTTCTCCCGTTGCTCGCGACGTCATTGCCGCGATCGCGTTCGGTCTGAGCTGTGTTAATCTAGTATATCGCAGCGTTGCGCGAATCAGAACGAGGTTGCTAATAAAGGTTCGTTGCCTTAACTTCGGGGATCCGCCTGTAAGAGTCGACGTCGACGTCTTATTCAGAGCAAACGGAAACCAATTCTTCCAATTCTCGATATCAATGCAGCACGCGCGCGCGCGACAAAGCGCAGGCAATCTAGGATCTCGCGTGCCGCTTGTGTCCGTCGTGGAAATCGCATTTTTTTTGTTTTTTGGCCATCTCTCTTGCAAGTGTGCTGACCCGGAGAGAGACCGAGAGCCTCGTGTACATGAGTTATCGCGTGCTGCACATACAAATGACTGCATAATCAACTGTATAACGAGTAATGTGGCTTTGGAATTTTAAGCATATCAAAGCGATCCGCGTTGAGTTGCTATGCACGTCAAATCGCGTGACGTATTTCTATACGCCTCGCACCAGCTGACGTTCGCGAATTTACCTTTTCCGACCTGCGTTCGATTTTCGGCTACCTAGCATCATAATCAGTGCTTTTCATATTACAGCAGCTATTATAAATGGCGCTGCTTTATCGCGATACACATATGCGTAAAACTACTTTGCTGCAATTCTCCAATGCCAAATTTCTTGTCAAATCGTAGTAAAGCGAGAAATGTTCATCGCTGCAAAAAAAGTGTTTAAATTTGCTGCGCTGTTACCTAGTTTTTCTCATCTAAAAAAAAAAGCAACTTGCAGTTTAGTAAAAAACGTCTTTCTAGTAGAAAAACTAAATCCAAACATGCAGCAAATTCACGAACATTAGTTTCGTGATGTACTAATCAAACATTCTTATTAGTCATCGCAAAGCGACTTTTATAGTTGACCTTTCCCGAACAGCTGTTATAAGTTAAAAGAAAAATAATATTAATCCTACAAATTCCGCGACTAATTCAATGAAAAAAAAAAAAAAAAAAAAACCAATTATAATCAATAAATAGAACTGTAAGTGAACGCGTCCATGCAGTTCGCTCGTTGAGACGAAATTGAAGTAACCGCGTTCGAGTGTCACGGGCCGACAGGTCGTGATTCGAAAGTGCGCGTCGATACCAATTAATTTGGCATTGGAGGATGCACGCCTGGCGAGACGCACCTCGGCAGCCGCGGGACCCGCCTAAAACTCAACGCAACGCGCAATGATAAAATCGAAACAGGCTGATCGAGTCGGACGCCAAGTCGTTGAGCTCGCTGCAGAGCACCCACAGCAGAAAGGGCTCGGACACCTCGCAAGTGTCGCTGGCGTCGGGCTGCAGCAACAACGGCGCCAGCGACAATAATGGCACCAACACTGCGGCTCGACGGCCCACACCGCCGCAGGATGGCGAGGAGAACACCTGGACTTTGTGGGGTCACATTGTCGCCGACTGGGACAATCAATGGAAGAAGAGGAAGGACTTTGTTAAGGAACTTGTTAGACAGGGGATACCACATCATTTTAGGTAAAGTCAATTTTGAGCTTTTCATTTAACTCGTCTTAAACCCAAATTTTCAATTTCCAAACTAAAAAATCAACTTTTTCTTTTGATAGATAGAAAACGTGTCAAACTTTCTTATCTCATTATTTCTTTTAACTTTAAGACAATTCTTAATTATTCAATTCTTTCTTTCTTAATTATTATTTTTCTCGAATGCATCTTCACTTTGTATACACTTGAATCCATTGCAACAGATAATGATTTTGTTTGTAAAAAGATGATTAGTTCGTATAAATTCAGTGGACTTATATAGAACAACGGTTCAAATTATGAATCTTATTGATAATGCTAAAATAATACGTAAATACTATTTGATCTGCGTTCAGAAATTAATTTTTTTTATATTTTCAAAAATCATCTAAAAACTACAATGTCTAAAGTGGCGTGTTTCTTATTTTTGAAATCCTCGATTATCAATAATAGTATGGGCCTTTTGAGAGTGAAAATGCTGTAATTGTTGAAAGTAACGCAAAGAAAAGCTGTGAATTCGAGCGACTCGAGCCTAAGAAAGCTTAAGCTAGAATAAGGGACAATCGAATTGCACGTTAGCGCGTCGCGACGAACGTCAACGTATTAATGTGTGAACCATTGACCGCGAGCAGGGGCATAGTGTGGCAGCTGCTGTGCGGCGCGCACGAGTCGGCGGTGAAGAAGCAGTTCGCCGAGTACATCAAATGCACGTCGGCGTGCGAGCGCATAATCCGCCGGGACATTGCGCGCACGTATCCCGAGCACGACTTCTTCAAGGAGAAGGACGGCTTAGGCCAGGAGAGTCTGTTCAACGTGATGAAGGCCTACAGCCTCTACGACCGCGAGGTCGGATACTGCCAAGGCTCCGGATTCATCGTCGGACTCTTACTCATGCAGGTATGACGACGGCGACGAGCCTCGCGCTGAACTTCTCTTTTATCGCGCCCGCGGCGACTGAAACGGCTTGAGGATGCGTCCGTGTAGCTTGCTTTTACCACCGATGTAACTGTGCCGACGCAATCGGCGCGAGACACTTCGAAGATCCTGGAACTTCGGCGCGCGTTGCAACTCGCGAGGATCGTACGGCGCGATTAAAACAAACCGGGCGTAGCGGCCTTTTATCGATCGCTCGCGAATAACGAGCCGATCGTTGCAGTATTTACAGTTCTCGCGGTCGCGACGGCGATTTTCGCTCTGCCCCGCACATCGATCGTTGCGTCGGAAACGAAATGAAAATAAGAAAACAAGAAATTCTGTCGCAGCAAATGCCCGAGGAAGAGGCGTTCGCCGTACTGGTGGCCCTGATGCAAGACTATCGTCTGCGCGACATGTTCAAGCCGAGCATGGCCGAATTGGGCGTGTGCATGTATCAGCTGGAGCATCTGGTAGCGGAAGTGCATCCGGAATTGTTCGCCCACTTCACGGCCCAGGGCTTCCACACGTCCATGTACGCGTCCTCGTGGTTCCTCACTCTCTTCACCACTGCCCTCAGTTTGCCGCTCGCTTGTCGCATCTTCGACGTATTCTTGTCCGAGAGCATGGAGATCATTTTCAAGGTCGCCCTCGCCATGCTGCAGCTCGGCAAGGAGGACCTGCTCAGTCTTGACATGGAGGGTATGCTCAAGGTACGAACCAACACGTCTGCGGTGTCTTAATTTAGGATTATACGATACGTACTCGAGACACACTCGAGAGATGAGCCCGACTCTGGAAATAAACTTATCTCAAGAAGCATTATTATTCGGCTTCAGTTCTTCCAAAAAGAGTTACCAGGCAGAGCGGAGGCTGATCCGGATCGTTTGATGAACATCGCCTACGTCATGAAAATCAATCCCAAACGAATGAAAAAACTCGAGAAGGATTACACCGTGCTGAAGATGAAGGAACAGGAGGAGATGGTCGAGCTGCGACGGCTCAGAGCGGAAAACAGGCTACTCAGACAACGAACCGAATTGCTCGAGGCTGAGTCTGCCGAGCTAGGTACATTTCACTAAATTCATCAGAATTGCTCGCCGTTTAAACGTTCACCAAACTTTACTATATATCGTGTATTTTTAATGTATACGACGTCATCAAAAGAGACATTCAACGTTTTTTCAAGAGCTTGCAGTCAGCGACAAGCTCCACGCGTTTCAAGTGGAGTTCCAACTCCAGAAAATCAAATTTCTTTTGTGGTTTCGTCCTTCAAAACAAGTTAAAGCAAACTTTCTGAAAATCGTCGTTGCCTTTTATAGGCTGATTTCCGCAAATGTTTGCTACATTTTTAAAAATGTTATACTTTTCAATGTAAAGCGTAAAAATATTCAAATCTTAAGACAGAAGCAATGCAGAAAATTTAATAACGAAATAAGTGAAACTTTAGGCTAGAAAATTAGTGTGAAAAACAGAAGTGCTTTCCTATTTACCATAGACGTTATGGATAATTTGTATTTTCGTTGACTATATTTGACAAAATCGTATTATATTCAAAATTACTAACGAAATTATTTTCAATTTCGCAGCCGACAGGCTAGTCCGTGGACAAGTCTCACGAGCCGAAGAAGAGGAAACCGCGTTCGCGATTCAACGAGAACTTACGGCACTCCGACACACTCATCTCGACACTTCTCATCAACTGGAACAAGCTCACGAAGAGATTCGCTCGCTGTCGATTCTGCTTGAAGAAAATGTCAATTCGAAGCAGTCGTCGCTCGACGAAATCAGCTTAAAACAAGAAGCTCTGTCGCAAAAGGAGGAGATGATCCAGTGCCTGCAAGAAGAACTTGTTAGAGTGAGACTGCACGAAGCCGAGAACGACGCAACGATTAGGGATTTGCGAGGTAGAATACAGGAGCTCGAACAGGATAAAAAGACGTTGAGGGAAAGTACCCCGGACAATTCCGTGGCTCATCTGCAAGAGGAGCTCATCGCTGTTAAACTTAGGGAAGCTGAGGCGAATTTATCGTTGAAGGTACCAATCTCATTGATGATAAATGAAGAACCTCGTACTCAATAACCGATTACTTTTAGGATCTTCGTCAAAGGGTATCAGAACTAAGCACAGCTTGGCAAAAGCACCTGCAAGAACACCGAGCTTCGCACTCAGCCCCTGCCGCCGACTCGACTCCAAAGAAGTTACTGTTCTGGGAAAACCGTGGCCACGAGGTGCAAAAACTCGAGGAAGATCTCATGACTACACGTATACGCGAAATGGAAGCACTGACGGAAGTGAAGGAATTAAGGTTGAAAGTTATGGAATTGGAAACACAAGTGCAAGTCTCGACGAATCAGCTGCGCCGACAGGACGACAACGGTAAAGTACTTAAAGACGAGCTCGAGATTGCTATCACTAAAGAGAAAGAACTCGAGACGAAACTGAGGGAGGCACACGACAGGTATACAGACCTCGAATCGAAGATGAAGGATGACACGATGATGGCAAAGATTCGCGATGCTGAACACGCACAACAGGTCGCTGAGCTTACACAGAAGATCTCGGTTCTTGAGCTTAAGGTGAGAATAACGTTTGAACAGAATGACGACGTGGTGATTTTACTATTTGCCTCTTCAATGTATCGTATTTATTAATTAGAATGAGGAGATGCATGCAGAAGGGGAACTGAGAAATAATATGGACGATAGCGAAAGAGTGAGAGAATTGCAAGATAAAGTTGCAGAACTCAAAGCTGAAGTAAGTCAATTTAAAAAAATACGTATCCGTTTGTCGTTAAAAATTGCGACGATAAAAATACTCGGCAAAGATAGAACAACATTTTTAATCAACTAACTGGGAAATAATAATTTTTCATTTCAATATCAAGGGAAATCTATATGCTTATCACCAAGTCTAACTGCTTAATATTGCACTGTAAAAAATCACAGCTTCTCAAGTGAAATCAATCAACATATTTAAAAAATTTATCTCCATAATTATATTACTACAGGAATTATTGAAGGAATCTCAACTATGCTTTCTTTGCTTTTATGCATAGAAAATTTTATAACTTGATTATGAATCGTGCTTTGCTTATTTATATTCACCCACTTCGACAAGAATCAAAGTTTGTACAAACGTATATACATGTTTTCACATATATATCAATGTTATAAATAGCTTTATTTATTTAAAATTTTAGTATTTTGGTATAACAATATTTTTTATACAGCTTCTCATGCCTAAGCCAAGCTCACGATAAATAATTAACAGGTCAGGTTTGGCATTTTTTCTAGTTTTCATAGTTTTTTTACGTTTTTTGTGAATTTTCCAGAATCCCTTTGTAAAAATGCGTTTTATTCACACGAATTGGATTCGAACTCGTGCATAAGCCAATTAAGTCGAGATTTCAGAAAAACGAGGTAAAATATGAGATTGCATTATAAAGAAATGTATTTTGTAGCGATCGACACGAAACTTAGAGAATTTATAAAATGCAACGTAATAATTCTATTAGTTTAGAGATAAAACGATTCATCCCAAAAAGCTTTTAATGAGAATTGCTTCGTATGAAAATTAGCATACATACCAACTCGCTAAAATTACAATGGTATCAGTGGAAAGATAAAATCTTAAGGTACTAAACTAACATACAACGTTGGGTGTACTAAAATAGCTTTACTGCGACATTATTGATTTTGTCTCAGCTCAAACGACTTTCCTCGCCTTTCCTGCCTAGAAATTGAAAATTTCGCATGTGAAGCTTCGAGGAAATCGAGTTTGTGCCATGACGAAGTCTCATTTTACACACGGCTTTTATGTTCAACTAACCCACTATATATTTTTCTACTGTGTTTTATCGCAATTAGTGCCCCACACCAATCACCAGTCCGGAGATAGAGCTGTTGACCTGGCTCGAGTAAGTTTTCAAACACACGTGTGTGTCGGCCTTTATTACACCCGAAAACATCATTTGTAGATTTGCTTTTGTTGTTACACTTTCTTATCACTAAAGAACCAATTTCGTCTCCATCGGTTACATATGAATTTCAATTAAATTTTGACACCCAGTAAAAAGACGCACAGTTGAAATTGATCCTTTATATACTTACTTTCAGTCCACTCGTTGAAGCTGAAAGTAAGTAACAAAAGGCCGTGAAATCTGAATAAATGTAAGATTCAAATTATGACTGGTATCCTGTAAATATGCATCATGTGTTTTGTACGCGTGTGTGTGCGTTTTTAATGTTCCATTTGTATCGTTTGACGCGCATCGTTTTTTATAACATCTACCGGACGAACTAGCTTCACGCTACTTCTTCATGCTCACTACACCAAAACTGCCTAACATATATCCCCTTCACAATTCCATTATTCAACGCATGCAATCTATTTGACTGTAGTATGCTTGCTCAAATTATGTAAATTTCATTGGGTATACACAGAATGTAATTTATTGAATGTTGTAAAGTGAAAACTAATTAATTAAAATATTATTGTATTATATTATATATGTAAACGTAAAGTCGTAGATATTTTGTTTAAAACAAAGAGCGTTTAAAAAGTAACTAGGTTGCCAATTAAAGTAATTTTTTAAATTGTTGAGAGAAACGTTTATATTTGTGAAATGAAAAGTTACAGTACAGTCACTTTTATGACAAGTTCCGATATCAATTACAGTTTTTCGTAAAGACAAATAGAGTATTGATTTTATTAATTTGATTAATATTTGCTCTTTTAACTAATTATTTGAAGTGTGAAACTTGTGTATTAATTAAAAGTTTTTAGCTCAATTTTTACACTAGAATCAACAACTTTCACCAAATGAAATTCTAAAAAGTTTTGAATTGTAAACAGGTGTTGAGGCTGGAGAGTTGGAAGGAACGTTGGACGGGTAAGAAGAACTCGGCAGTACGTAGTTGCAGCATCGACACCGACAATGAACTCGACGACCGCGACGATCTCAAGATTCAACTGCCCGATCAAAGCTGCTCCTTGTCTACCGACTCGTAATCAGCCTTTCATATCTCGACCATTCTCGTTCTGTGCATTTTTTCAAAGTTTTATCTCATTTTAGTATGTAGCGCGCCTCTTGCGCTCTACAAGTGCCAAAACTTTTCTTTCTTCTTTGCAATTAGAATGCGTAAATTCATTTTTTAAATAGTGTGCTTTGAATGAGATTTTGTCGGAGCTTTTCAGAGATACCATCGATTGCCAAAGGAATGTTAACTTTATTTTTGCAATATATACTCGAATGGAAAGTAATAAGACAACGCATATTTAAACGATACCAAACTATTTTCTAACAAACAATATATCACTGAAAAGATCGGCGAAACAAGTATTACAGCAATATTACATATGAAATGATTCGATCATTTCATATCTACACTCTCCGTCCTTATTTGAGATTTTGAATTGAGTTTAAAATGCATGGAACGACTCATTTTTTACGGCTCGAGCGATTACAAAAAAATGCTCTCGACAATACAGGCAGCTACAAATTTTTACTAAGCGAGCGACGAAATACTCCTCTCGTTTATTGAGCGAAGAAATGTTTTACTTGTTCATTCCACACTCGTAAAAGTGACTATTTTGCAGGCAGAACGAGAAAACTTCGTTGGTGTTCACGATTAAATCAGTTACACAATATTATTCGTATCATACGTTAGAATTTGTTGTATTTAGAAAAAGAATTGTCGTTGTCTGTTGTCGCGAGGTTTTAATATGTCGGCGAAAAAGTCACGTTCTCGAGTGCACACTATAATTGTATCTATATCGAAGTAGAGTATGAATTTTTTCACATTGAGTAGTGAATGAAATGTGTAGTAGTCTTGGGAAAGTTAAGTCCCATTGAGATTATTTGTTTCGAATGGAACTCGAATCTACATTTTACTAAGGCGAGTATCACTTCATAGGTTTTCTCAGTACTATAATCATGTATTTTATGAAATTATATTTTAGAGTACTTTATTATTGTTATTATTATTATTTTATCTGATTGAGATGTATTGATTTCTTTTATTTCGTGTGTTATTGAATATCATTTTAGATTTTATTTACACATTCTCTAGATCTATTTATCAAATGATCATATTTTAGTGATTTTTTTATCGTTAGTGAAGTAATTTATTAATTTCGATTTGTAATAAAGTTTTATTGCAAAAAGCATGCGCGATTTTACAATGACACGTGAAAATCTATGAAGCGATTGTGTAATAAAAGTGTATTAAAACCTGGGAATTTTTTAGCTAATTTTCATATTACGTAAATCTGAAAGCAATTTATTCTATAAACAATAAGAAAGGTCAATTGTACTAACTATAAAAAAATTGTCATATTAATAATTTTTCATTTAGTATTTAGCGTTATTTTTTTTAGAAAAAAGACTTTTATGAGTATCAGTATTTTCATTCGAAATGAAAAAAACTATATTTGGAAAAAAAGTATTTCTATTATGAATTTATTAAGATATATTTTACTTTGAAAACATAGTGTAAGAATTTAATGAAAATTCACTTTTTCCAAGTATTTTCAAATAACACATTTTCTATGGGCCCTAACCAGATCCTCGGAGATCTTTAAATAATGTGATAAGTGACTTAAAAGTTTTGACAAAGTAAAATAATAAAAAGAAAAAAGACACAGTGTTTACTAGTAGATTAGTAGTTTTTTCCAGAGTAGACTTAAAAAATACGTAGATCGTTAAGTTATCAAATCAATGGCCAATAATGCTTATGTATCTTATTTAACAAACAAAAAGAAAATCATGATTATTTATAATTTATAAATACATATATATTTTATTATCGTTATCCATATATACAGATCAGAAGAAATTATGACATTTTAATTACCTCGTACTATGTTAAGGTGACGTACCGACAATCGCTGTGACAATTTTTTTTCGCGTGTTAAATTTTATTTTGTGAATTTGTTTTTGTCATACATATGATCTACGAATATTTAAAAAGAAAAAGTGCATTTCGTCCGAGCAATAGGCATAAACGAAATGAAGATAAAAAAAAAGTGTATGTAATCACTGTTGTAGCATTTGTATAACTGCTCGGTATTAGTCTCGTCTAATTCATTCTTTCGGTAGATTTTACAATCGGTGGTTGAACATATCATGCGCACCACTTCAATATTTCTTCCGATGATAACGTGTTTCTTGCCATCTGAATATTCCGAATGCAAAGTCAATGTTCTCACGTGCATCTGTCTCTTGCATCTTTCTTCTGCTGTTTCTCTTTTTATTCAATTGCGATCTTTCATAACTCTGAATAAGGTACGTAAAGTTGTGATAAAATACATACTTCTCGTGAGAATTGACTTTGCTGCCTGCAAATTTCAGGGCAAGTATTGAAGAAGGTAATGATTTCTAGTTGTATTAATAGCCGTAGCACTTGTGAACGCTGTAAGCATAAACTTTTAGCAATCATGTACCACGTGAGATCATCCTTTCCATTAAAAAAAATCTTTTCTGTTAACTCAATCATTTGTTTTCTTAACAAACTAGCATTTCTGAATTTGTTTGTTTGCAAAGCCAATTGTATATCTAAGAGCTCGATCACTGTAGGTTTTAGAGTGTTTATATATCTGCAGTTTTTTATTGCATCGAGCAGAGAGACGGAGTAATTTTTCTACGCAAATCAATTTGCGTGAAATTCTTCCCGATCATCCAAGCTGAAAATGTAATATTTTATAATTGAGCAGTGACGCAAAAAATCTTATCGCAAATACTTTTCCAAGACTTTGGCCCGTCAATTCATATCTAACTATATTATATTATAGTAACTTCCTGGAAACAATGTATACAAAGAGCGTGGCTGCTTGATTAATCTTAGCCGAATCCATCGAATCGATATGTGGCTTATAAATAAGATGCTTTGTTTGCCGTACGTTCATACGTGTGGAGCAAACACACACACACATATACACGATGTATTTGAGATATAAAATACGAGGTATTTTCTATGTAAAAAAAGATGTATTAAACGATGAAATCGAACGAAGCTTCTCTATGGCTTTTCTTTCCAACGCACGTATGAGAGCAAATTGAATTTTCTGGTTACGAGTTCACGAAGAAAAAGCTAATGCTATTTACTAATGCCGCTGATGCTGTTGCTTACTACTTACAAATTTTACAGTTCAATTTTCAATCTGTTACATCTTCACTTTATTTTAACTGTTATTAGCGAAAAGTTGGCTGAAAAAAATGTTATCATTTCAATGAATCAGCAAATTAATTTTCTGATTTCATTTTATTTGCGAAATTCGCTTTCCCAGTACCAAATGGAAATAAAAGAGTGAAAAACAAGCGGAAAGAGAGAGGAATCCACATTGGAATCTCGTTAAAGAAGATCTCTTAAACTACGAGGGGGAGTCACGATTCTTAAAGTGCTTCACTTTTGAGCCACGCGCTTTTAAAGGCTTAGCGTGCACATATAGTTCGATGGCCGTAAATAGGATGAGTTTTTTTAAAGGTATCAACGATACACTCAATGTTTCAATGACGGATAAGCATTTCGAGTTTACCTCTGAAACTTTGTTAGTATTTGACAATCCTTAAGATCACGTTAGTCAAAAGTCGTATCACATTTAAAACGACAAGGTAACTTAGTTATTTTTCAAGATATTCAATCCGAGACTTATCCCAGGATACACACAGCCAAACTAACGTATGTCAAGAAAAATGTAAACTTCACACGAGAACAGTCACATTGCCTGTCAACATTTCTCTCTCGAGGCACTCGAGGAAAGGTATATCGAGCGTCCGAGAGAGAGAGAGAACAGTCCAAGAGGACCACCCCGAGAGCATCCAAACGATGTCGCCCGTGAAATCGCTCGCTCGTCGCGTCTCGCGTGCGCGCAGTTTTCGAAATGGGACGCGCGCCTGCATATACGAGACCGTTCGCCGGAAATCGGCCGTGTCAGCGGCATAACGGCGGCGCACTCTTGCGCGCCGCTGTGCCGATCGCCGCTACGGTGCGGAGCACTTTTTTTGGCTGCACCAGGGGGGAGCCGTCGGCCAACTTGCCCGCGAGAGCGCGGAAAAATTCGTCACGCGCGGTCTCATAGACGTCCCGTCGCGCACGTGGGCCCGGGGAATTCATCGTCGCCCGCGCAGCTTTCGGTCTCGTCGGCGCCGCGATTCCCGATTTTTCTTCATCCCCTCGTTTTCCAAGCGATCCGACCGGAAGAGTAATTAATGCGCGTGAGAGAGATCACGTGAATTGACGCTTGTTCCGCGTTACCGTGCGCGGGTTCCCATTGCAAGCCGAGGCAATGTGGCGCGAGTTAAGGATGGACGTTGGCCGTGGAGATTCGGCGCTTGAAGCGATCGATAACAGTCATCACGCTCTGTCAATGAATTGGCGTGCGTGGCAAAATTTCATTAATTCGCGTACGTCGAGGTTAATCATCTCGGTAAAGATGTGTCGTGCGTGCCAAATGATTGTACATTAGTAGCGATGAAAGCAGCTCTGGCAATAAATCTACTTGGTCGTTTTCGATGACAGTGCAAACTAATGAGTTGGAGTCTTATAGACAGAGCCGTTAGCGTGGCGTTATGTATAGCTAATCAATACGTCCAAGCTCGGTGTGCAAAGGAATTGCCATTCGTAATTTGTCGGCAAACGTAGCCAATCTCAATGCTTTCTATATATATATATATACATAACTATTCAGAGCGGAGAGCGATATAAAGTGTCGGCGTGCGCGTGAATTCAGGCATTCAGTGGTCGAGCCCATTGCGCGGCCTTCGCGCCGCGGAGCCTCGGTGAAAAAGCGGCACTTTGGAGCAAAAGAAAAAGGGGGCAACAGCGAAAGGGAAAAAGGAGAGAGAAGCACGGTGAAAAATGCCAGTGGTACAATGCACGCCTCGGCCTCGAGAGATGCGCGCATATGCACACGAAGTGCGGGGCGAGGAGCGAGTCGGGCGGCACGCAAGCACCAGAGCTGAGTCACCGCGGCCGGCTTTCAATTCGAGCGACCGCCTGGTCCCACGATGCCGCGCTCGCACGCCACGGACCGAGAGATTCTTTTCAAATTGACCTTGCCGGGGGAGACTCTCGCCCGCAGTTCTGCTTTCCGCCTCGCCGAGGGCGCGCCGGGAAACGCGCGACGCCAGCTCCACGCCAATCGACGTGGATTCGCCGTCGGTCCAACGTATTTTCCTGTGCACGCGCGTCCGTCGTCTCCCTAGCCAGTGAAGTTCCAACCGATCGGCAAGCCAATCACGGCGCGCCCGACCGTTCCGCCTTCTTTCCGTTTCTGCTCTTTATTCCTGTCTTTGGATGGGAGCTTCCGACGATGCGTAGTTTCTCGCCCAAAACTTGATTACACTCGCATCGCTGAGGAAATTCTCGGCGCCTCGCTCACCCGAAAATAGCCCGCTTGAGAGTACAAAGCGAGAGCGCAATTAATCAATTTCGTCGGTGGGCGCGTACAGTAAAATCAGATCGACCGTGAGGCCTTTGAGAATCAAACTTCAAACCTCGGCTGGCCTTCTTTTTTTACGGCTCTTCGAGTGTTCTCGGGAAAATTGAAGGATATCCTGCGGCGGAGTGTCGGCACGAAAGACAGCGAAGAACGTTCCTTTTGAAAGTTGCTGCGCGAACGAAGTCGTCGTGGAAACGCGTAAAAGAAGAGAAAATAAAGGAAAAAAAAACGAAGCCGTCGTTAATGGCTTTCTATCACGAAAACTTTGGCTAATTGAAATGAGAAGCAAACGTCCGCCGCGGTGAAATCTCATTTGAATTTCAGATCAAAAGCGCGAAATGCAAAAATGCTCCTTTTCACCGCGCCGCGTGAACGCGCAGCGATCGAGCGAGTGCCTCGATTGGTCACGTTTCGCAAAGGGAGAGAGGCCAGACGACTCGACGAAACGATGGACTCGTCTCCGATATGCTTGGCGCGACGCGGACCAAAGAACGACCACGTCTAACGATCTGCAAGAGTGACACTTGGCGTTGCCTCGTCGTATTTGCGAGAAAATGTATAGGCATGCACGGTTTTCACGATGAGCACCATTATGGAACAACGCTCGGGATGCTGTTGCGTCACAGTCATTTGCGCTAACGGAGGAATCGCTGCCGTTTCGAATGGCATATGACCCATCGATAGTCAAATGATTCCTTTTGACGCATATATATATTTTCTAAATTTATACCCTTTGAATAATTAAATTTACGTTTGATCCCTGTCGTTAATCGTTATACGTAAAACCAGGTAAGATCGGTTTTACTTTTTTCAAATAATTTATTTTTACTCGAACGTACTTCAACGTGCAAATGCATTTTCAAACTGTACTTTATAAGGTATCTAATTTACTTTATAATTCACAGCGATAGGTGAAAAGAATTATAGTGACATAGTTGTAACAATAATAAAATCATTAAAAATCTTTTGTAACAATAAAATTTTGCAATTAAAAATTCTAGATCACGCTTGTATTGTGTTAGTCAACAATCTAGGTGTTCACGTTACATTAATATTTTCAACTGGTATTTTTAGCAGAACATTTTTTTTTTGACTTTGCTTCGAGATCTTTTTATACGTGGATATTGAACTTATGACAAACTTATAACTAATTTTTAATTTCAATAAAAATTCAGAGGTTTACTGCTGTAGGGCAAATTACTGTAGATGACCAGCTCTTCAAATTTACATATAAATGAAAAGTCAATAATTGGTCAATAAATACAGGAATCGTGATTTTATCGATATTTGCATTAAAATACTTTTATTACATGTACTATTACACATAAACAATGTGTAAGTTTGTAATCTTACTTCAAAATAATGACAAAGATAGAAAAGCAAAAAGAACAGACAATAGCGTTTATAATTGTTTTCATAGGATTTTATCAACACAATGAACATAATCGGTCAAGATGATGGAATAAATACTGACGGAGAAAATGAATCCTTCCAAAATTATTTTCATTCGTCACTCTTGCAGGGAATTGTGGCAAAATTAATTTTTTCTAAAAATAAAATAGTTATGTGATTAGATGTTTTCTGGAATATAGGCTTGGAATTTGGAGATGCACGACAAAGAAATCTAAGCTTTACTGAAAATTTTAAAATGAATTTTAATTTTGATTCGATTTCTTCATTATGATTATTTTTACAAAGGATAATAAATAATACTCAATTTTATTTTCCCTGTCTAACCCACCCGACCCCCTTAAATTAACTGCAAACATAGAACATATATACACATATACATGATTATCATTTAAACTTTCGTTAAATGTTATTCTCATTCGGCATTTTAATAATCTAGCCTTTCAATGAAGTATGTACAGAGTCGCTCTTTTCTTTCTCTGACAACTAAAATATTCCAATCTTTAGAAAGCACTTAGACACTATTCTTACTCCGCTCCACGCCCCACATTATTCTGATTAAAGTATAACGCTAAGTAATGAAATAATAAGTATTGTCATAATACCACACAAACATTAGTACAAATATTATATAAATATTGGCACTACATATTTGAACTACAATCTATTGATAGTCAAGAAGAAATGATCTGAAAGTAAAGCTTAATAACTACGATATGAAAATGAAAAGAAAAGTAATTATTATTCTCAAGCAATACGTTTAACATTGAAAAATGCTTTTATTTAGTTGGATTGTTTAACCTAAAAGACTATACTCGCAATCCGGTTGGCCGCAATCAGCTGTTTCGAAAGAGATAGCGCACGTCAGAGAGTAAAGTGAACCGGTAATCGCCTGCCAGCCACTTGTTAGAACCGGTCGTTCTAGCCGTTGAGCTTTTGTTTTTAGTTTTGTTAAATTAGCTCATGCTCAAGGTAAATATTTCTTGCTTAATTGGTACGCAGTTGTGAAGTACGCGAATGAATCACTCGCATAAGTGTTGTTTGAATTGTTTCATATATGCATATATGCTTGGGTTTAAAAGTAAGGTTAAGTATTTCTTAATTTAAATAAAATTATACCTAACAATTCAACTCTTGTGCCATCCAATATTTTCGAATATTAAATAATACGAAATAGGAAAAACGTATCAGAAGTATTATATTCATGTAATAAAAAAGTTAGGAAAATATAAAAAGAGATCACTTGCTAATGTCGTTTATGCATGTACATATCTTTATTTTCAGTTGAAGTTGTTATTGAGTGCGAATTAAAACAATTGGGAATGGCGGTCACGTGGTCTCAGGCTATCATGGCTTAGTTATTTAAAATGTATATATACCTAATGGAGTTGAATAAGTGGAAAAATACCTATATTAAAATAAGTGCACCTATAGTAAATATTAAATATAATCGAACTATGGTGCTCATGCATCAATGGGAAATTAAAAATTGGTTTTCATACCAGGATTTAAAAAATGGTACAAAGTTAGTTTCACCATTATTTGAGGGATTCAATAATTCTTTATGTCTAGCTATTTATCTGAATGGCAAAAGTGTAGAATATCAAGACTATATATCTGTAATCCTAGGTTGTGAATTGAAAAATTATATTGGCATGGATGTATATTTCCGACTTTTTCTTTGTATCGCTGAAATGCAAGTTATTACTGGTACAGATTACACACAAAAATATATGTTTGATCGAAAATTTAAGATCTAAGGGCCCAGTAAATCTAATATTTAGAATTACTGTAGCAGCATATATATGCTCAACATCTATTGATAAAATAATTGTTATGTGCCAAATCTTTAATGACCAAACATGGTGTGTATTAAAATGCTTCGCCATGTTATTAAATCGTAATCAGTTTGATAGTTCTATCAATAATCAATATTTAAACAACGTTAAATTAATAGTGAAAGGTAAACAAATATTTGCATAAAGGGATACTGAGTACTCATAGTCAAGTTTTTAAGGCTGTTTGAGCATAAAATATGAGAGACAAAAGAAAATGTCGTGATAATCGAAGATATCAATTACAATATTTTTTGCTTCTATTGCAGTTCTTATACACAGGTATATGTGACTTATTAAAATTCTCCAGCAATTGATTTATTCCAGACTGCTGGTAAGTATCGATTGGTAAATTTAAAAAATGCAAGCAATGAATATCTAAACAAAACGATAATTAATGACAATGTGATTGAATATCTTTCATTTGTTGACAGGCATAATGCAGTATTTTTGAAAAATATAGAGATTAATTTTATTGTTGCTTATGGAAAAGAAATGATCGGTAGTTCAGAAATTTCAACTCTAAGGAACTTGGACAGATGTCTTTTTAATGATGTTCTTAAATTTATTTTTCTTCAATATAACAAAGAGTTAATGTTACTACAATGTTTTGTAATAAAGTTAAGATTGTTCAGATTCACTGTGACTATTTTTATTAAAATTAACAATCTTGAAAATTCTTAAAAACCTTCATGTGCTATTAAATTGTTTGTTAAGTATATATGCTTCGATTATTTAATTAATTGTAAACATTTATCCTATTATTCAATTGAACTAAATGTAAATGGCATCATAGGTTATAATACATCAATAAAGTATTATGAATAGAGAATATGTGTATTCTTTGTATTATAATTATTCAGTAAGGTGACTTGAAAAAAAATTTAATTATTAGTGACAAGACAATTTATAAATGACTGTAATCTCTTCTAGAAAATTCACTTAAATTTCACTAGAATTGCTTGTCCTTTTTTAATAAAAAGCGAAACGTTTACTTTAAATACTTAATGATTTGCTTATGAAATTATTAGAGTATTGTTCACCAATTAATTATAATTATTAAAACGAAAACTTATTCTAATATGTATTTGTTTTATTACGAAGTAAATAAAATGAAAATTTACCCATTATGTGTATATTTAACATTGCATTTATATTAAATCGTATATTGATTGTATTTTTCAAATACAATTTTTCATTGTAATTTGTCCGTAAAAAATTAGATACTTTAAGTTTACATATATGTATGTATGTATATAAACTAAACTACTCAGGTTACCCTATACTGGCTATACTTACAGCTGATCACTAGTGTTGTATATTCATGCCATTCCGGTTTTCAATTACATTTTCAACACTTTCTTAAATATTGTTGTTAAATTAACACAGTTCTTAATTTTATTAGTAAAGATAAATACAATACATTGTGGGTATCAATTTTCTGTCAAGATATTGATTAAAAAGAATAAAGGTATATTTAATATCTCTCCTTATAACCTAAAAAATATCTTCGTATACGTACAAAGCGAATAGCGAAAGTAATAAAAAAATGTTCATACATATTTTACACGTCTAAATGAATTTTAACATATATAAAAAGTTTTGCAGAATCTATTCTTAATTGTAATGTAACTATTTATTTTAGTTACAAAGAAATGAGAATAAATAATCTTTACAGCATACAGATTTATACACTTTTTTTTAGTACAATAAATAAGTTTAAAAATTTTGAAATGCTTGATTGTTTTATGAATTAAAAAGAATTTAAAAATGTTAAAATGGTACTGTAAACTATAATATTATTGCTCAAAGATTGAAATAAAATACTCAGTGTCTGATCTTTGTTGCCAAATATATTTGAGTATAAAATGAAAATATAATAATATAGTTTGTGTAAAAAATACAGTTATGAATATTTAATTGAATTGTTGTGTTTTATAAGCTCTGAAAATATTGCTGTAAATCAGAATACTTTGGAAAAATTGAACATTGCATATTCACAGAATGCCTTTAGTAGCATATGAACTTTATGTAACTATATTTTTCACTTTGAGATTTTTCAAGTATTCATTCAAAATAAATTGCTAAATCTTGTAAAGAACAATGTACATCTGATTTTGAGGTTTAAAAATATTTAGTTAACAATTTACTTAAAGAAATGTATCGACAAATATTTCTTCAATTAAAAATGTTAGTTAAATATTTTTGCTCAATCTAATGCTCAGATTGTAAATTTGAAAATGATTGTTTTTCTTTGTGTTATATTAACTAATGATTTTTATATTTACAATCTGAGCATTAAGTTGAGTTTCCTAAAAATCTATGATCCTATACAGTTCGTAATAAATAGCATAGCATAGGCAAGTATGAAATGTTCCATTAATTTCTTAGTTTTGTTTTGTTTTGATTACAGTTGCTTGTTAATTTCACTACCTACAAAAAGAAAGAATAAAATTATTTTATAATTTTGTCTTCACATATATATGATATAAGGTAAATAATCTACAGAAGAAAAAGTTGACCTCTTTCAAATTTTTGTAGATTGTAGTAATAGTTCTTTCCTTTTTTTGATCACGAATATTTTGAATCTTTAAAATTTAATTTTTGTATTTAAAAGTTTCTCAACAGATAATATAATAATTGGATTAAATAAAGCTCATTTAATAAATATTAGACATTTACTTTTAAGAAAATTAATATACTAAAGTCAGTATGGCCAGATCGATCGTTGGAGACGTCTATACTTGGTCAACAGTTTGTGAATGGAAAATCCAAAATTACACATCATACAATAGTTTGACAAGTGGTAAAGATATGTATATACGTTCACCTCCATTTCATATTCAAAAACAGACTTGGCATTTGAGGATGTTTCCAAATGGTTCAAAAGATAAAGCATCAGAAAATTATGTATCTCTCTTTCTTTACCCAAATAAAAATAATGATAAGTTATTCAAAGCCAAATTTTCATACACAATTCTTAATAGCGAACAAAAAGTTGTTGCTTCTTTCTATAATACAAAATTGACTATGTTTAACGATCGAGGAAGAGGAAAATCAAATTTACTGAAAAGCGATATAATAATGAAAACTGATAACATTATAGTTCTATGTAAGATATTCACAGAGGATACAATAATAGCTGAAACAATTCCTGTTAAAAGTTCCAATAAAGTACAAAATTCTAAGGTATTCAAAGATTACCTTGATAACGCGCAATTTAGCGATGTAAAATTCTTTGTAGAAGATAGAACAATTTTCGCCCACAAAATTGTATTAGCTGCTCATAGTTCAGTTTTTGCTGATATGTTTAATAATGATATTCAAGAGAACAGAGATCGTATAGAAATTATTGAAGACATTAAATATGGAGTATTTTATAAATTGTTACGCTTCATGTACACTGGTGAAACTGAATTGTCAGAAAAAATAGCAAGAGAAATGCTAAAAGCATCCGAAAAATATAAACTTACGAAATTGAAACACATTTGTGAAATTGAAATGAGTAAAAACTTTTCAACGGATAACATTATTGAATACCTTAATTTGGCAGATATGTACGAAGCGAAACATTTGAAGGAAAAAGCAATGGATTTCATTGTCTCTCATGGGCAAGAAATGATTTATCAACCCGTGGTTGATTCATTACCAACTTTTCACGCAGAATTTTTAAAAGATGTTTTTCAGAGTATTTCTACTCAACTCAATAAGAAACGCAAAATATGTTAATGTCTAATCATGTAAATGAAATTTCACTGCTTACTTTGTTATTGTTCGTTTCAACGGCGCTGTTTTGACACATATTTGAAATTTGAAAAAGATGAGTATTTCAATCAAATCTGAAAACTAGTTTTATTTATTTTTCATATTTATTCATGAAATTCGCACTTTTAGTATAACAAAACACATTGTTATGAAAATATAAATACATGTTATATACGAAAATTATAATTGTTTCCATTTGTATTTTATAACTAGAATAAAATTTAATCAGATTTTATTTATAACTTTTTAATTATTATTCGAAATCAATATATTTGTACAGCAGTGTAAGCTACATCGCAATCCACAGAAGTGCTCTACATGGACACATCGATAAGTTAAAAATACCAAAACTTAGAAACTCAGAAACTTTAAGCTAATAGATATACATATTAAAGAATTTGAACAAGTTATAGACATGATTGTTTTTAACCATCTAAGTTTGTAATTATTTATTATTAAACGTATCATTTTCTATTATTTTATTAATTCATGAAGTAATAGCTTAAATTGAATAACTTAATTGCTACAGTCTACATCTACTATTCCTACATAGTATTTTTTAATTTGGTCAACAAGAAGAATTTTTTTAACCATTAAAATTGTTCATATTTATTTTTCAAATCATCAAAATGGTCACATAACGATTCCAGCTTAAATGATTATTCTATCTACGATTTTTTTATTTTTTGTATGACGTATTGAAAATACAAAATAAGTTTATGTAAAAAATATGTTGAAAAAAATTATAGTATTTATAGAAAAATGAAATCGTAATTAATATTAATCAGGAAAATGCAGACTGTAAATAAGGCAGAGGCAATGTGAAGGCATTATAGTACTTATAATAAAAGGGCGATTGCATATGAAGACTATCAGTGTAGTCACAATTGGTGTAGCATTGCATTAACTTGCCACCATCGCATCCACATTTTTGACTTTTAATTACTTTGTTTTCATTTTATTGCTATAAAATTAGATTATTTCACAAATTATTTTCAAAGTATAAAAACAGTACATCGAAAAAAATTTTTGACAGAATATTAACTGAAACGAATGAAGGTAATAAACATCATCCTAACCTATGAAGTTATATCTTATCAAAAATTTGCAATAAAAAGTTTTCAATAATACGATTTTTTAGCATGTTTTGTATTGTAATATGTCAATTTATTTAATCGAAGAAATGCGCAATTATTTGATAATAAGCATTATTGTTTTTATTTCCTATGATCGAAATAATTGTGAAAAAACAGAAGTAACAGAATTATTGTGCAAGTAATTTTTTTGGTATTTTTTTTATTCATAAAAGTAAGTAAGTCAAATTGTTTTTAAATGTTTAATTGTTTTATATAACTAAACAAAATTAGCAATAATAATTTTGTAGCTTCAAAGAGAAAATGTTATTCAAAATTTAATCTAATTACTTAGAATAAAGTAATTACCATGAAATTTACAGCAAAGAATAAAAGATAATCATGATAGCATTAAATTGAAAATACTAGTTTTTTTGAGAAAATTTCTATGTTATATTATAAGGTTATTCATATGATGTTATAATGAATATAAAATATTATGAATCTTACTTGCTAAAAAGGTTCGATTAATGTGAATGATTGAACGGAAAGCCATTTGTGACAGCAGTGTGTAAAAATAGAGGTGCTATTAGAATAGCACACTGAAGAATAAATTATGTACTGTAGAATAAATTATTTTTATGAAAAAAGTAGTTATGTCATCAAACACATGTACCTGATTTTCAGTTACTAAAATACTTAAGTACTGTATTACTTGTTGCTTAGAGCTTTTTTATATCACATGGGAATATATATAAAGCATTGATCAATATTATTGATAATTCTATAAAGTTAGGTTTATTATTAGTTATATAGTAGTACAATGTGAGTCAATTGTTATTTTATAATTATGTATTGTAGGTCTACATTTGATTCAGTGAATTATTTTAATTACATTTCTATAAGTTTAGTAAATAATTAGTGTCATGTAGCATAATAATCATTTAAGATTACATCGAAACGTTTTTTTTTAAATTGACTTATGACCAGTTCCCATGAGACAAGAATTCACCACAAATCCAAATAACTAAACATGAAAAGGCAAAATAAAAGATGATAGAAAAATTGCAAATTATTCTGTTTTAATTTTCATACTGATTGTATTAATTGTTCATTATATTAATTCATACAATTTGTGACTGCTTTAATTTATGGAAACTTAAATAATTCTTTTATTAATTTAGCAATTTGTTTGAGTATTTTCAATAAAACTGGATTAGCAAAGATGATATCAAGATATCTAGCATGGAAGTTTATTTATGTTTAAGATTCAATTTGAACTAACTAGATTTTTGCAGCACGAGAATCAGTCAGATAGCAGAAATGAAATAATAGTTAATTTCATATCCTTTACTTTCTGGTGTCCATTGCATTGGTATGTATATATACAAATTTAATCAAATAAACAAGTTTGTAAGATAACTATTGTGACATAACTATTTAAAAAAAGGCAATTAATTTCATTGTCTCTCACAGGCAATATATGACTGACCAACCCGAGTTCGATTCGTTGAGAACTATACATGCAGACATTCTCAAAGATATTTTTCGATGTTTTGTGGCTCAACCCAAGATTTACTAAACACAATCTAGTAAATTAAAATTGACTGTTTAGATTCCTTAATAGTACAATAAATATTATGACTTAAAATTGACACATTACTGAAATAATTTAAAATAAAACAATTTAATTTTTTTAACTAATTTTATCTATTTTTATATTTAATGTATAGATTTGTATTTCTTACGTAACGAAAAAAATTGTTGTGAAAGTGTAGATGTTTATTGTGTAAAAAAATATTGTAATGAGTACAATAGAGTAAATAGATTAAAAAAATATTGTAATGAGTACAATAGAGTAAATAGAGTAAAAAAATATTGTAATGAGTACAATAAAATTTATTATATTAAATATCTGTATTTAATTTATAAATTTCTCAGTAAAAAACAATCTAGTATTTGTTTCTTAAACAAATATTATAAATGACAAAAAATTTAAATTATCAATACAATTTTTACTATTTCAAACAGCGAATAAATTTTTGTTCTAAATTTTTCATATATTCTATTCAATTATTGTTAATTTATTGAAAATAATATAACACAATAAAGTATGTAAAGTAAAGAATCCCATAATATTTTAACATGACTCTGCTCATTATGGTAAATGGAAAACTGTGTGATAAATTGAAACTTTAAAATATGAGTATTTGTGTGGTAAGTTTAAAATTTGTTGTGTTAAGCTTAGTTTGATACATTTTAAAGCAACAATGTTATCCCAAGACAATTACTCTTCCAGGAAGTACGGAAAAATGCCATCATCCAAAACAGTGTCGTAATTATTTTGTCTGCCAACTTGCAACTAAAATATTGTTTTTATTGCGTAATAAGTTGCATTAAGATCACTCTGACACTCTTTTTTTATTGTCCAAATCAATCATTAAACATCATTTTTTTGAAAATTCATTTTCAATATTCGTACTATATTGGTAGTAAACGTTAAAATGTTATACGAGTACATATAACAAGTATATAATTGGATAAGAACTGATTTGATATCGTGTATGTGTACTTAAGAATTTATATTCAATGCTAACATATATAATCTGCGACCCATCCATGCCCACCAACCCTTCGTAATGTATACATTCGCCTTGTATTTAGTGTCAACTTGCTGTAATTCTTATCATGACAAAAGCTTTATTTGATTATTAATACTGAGTATAATAACGAAATCGTATGTAGTTTGCTTTTAAATAAAATATTATATTTACATGATTTTTATATTAGATATTAAATAAAAATTGGAAACAAGCCTAGCAATTTAAAAAAATTTCTTGCATCATTCAACCAAATAAATATCGTTCTCAACTTATTTAATGTTAATATATTATTGTAATTCCTAGCAAAATGTCATTTCACGTGATATTTTTAATTGATTCGCAATATCTTGGGAACTAATCAATATCATATTTTATTTTTTTAAGTCCGACTTATTTGTTACAAATTAAAGAATCGTTTGATATAGTGATGAATAACTGTATCTTTATTAGACAAAGAGTTACAACAGCTTAAACAATTAAGTTATCAATAATAAATTCAATTTTTGCGATTTCGAATCAAGAGGTCAAAATAATAGAAAACATTTATAAAATGAAATGGACATCAATCGGCCACGAAAAACAGTTGTGCTCCTAAATTACAAAAAAAGGGCAACGTTATATTATACGTGACCTAGTGATCACCTATCATATCACTTAATTACTGACTTAATTAACACTTAACGCAGCAACTTTTGATTATTAACTTTTTCAGTCACACGAGAGCACTACCGGGCTTCCGTAAAAAACTACATAATCATAATCTGGCAACTTATTTCTTTTATAAGCCAATAGTCACTATCTCTCACAAAAAACTTCTTTACCTATCCATTTCAGTGCACACATATTTAACTTGATTTTACGAAGAATTTTATAACTTTCTAGTAATCTTAGTTCAGTAGTTTTCTATATAGTGTCACTTAGCGAATCGGTATTAATAAATCTTTCTTTTCTATTATTATATATACGAAAGATAAACAAAAACATATTACATAATATATTCAGTTGATCAAAGTACATTAAACATCGTTATTATCAGATATATACTTGCATTTATGAATCAATTAATGCATCAAATGTAAAACGACTTCTAGAAAATGTATAGGTTACGTTCATCATAGATGAATATCGTAAATAATTCAATTTATCGAGTTGAATTTCATTTTTGTAACATAAATGCGTAAGTTGATTTGTAGTTTGTAGTTGTTAATAGTATATATAGTTTTAAATATAATTTTTACGTCTATAAATCAACAAATATTATAACGTACAATAAAATAAGTATAATAAAAATTAATCTTCAAGAAGTATAGTTCATTTCTTTCACAAATACGATTTTTTTTACTACTTTGAAGATATTAGCAAGATTAAGATTTATAGAAAAATGGTTGCAATAGGTAGAGGTGAAGTTTTTTCATCTACTTATAAATGGTACATTGAAAATTTCTCTTCATACAATGAAATGAAAATTGGACAAGCAGTATCTTCACCATCATTCAATTTGAATAGTAACTGCTGGAATCTAACAATTTATCCAAGTGGAAAAGCAAAAAGTGCCGAAGGATATGTTTCATTATTTGTTTCTCTATTATCAAGTAAGGATTTTATATTCATTGGTCATGATATTCATACCCAATTTACATTCTCTATGATTGATAATAAAAGTAAAGTTATTGCAACTGAATCGAGCAAAATGTCAGCGTGCATTCTACATTGAAAAAATGAGAAGCTGGGGTGTAAATCTCTTTGTGAATAAATCGCTAGTGAAGAAACTTATAAACAGAACACTATCAGATAAAATTATAATTTCATGTAAAATTGTACTTAAAGAGATAAAGGATTACCAAACAATGCTAACATGTAGTTCAAACAGAATAGAGCATTTTAAAGCATTTGAAAATTTGATTAATAATAAACAATTCAGTGATGTAAGACTTACTGTGCAAAACAGAGAAATTTTTGCTCATAAACTGGTATTGTCTGCTAATAGTGCTGTATTCGCTGCTATGTTTCAGCATAAAATGCTTGAAAATGAAGAAAATATTGTAAAAATAGATGATATTAGTTACAATACATTAAATGTATTACTTCATTTTATATATACTGGGGAATGTAAATTGAGTGAAGATATTGTAATTGACTTATTCAAAGCAGCTGACAAATATGAATTAATGAAACTTAAGAATATATGTGAAGAAGAGCTTTGTAGATCTATATCTGTCAATAATGTGATTGCATTATTACAATTGGCTGATTTGCATAGTGCTGAAAATTTAAAGAAAGAAGCTATTGAATTAATTGCGGTTCAAGGAAAAGATATTATCGATAGACCTGATTTTGATGTATTGATCAATTTTAATACAAAGCTATTGAAACAAGTGTTTCAAGGTATTTTTGCAACCAGAAGTTAAGTATATATATAAATATCTTTTTCTATCATATAATGGATATTACTTTTAGTTATATTACTATATTTTATAAATTATTTTTTAAAATGCAAACATTGTCATCAAAATTCAATATTGTGCGTACAAATGAGGAAAAATAAAATTTTGTAATATTTAAACTTGAAGATTGTCGATTATTTATTTTCTTGTCGGCTTGATAACTTTCACTATCAATATATAGTTTATTTCATAAAAATAAACGAGATTAAAAGTTTGTGATGCACTTGTCGAATTTTGAAAAGAACTTGAACGTCCAAGAAAAAATGGCGAAATTATTTCCATTTAATTACATTCAAATATTTTATGAAAAAAAATATTCACTCGTCCACGCATTGAAACAGATCATCGCGCTCGTAAGGCGGAAAAGCATCAAGTGTGAATAAGAAGCGCGTCGGAGCTGATTACGCGCCGATGAGCGAAGCGCCGCGCAGTAGCGCATGTTGGCATCCGATCCTATATAGAAGTAAACGAGAACGAGCCGAGCGAAGAGATAGATGATTCATTAAGGAAAAATGCTACTCAACTTAGCGTCGACGATTGTCGAGCGAATCATTTCTCTCTCTCTGTCTCTCTACCCGCAGATAATGAGCACCGCGCATTTCACTCTTTTATTTAATTTTAATGAAGTCTTTTTTGCGGTGCGTTGATTGGATTTGCGTATAGATGTATTAATGGGCTCTGGGGTATAACGACCATATTCCCCGTAGTATCCCTACCCGCGCTCAACGTTTCCGAACGACGCGTGGTGACGCGGATGGATATTATAACAAATACGTCAGCGCTGGAATTCCTCCGAGTATTTACAGCCGTCGCGGCGTTAATGAAGTTATGGAAAACGTCGGGCGGATGTTTGAAATCGTAAATTTCAAGCTCGCGTTTTGTTATGCATCCAAGCGGGCTGATCTTTTGGGATTTTCCTTCGCCGCAGAAGCTTTGCCCTCAAAACGCACGCACTACATCATCCATGTGGAATGTAATTCTGCTTTTGAATTTTGCTTCCCCGTATTTTCGTACGAATTATCAAGCAGAGCATGTTATGAAATATCGGGATCGATGGAGGATTCATTTGTTTAGTTTAAAAGAACGTTTAAAAGAACTTGATGCGCGTCTCATTATCATGCAGCTGAATATTCTTATACATTATTTTGCGTTAATGAACGCGTTTGAATAATTTAATAAGCTAAATTTAATTTGGCGTTAGTCAAACAAGAACAAATAAATTCGACACACGCGCATTTAGGAAAATGCCTATATAAAAAATTAACTTCTTAACTTTCGAACTTTTTCCCTCTTCTTATTGGAGGCATATAGTAATGATGGAAAATGAAGTGGCAAATCTTGGTGAAATGAAAAAGTACGCGGGAACTATTCCTTCTCGACGTTTTTGCACTATCAAATATTAAATCACTATAGTTGAGACTTATCTTTCGCTTATACCATGAATTGGAATTTATTTAAAGCCATTTTGAATAGTGATGTGAATAGTAGAAGCAAAGAACTTAAATTTGAAACTTTGTGCTATCAAAAATAATTTGAGGCGGCTGCCGTTGATGTAGGTCAGTTAACGAAATTAATGAAAAATATTATAATTACAATGATTTGTATGATCTTTGATTAATGTTATCTCAGCCAAAAATTATCAATCTTGGCCATGCAAGGTATCAAAGTAAATGCTTCTGGTATCAACTATATACAACTATTTCCTGAAATTTTTCTGTGAATAAATTGCAGCTTGAGCCATGAGCAAAGAAATTAGCCTTAATTTTGAGTGAAAAGTCAGTAAAAGTTAAGGTTGTCTTCTATTCACAGGTAAAGCTGCAATCTATCTAAAATAATTTTAGAAAGTGATATGGAGAATATAGAAATCAAGAGTTAAAACTTCATACATCGCACGACCAAAATGAATGATGTTCAACTCTGATAATATCGATCAAACGTTATTACGAAAATTAGACAGTTAAAAGCATGTTTTAAATATATCATTTTTTATCTGTTTTAACTAACTTTTTTAATTAACAACAGTCGTGCGAAAAATCGTTGTTTGCGGTTATGCAAGATACAAAATGAAAACTTAATTTCTATGCTCTATTCATATATCAGTATACAACATTATTTGAAAGCAATGCTAGCTTAAGCTATGAGCGAAAGAGGTCAGATTTTAAATAAGAAAGAAAAGTTGAAAAGCTTCATAGCAAAGAAAAAGTTTCGTTCAGCATTTTATAAAATTCGTTTTATATCCAACTAAAAATTGTTCTAAAAAAAGAGAAAATTCAATTGACAGCGATAGCAGAGAGACGAAACTCCCCGCAGACATGCGACATTCATTAAACACTCGTTCGCTGTACCAGCGCACCGCTCTCTTTTCAGCCGACAAGCAGTAAGTGGGTACACATGCACGCAACGCAAGTATAAGCAAGCTAAGCGAGTGCATCGCTGATACCGTTCATTCTCTCTCTCTCTCTCTCTCTCTCTCTCTCTCTCTCTCTCTCTCTCTCTCTCTCTCTCTCTCTCTCTCTCATGCTTTCTGTCGGTCGTCGCCACAGGGGGTATACAGCGCACAGCAGCCTAAGCGAGAAAATCGCCGGATTTCAAAATCGTTCTTTTCCATGTTGGGAAGTATTTATTTGAGCTTGGAAACTGACATAACTAGTTTGGTTATCCGCCCATGGAGATGGATATGTTATCGACTATTTAATCGATACTTGCTCCTCGCGATGTACTTGCCATGCCTATTGTTTGGAAAACCTGCAGAACAATATGATTTACGTGTTGATGTTTGCTAAAACTCTTTCAAAGAGAATGTTTCAACACGCCTTCACAGTACAATGGAATCCATAGGCTATTGAACTATGCTTGCTTTTATAAATAATAACTCTACAATGATAAGCCATTTATCAATATTCGAATGGCGTGAACATTCTCACAAAACGTTTTCTCGACGTTTACTTTTCTAATCAGATCTACTCAATGAAAACATGAAATTTCAATTATTTCAGAGTAGTTCCAACATAATTGAAGATCAAGCGAAAATTCAGAAAGAGTGAGAGTGAATGAAAGAGAGAGAGAGAGAGAGAGAGAAGCGACAGCATGTAACATATGAAGGCTTTGGCTTGGCGTCGCTGTGCGCGCGCGCACACACGCAGAATCGCGCACGTACGTGCAGCAGCGAGAGCGAGAGAACTACGGGGTGGCGGCCAATTAAAGATGGCTACCTTTCTCTCTCTCACTCGCTCTCGATTTGCCTCTCTCTCTTGCTCTCGTCCTGACTGCTGGGGTGTGGCGGGTCGCGAACGCATGCGCGGCATCCCCGACGCGAGTTGCACTCGCGACCAGAGAACACGAGCGAGAGAGAAAGAGATGGGCGCGGAGACGGAGAGAAAAAGAGAGGGAGAAACCGGCCGGCGCTGATCGGCGGCGTCGCGACCGCCGCACCGCACGCTACTCTGCCGCGCACATACTCTCAGTCAGTGTCGTCTGGGAATCCATTCGAGCAGACCGCTTCGTCGCTTTTTATTCCTCGTTCTCTTTATCTCGCCCCCCTTTGACTTCAGTCGTTTTGATTGATCGGCGGCAAGCAAGTAACGACTCCTGAACGTTCGTGTGGTTGTTTCCCTCCTATCAGATAGAGCTTCGGCAGCTTTTGTTGTATTTAGCAAATCAATCGCGTAACAGCACACGATGACGATGGCCACGGAAACGGAGAACAACGGGCCACAGGCTGAGACTAATAAGGACATAAAAGATATGAAAGAGATGAAGGATGCGCTTAAAGACGAGACGCCGCCCGATAACAAGCAAGACGAGGCAGCCAAGGACGCGGCTAAGGATGAAAAAAAAGAAGACTCTGAAAAGAAAAAGCCCGAGGACGCTCAAGCTGAGGCAGCGGTAACTTCGGCCGCCGCCGACGCCAACGCCACCCAAGCGGCCAAGGCGCCCCAAGTCCACAAGCCCAATTTCGAGAAGGATATCGTCTATCTCTATCAGTTCCCCAGGACGCCACTTTTACCGAGCCTTTCGCCATTCTGCTTCAAGGTCGAAACCTGGCTCAGACTCAACGGCATCAAGTTCGAGGTTAGTACCCTCCGCGAATCGTATATCAGCGCTCTTTTGTCTCTCTGCCGTATGCATGTGAAAATGGCGCGAGGGCGGCTTCTTCGCGGGGGTTCCCGTACGCGAGACTCGCTCCTCACGTGTTCCTTCCTGACTGGCGCACCTGCAACTGTCAATTTCCGTCGCGATTCTGGATTTCGAGCAGACAAAACTTGTTGCTCGGACGAATTTGTCGGAAGAAACGAGATTCGGTCTTTATACGCACAGCCAACCCTCCTGTCCTAAGCTGATAGTAGTTTTTTTATTTCTCGCGTTGACATTTGAGAGCAGAACGTCCCGCCCCGCGTGCGTTCACGTTTTTCAACTTTTCACAGTCGTGAATTCACTTGCTTGCATCGCTTGCTCTCGAAAACCTTTATTCACTCTCGAAATGAAAATTCGACTTTCCTGTTCCAAAATTATCAGTCGCACGCGCGCATCCGGTTTTTTCTTGTTTGCTCCAGAAGCGAAATAAGACACGGAGATTCGAGAGAGAAAATCTTTAGCGAAGGTTGTCTCTTTCGCGCCCCCCGTCGAAAACTTGCTCGCCAGGCTGTACCCGCACGGATCGCAGCCGTAGTGCGCGCGCAGGACGCGCGCTCTCCGTCTCTTTCTCTCTCTCGTAGCCATGATACATGTGTATGTGTGGAGCGTGTGTGCGTGGAATGGTTGCTTAGGTGTGCGAGTGCGAAGGGAGAGAAAGAGGCGACGGCGTCGCTCGTTCTCTTCCACAAGAGAGCGAGAAGGTCGCTCGGGGAAAAAGGTACTAGCTTCTTCATTCGTTCTCTCTCTTTTTAGGCGTCGGCGCTGCTGCTGCTGCAAATGCAGACCTGTTGACCGCTCGCGTATATATTTTATTGACAGGCGCGATGCTCTCTTGGCGAACGATGACCAATCTCGGCGGTCGATACAGAGCATTGTATCGACCGTGGATTGTGGAGCGGCACGGCTATAGACAGACAGCTCCTCTTATGAATTGTTCAACTTGTCACTGATGAAAAAAAAAAGTGAGCTCGCGAGAGGGGGATGAGTCATGCGGTTAATTTCGTTTTCCGTTCGCGTACGTGTGCAGGCGAGAGGGTGGGTGAGTCAGTCGCGGTGCGCGCGCGACCCGAGGATCTAAGACTCGCGGGCGGAAAAGCTTCGCGTGCGTACGTAACATCTGGGTCGTCGAATATTCACGCCTATCGATCGCTCGCGGCACGAAACACGCCGGCGCTCGCTCGCGGCGCTAACTTTCAATTGGCACGGGTATTAATAAGTGAAGAAACTGCCGGAGAGAAAAGGGGGTCGAAGGCCGAAAGTGCACTGCCCGAGGATTGCCTTCGAGCTCCGGCGAGAAATCGCTTTTCCGATATGTACGTTCCCATTGTTCTTCGACGTGGGACACCGAGAGAGAAAGAAAAGAGAAGAGCCGATAAGATTATTATTTTCAAGCGCTTGAGGAAATTTTCCACTGCTCCTGCGCGCGAGGGGTGATATTTTTTTCTCTCCTTTTCAGTGGGGAACAGATTACGGGTTGTTCGACGTTTGACAGCGGGTCTCGAAAGTTTCGGTGCGTCGCCGCGGAGGCTAATCGCTCTCGACTAATCTTGATGATCCGTGGGAATATGGAGATTAACGCTTTTTTGTTCTTGCTCTCCTCGACCTTTTCTCTGTCGACGTTGCACTCGAGAGTAACTTCAATCTTTGCGTGTAATAAGCGCCATTAGATCGGATATATTGTCGCTACTGGGTTTTACACTTGATAAAACGAGAACGTAAAACAAGGGGGAGCCACGGCAAAAAGTCGATAAAGCGCGAACGCGCGGCTTTCACGAGGTTTCACACGTATGAATAATATTAATCGGCGGCAAGTTCGCGAGCTGAATCGCATTCGACGTCGCGAAAGGCAGCTTTAATTGCAGGTAGAAAATCTGGCTCGCTTTCACGTGCGTCTATTGGTCTGATTAGCCACGTGGAGATTCAGCGGCGCACGATAATTCAATAAATTCGTCTGCCATTGAATAGCAATAATAACGAAGAGAAAACAAGGTTCGGGGCGATGGCACACCTCCAGAGTTCTCGGAAGTTCGCTCGATAGTGGAGAAGGCGATTATTGCACGCGGGGGCACTTTTCTCTCTCTCTCTCGCTCGCTCTTCCCCTCCCCTTCTCCGCTCTCTCTCCGAGGGCGGAATCGCCTTGAGAGGGTGTGAACATCGCGGCTGAACAGATTACCGAAGAAAAAGTTTCTACTTTATTTTTATGCCTTGCGGCATTTACGACTCTGCCATCTTACCTTTCCAAGCATTTCTCTGTAATAAATTTAGCTTTTTATCCACGTCGCGAGTGTCCCAAGTCACCTTTATTAGCAGTACCATTTCGTAATACATATTCCCGCGAAGCTCAAAGCACCCCAGGGTAAGTTCCTCGCCCTCCTTTCGGCAAATCCCCGGCGTACGATATTGTTGCTAACGAATTCAGGGCACTGTTTCTAAATTGATCGTCTCTTCCGGGATCGCGAGTTCATAGAACTGCAAAACGTCCGTTAAGTTCGGAAAGGAATCTGAAGCGCGTGAAGTGATCAGCCCCGACTGCTGTACATAGAATGTAAACAATCGTGACAAAGGTGATACGCCGGATTAGGCCAACGACTCGGCGCATACACCGGAAGCAGACGCTTGCCTTCTTTCTTTTTTTTCGTAGCGGTACGCGAGGCTCTCGTTACGTGACCAATTTACCCGCTGATCGTCGTCGAGTTCACTGGGTTACACGCCGTCTCGGAGTCATTAGATTCTTGACTTGTGTTGATGACGCGGTAATGCGCATACCTCGGGGAATTTTCGGGAAAAAACAAAATCGGGACGATGACGTTTAACGTTTTAACGACAGCGAGCGATTTACTGGCCATCGCACAGAATCGTTTCCGCGAAATTCGGGATAATCGCTCTCGCCCGAGTCTGCTATTAAACGGTCATAAACGAAAAATTCGAGAGAGGTCGAGATTTCCGTTCGGCATTTCCGCGTCCTCGGCGCGCGCGTTTATCTAAAACCGTCGATATAGGCGCCTGCCACGAGGAAAGAAAACATTTGGGCTCGCGCAACGCGGAAATAGGCGCGCGCGAGTCGCGGCATTTTCAACGCTGTCGATGCCCCGCGTATTTCTACCAATGAACATTCCTCGCGCGGCTAATAATAAATCGGCGGCGACGGGGAGCCGCCGCGCCGATAAACAAGTCGATTGCCGCGCAGAAAGATACTCGGGCGCTAGTGAAACAATGTTCATTGCGCGCCGACGACTTTTATGAAACGATCTATCGATTGGCTCTCGGCGAACGTAGTTACGCGGCACGCTTCGATTATTGTTGTTGTTGTTGTTGTTGTTGTTGTGGTTTTTTCTTTCTTTCTTTTTTTTTTTTTTTCGTCCGACGGTGTCATCGACACTATTTGATGTTTTGGCCATTCCGCGACAGCCGACAGCGCGAGTTTTTCGCGTGATTTTCGTTCGGCGCAACTGCTCTTGTCCTTTATCTCTCCCTCTCGGCAAATCAAGTTCATCGCGTTGCACGCGTGCGAAATAATGCCCGCGCTGTTCGGCGAAACTCTCGAGCCGCAGCCGATGACCCAGAAACTCCGATTCTTTCTGTTTGGCGAGAGTGCGGCTAAGCGGAACGCCTCGCTCGCGCTTCGGGGGAGACGATAATGATCGCCGAACTGCAGGGATGGGCTGCGCGCGCCGATGGTTAGTCATGGGAATCGAGCTTGTTGGCCTACAACTTCTCTGTGCATATATATATACGCGCATTGTTCGTGCAAAGTGAAATTAGCAGTGGTTGTGCGCAACTTTCATTTCCATGCTTTCTAAGTTGATGTTCTTATTCTTTTTTTTTTTTTTCTTTTTTTTTTCTTTCTTTTTCTTTTTCATTATCCGTTCTACAGCACCGGACGTTCGCAACAAATCGTTACTCAGTCAATGGGACGAGTGCGAGTCAATAGCCACGTATTTTCTAAGCGATAACTCGGACGCGCTCGTATCGTGTCATTCATGAATCGCCTCGCTTCCACGTACACTTCTCTGACTAATAATCCGTGTGACTCGATAAATCCAAATGAGGCTTTCGCTCGTTGACGCAGCTGTTGCGCGAGCGAAGACAAACAGCCCGCATATATGCCGTAGGCAGCAGTGGCGAAGAAAGAAAAGATCGCTTGTTATCTCTCTCTCTCTCTCTCTCTCCCTCTTCCCCAGAAAAACCGATTATTTATCCTCATTAGGGAGATCCCCCTCGCGCGCATGCCCTTGTTATTGCTATCGGTGTACAAAGAGGGTATTTATATCGGCATCGCGAACGATGCGGCCGAGGCGGCGCAGCGCCGCCGGGCCCCGACGCCGCGAGAGCGCTCCAATTGTGGAAATTGGCGGCGTTAGACGGCCGCGCCAAGGCGCTCGCCCCGACTTTTAATTGCATCCTCGATCGACGTTTCTCGCGGAATTTCGTCTGGCCGTCCCGTTGCTCTCTCGCCGCGCGAACACAGTTACGTCTCTCTTTCTCTCCCAAGAGAGCCGGGGAGGCGCTTTATCGACAGCTCCGATTTTTCAGCGCGCCGCACCGCTAACGGAATGGATCGCGCCGTGTCTGTGGGGTCGGCCACGACGACAGTCGCGACTTTGTGGCAGGCCACGACGTTAATTGATAATGCCGGATCGGCCGAGAAGACGACGCCCGCTTCTGAGAACCGAGCGGCTGTCGCTGCTGCTGGTCATATCTCTGCTTTATTTTCGAGGGTGGGGGGGGGAGGGTTCACGAGATTAATATCAGATTATTTCCGGAGGCGCGCGCAGGAGATAAAACGCACAGCCGTTGGCATTCGTTAAACGCGACGACGAGAGAGAAGAAAAAAAGCAAGAGTACGGGCTCGCTTCAAAAGCTTCACGACTCAGTAGCTCGAATGATTGCGACGTAGCGCAGGAGGAATGCCAGCGCGCGCCCGCGCGCGCAAAAAA